TGAAAAAGGAAATCATAATCACAGTGTCTTCTTTTCTTCTTTAAATACTTCTACTGCTGTCATCTTTGGCTGGGTTTCGGCTGACAGTTGTCTGTCAAACCAAAATTCCTGGGAAGCAAAGGTTGAAGCCAATAAAGGAGAGCTGTGGGCTTTACATGTTACAGTGCCAATGCAGGAATGTTCTGGACTGTAGACCTCTTCTTCATCAACACAAAAGGGAAAAAAACAATGCAATTAAACAAATAAAAATAAGTTGTTTGTGTTCACAACACAAACAAATATTACAGCCTGGGGAGATAACGACAGTATGTTAATTTTCATAAAACTGTATAGACAAAAAATAAATCTACAAAAATGGAGCTAGGTAAATATTACACAACAGTAAATGTCCTTTTTTCCCCTCTTTTTCAACTCTTTACTGTCAAACATCTACACAAAACCAAAGTTCTTGGTCTTAATGGCTAGCAGGAGTTTCTGTTTGAGTATCTGTTTCGAAGAATACAGCGGCACATAAAGACGTGAGATGCAAGTGTTGGCCGTGGGGAGGTGCTGATCATCTGGAGGCCGAATCGTGATGGAGGGCATTGGCTGGAAGCCTTCTTCACTGGCCGGAAGAGATGGGCTGGATGTCCAAAAATACACCTGAGGAGGATAAATATTTGTTACATTTAAGTCTTGATTTGTTAAGTGAAAAAGGGAAAACTCACCACTCACAGGATCACTTTATATTCTTTATATAAAGCTCAATTTCTTTTCTATGAGTTTCTTATTATATCAAGAAACCCAGACTCACCAGATCTTGCCTCTCAGTCATACTCATCTTCTCTACAATGGACCAAAACCAGCGTTTAAACTGCAGTAGTTTATCTGCATTTTCCCCTGTTAGGTTAAGAATAAATGTTTTCATCAGAGATGTTATATCCTCATAGCACAGAAACAAAAATCTTAAAACTGCTGAAAGTCAATCAAGTCATCACAGGAGGCCATACCAGACTCATCATTAAATGATGTGAAGCTGATAAGCATCTGTACATTGACTTCTCCACAGCCATTGACCAGCAGCCTGAAGTCCTCTGCCGTCAGGTCCTCCAGGGCATTCTTGGGAAGGACATCTAGTAAACCCTTCCTCATTGCCTGATACAGGGTAAAAAGCAACAATCAAAATAGACATCAGTGACAGCCCAGACACTAGTTGGCAATGTACCCTTGGCAAGTATTTAACTCACATGGAGTGGCTGCTCTGCAACCACTAGCATCCTGTGCTCTGCATACTTCCTCACATACTCGTACACATTGAGGGGAGTCACAGGCATGTTGACACCTCCAGACAGAAGCTCAACCTAAACCAGAGGAAGCAGAATGTGGCCTTAGTTGAAGATCCTGGCTGGACAGCCAATCATAGTAGCAAATACCAGGCATTGTTTTTACCTTGTTTAACATCTACTTATGGTAAAATTCAAGTGCTTTCCATTACCTGTCCAGCTCCTTCCTCCTTGCAGAGGTCAATGGCAAAAGCCAGATCCATGGCAGCAAACACTGCATCGGCTTCTCCTGCTTGTGAATGACGTATGAGCTGCCGCAAACTTTCATACATGACTGGATCAAAGAAGGCAAAGTCGTGCCAGTTCACCTGTAGTGACAAACTAACATTGAGACAATTTTCGGGGGTGGGGGGGAGGGGGGGAAGAAACAATATTTTTATTTCTACAATTGTCTTACCTTCCTCCCAAGGAGCACTTTGATTACATGTCTGTTCAACGTGATGGGACAGAGTTCGTTTTGAAGCAAACATAACCCCAATATTCTAAAAAGACAAGGAGGTGTCAGTTAAGTCCTGACTTGAATTTCATTTAGTCAACTTCTCGATCTTGATCATTTTCATCTATTTCAGTCTATTACCTGCCGATGTTACGGAAACAGTTGAGTCTGGCCTCTGTGTTCTTGCCGGGCCGTGGGGAGTAGAAGCCTCGTTTGCCAGGCTGGTAAAAGAGTGGGGCATTGTCATCTCCGTCATCTTGATCATCAAGCTCCATGTCCACCACACTGCGGGTTGAACCATGACGCTTACGGTTTTCTTGCTGCTACACCCAGCCAGGGAAAAATAAAGTAAATTTGGAAGAAGTGGGATCATGAGGACTTAGTTCGACGTGTTTAAGTGTAATAATCAAAAATTGTAGTGATGATTATTTAATAAATAAACAACCAGAGACATGGACATTAAGGAGAGGGAGTGAGTTTACCTGTGTTTTCTCTGGTGCATCAAGGAGACCAAGGTCCAGTATACTGTCAGCACCATTTTCCCTGTGGAAAAAAAGCATTAACTTAATCAATTTATTTCAGGTTTGTAAACATTAGGTCTTTCTGTTTATCAAACTTTTTTTTTAATCATGTAAATGTTTTATGTCATTTATTTTCCATCTTTGATTATGTTACTACCTTCCATGTGCAATAAGAAGCTCCATGGCTTCTTCTACCCGGGCTCTGAGAGAATCTTCACTGGCAAGCAGCAGTAGCAGCTGTGCAGGAGACAACTCCAACAACATGCCTGTGATTTTACTGGCAAATGCCTGAGGGAACAACAACACAAAAATACAGTGAAGGCACTATAAAAATAAAAACAAAGTATTCACATAAAATCAATCTCAACTGATCTTAACTCATCACCTAAAAGTAGTGCAAATGGAGAGAAAAGTCAATTACCGGTTGCATTGCATGAACACGTGGGTAAAGCCTTTCCCCAAGGGCTTGTCTGTGTGCAGGCAGTGGATCAGGGTCGTCACTGGGGTTCCCCTCTGATGACGGCCTAAAAGGTCTTGTGTCAATGGACAATTGTCGCCTGGAGTCTCTGTAACAGAACACAGCCTGATTTATTTGAGGTTGCAAACATTTTTAAAAAAAAAAATTAAAACTACTAACAAGTTTACCTGTCTCTGTCTCTTCGAGAACCTGCTCGAAGACCTCCACTTCGCCTCTCTCTTTCTCGATCTCTGTTCCTCAAACGCTGCATCAGATCTACACAAATTAACAACAGAATGTGTTAAGAAAATTTGTTTCTTTTGACTCATGAAATATGCTTTTAAAAAACAAGTTTTAATTTAGAAACACAAAAATTCCACAGTACATTATACAGTAGTTTCTATGTATTGTCATACTTGAATTGTAATCGTGATGACACGTACTGCTGGCCTGCATGCCCTTGCTGACACTCTGGACACAGTCCAGGTTGGGCAGTTTGTCATTGGAGAGAAGGGCCAGAGCGATGGCTGTGTAGAAGCTGCGTGCCACGCCGCTACCTTCACCTGGCTCATCTTTAAAGGTCACCTTTACTCGATGTACAGCCATGGGCGTGGTTGTGCAACGTCTGCCAAAGTGCGTGTTTAACTGACGCATAGTCTGCTGTATAAGTTGGTCTCTATCGCGGTCCACCTCCAGGGCCAGGTCACGGGACTGCAGGTTCCTCAGCTTTTCCATCTCCCGACGGAATTTGGACTCTTTTACCTCAAAGCCACCAAGTTCAGTAAGGATCTGAGAATTTTTTTTAAAATGGGGAAAATATAATATAGTTATACAGTTGAAAAACTGTAATATTGTTATTGCAATAACATAATATTGCAGAACACTTTGTAATAAGACAGTCTAAACAGAAATATGTTGGTAATTCCCTTAAATTAAGGTCTTCATAAAATTTACCACACAACAAATATCATATTAAATTTTAGAGCATCATGGAAAGAAATGTTTGGGACATACACAGATGTGCTACAATGGAAAAGTTACAAGTATATTTCTCCATCAATTAATATCAAGAAGAGGTTCACATGAAGTCTATTGGAGAGGGCTGGGATCAGCTTAAAGTTAAGTTGTCTAACGCCAATGCTTAAATGCATATTTAAAAAGTAGAGATAAAACATACCGATCCAGGCTCAGCTCCAACATCTTCCATGAAGACACGACCAAAGAGCTCCAGTGACAGACGCCAACGACCAAGCAGCATGTCATGAGAGATCATCATCCCCATGAAACTGCAGTGAGGTCTGTATGATGATATATTACAACAATATAAATACATTTTAAAACAAGACTGTCATAAATGAGGGGCTGGGTAAAATACAATTTACTCCTAGGGTTAAACACATTAGCTATTCTTACTATAGTCATCTGCTAAACTTGCACAAACAATTTACCATGTGCTAAACAGCAAAATCATATAGAAAACTAGGCTAAACTCAAGGCCCAGACTGTAATGTACCTGAATGAGGGCAGAGGTGGTCCATCACTTTCAGTCAGACCAATCTCAGCAAGGAGGCTGCTCTTCAGCTGGGCAGCGAGGTCATGTGGTGAGGGTCCTGGTTTTGTTCCCTCCAGCTCCTGCTCGGCAAGGGCTGGGTTCTCGGTGCCCCGCTGGCCAGTTTCCATACTCATCACGTTCTTCAAGTTGGCCGAATAGGACATTTTAGTTGGCAGGATCTGTTGCAGAGGAATTTAGACTTATGTCCTAGGATTGTGAATAAATGCATACCTGTCTGTGAGTTGATGACAGGGTAATGGCAAAAGAATGGTAAGTCTGAGATAGTACACACAATACAGGTTATGTTTCCGATCGAAACACTACCCAACATTTTTATTATTATCCATGTATTATTTCCAATGCAACCCAAAAGCTTTGAAACAATAAAATGTTTTTAAACATTTAAATGATTCTATATGATTACTGTCCGAGCAGAGTTACTGCAACATCATGCAACACCATGTTTGTTATTGGTAGATACTAAAGAACAGCTGCCACATTGTTGGTCCAGTACAGAGGGGTGGTATACCTGAGTGGGGGAGGGTAGAGAGGAGCCCTTGTTTACCTCCAGGCAGTTCCTGTCCATGCTCGTCTCGGCCATGCCTTTGGTTGCCATGTATGAAGAGGAGTACAAGCCCTGAGAGGGACGGCCAAACAGATCCTCTTTCCTGGCATTGGGCTGTAATGGGAAGATAAAGTTGAGAGCTGCACATAATAGCGCCATTGGTCCAGTATGTAACTGTAAAGCTGCCGTCGAATACATTTCATACATTCTCACAAACCACATCCTAGGCTTTGCTGTGGTGATTCTTTTATGTTGTGCTAATTTGAAGGTGGTTTATGTGTATAGGTGGTACACAGATGGATCACTCAGACATCTTAGTACATGTTGTAAAACATGTCCTGAATGTTTAAACTACTATATTAATATTATGATGAGGATGAGAAAGACTGTGTGACAAGCAGACCTGCAGAAGGTGGGGCTGGTCGGCAAGCGGAATGGCTTCAGCCAAGGGAACATCAAAGGGATTGGGTGGGATGCAGCCCAGGAAAGTCATGGAGTCGGAGCGTCGAAAGAAGGGATGATTCTGACCCGTTTCAGTGGGTACTGGGTCTTCATCCTTGTCCTGCAGAGTTGAACCTGAGGCAGAGACAGACCAAACATTTAGCATTAAACTTTTTTTATGTGTTGAGAAAAATTATTAGTGCAACATTTAAGTATTTGGGGTAACATTTGCTGTATGTTAAAGCCATGTTCTACTCACTTTGATTGGTGTCCTCATCATTCTCATGTTCAGAATCTTCATTGTCCAAACCCAGTTCCAAAATTTCACGGTTTCTATAAAGGACAACATTTATAATTTAAAAAAGGTAGGGACATTTTTTATGCTATTGTTTATAATAAAAAAAATGAAAATGCAAAGATGAAATGTAATGGGAACTAAAAATGTGTTGACAACACAATGAATAACTCCAGACTGTACAATCCTTAAAAGTAAGAAACATCTGAATAGCATTAATTTAAAAATTATTAATTGTTTTTGGTTCCATTACACACTATTTTTCCTCAGGTTCATCATCTACCTCTTTTTATCAATCTGGGGAGTGTCCAGTGTGGTCTGTTGGTTCATGGCCTTAATCCAGTAGATTAGAGCCTGAAAAACGTAGGCCACATGTTTGAGTGAGCAGACGTCCAGCACAGGAAGGACATCTGAGTGCTCATCGTTGTGGGATCGCATCAGCGACAAAGCATAATTCAGGAAGTCGCCTCGAGCTGACATCATGCCTTGGCGGGTAGTTAGCAGAGTTGCTGCTCTCCTATAACATACAGAGAACATAAGTGAGAACAGTTGGGTAAACAGAAGTATACAGTAAAACCATTGAATCTACCTGATTTAATTAGATCTCTTAGACCTTACCTGCGTCCTTCCAGAGTTCGGAGGCTGGCCTCTTCCCGAGCGGTCATCCGCTCCCTGCGAGCTGAGTGCTGTGAGGCATGAAGAGGGTGACTAGGGTGACCAGGGTCTCCAGCAGATGACAGTGCTGAGCCATATCGCAGCTGAGCTTCAGTGGAATCCATGATGGACACCATCCAGTTCCAGGTTGGAATAAGTTTTTCTTCCACATAGTTCTGTTTAAAAGGAACAGTTACTTTCAAATGCACATTGACAACATAAAAAGAAGATAACATACAGGTGCCTGTTCAATAGTGCATTTTACCTGCAGACTGACTGCATCCTGGTAAGTGAGCTTCACAGCAGCAGGATACTGCGAGTAGACCAGGTGGTTATACTTGGGAATGAGGCTCATAAGGTCTGAGATTTGCCTGATGACAATGCTATAAGCCCGGGCCAGGCTGCTTGCCGATGTTAGATAACTGCTTGAGTTGCTGGCCTCCAGCGCAGCTGCTGCTGCAGCAGCACTGGAGCTGATGGCACTGGACCGACGGAGGTTGGTCGGATCAATATAGATCAGGCCTGTGGAGCTCGCTGTAGTAGGAAAGTAACAACAAATTTTTATTTAGAAATTTAGAAAACATTCCATCTCTAATTAAAATGTGCATTATCAGACCAACATACTGGCTGGGGTAGAGGAGCTTGGCGGCGCACTTCCTGTGGCTCTCTGGCTGGGGGTGTTTCTCACAGCCCACTGCATGGAACGCGGAGCCTGTGCCGCACTGTTGGCATGTGTGGCGCTGGTTGTTCTTTCTAGTGGTTCATCCAAAAGGAAGGTTTCCTGGTCAACATCATCACTCTGACTGCTGCTGCTATCAGAGTCGCTGGAGTCATTGGACTGAGAGTCATCCTCTGAAAAGAAGGCAGGGACACTGCTGGCACCTTCAGAGGAGATGGTGAAGGACATGGGATGAGAGAAAAATAAAACAGGAGACACATCAGTGTTATATAAATTAATTTGTAAAAAAAAAAATTTTAAAGTATTTGTAATTTCCAGGCAGAGTGCAGTTAGTGAACTCACACCACTACAACCAGATAACACTTAGATTTCAGTAACATTTAGAACATTTAAACATCTGCTTTTTGTTCTACATTTGACTGTTGTTTAATCTGTCTTAAAGCAGATTTTGGATTTATTTTTATTAACTAAAAAAAAACGACTGAGTTTTCATTCTGAATATACTGTATATCCAACCCACATACTTCAGATGACCAAGGAGAAGAAACACCACACCATTTTAAAAGCTACCAGTTGATTAGTTTGTTATTAGGATAAAAGAAAGAGACCAAATGTGTGACAGAGAACATTAGTTAAAAACTGACACAAAAAGACAGTCACAGTGAAATGTGAGAAGGGGACAAACTGAAGGAACTTGCAGCAGGAAACTGTGTATACACTTTGCAAATTCACTCTGTCCTGACATCTGTATATGCATTAAAGTAAAAAGGGAGCTCCTACCAAAAATAGGAAATGCCAAGGACACCCTACTGCCTGCAATGAGATACACGGGGTATTCAGCCAGAGACCAATCTGTCTGCTATAGCATTAACTCTACAAACATAAATCCCCACAATCCAAAATGCCTGATTCAGTAAGACTGATTCTCTTAGAGCAGACTGACTGAGGCTGCAACTCGAGACAAAAATATATTGCACTACAGCTTGATATAAATCCAATTTCTTCTAAGTAAGCAGTTAGAACAAAGCTTGGAAACATCTCAGTTAAAAAGAAGGCAATAAAAAGTAACCTCAACTGCCAAAATACCAAACAGTGAAATACTTTTTAACTGAGGAAGACACTGAATTACATCCAAACCACAAGATTACAAAAAAGCTTTAGACCAACCTGCTTCAGAGCCAGCAGTTGCCGCTGTAACAACACTCCTGCGGCCACTAGCATTATCTTGATTGCTGTGGTTACTCTCACTGTCGCTCTCCGTCTCGGCTGCAGCCAGCAGATCAAGTTCCATATCGCTTCCTGAAAACGGAAAAAAAAAAGCTTCAGTCAATGTGAAATTGTGTCTAGTTAATATTAAGCAGGATGGTCAGGACAAGTAATAAGAATTTCTCATATTGTCTCACCGTCCTCGTCATGTTCATCGTGCTGTCCTTCTGCCTCAGCATTTTCCTCTCCCTGCTCTTCCTGGTCGTCATGATGGTCCTCCTCTCCTGCTACACCCTCTACCACTTCAACCTGAAAAAGAAACATTAAGAGGGAAAATTATGTTTACAAAATACCACAACAATACAGTATACAATATCATGTAATATACTTATAATTGCTGTATAAAACAGAAATTAGTTTGCACAATGTAGGAAGGCTGGTGGCTGTATGCATGTTTGGGAAAAAATTAATAAAGTTTTCATAATAACTTACTAAAGAAGCATGACTGCTCTTATTACTATAAAGAAGCGTCTCACCTCTTCCACATCTGCTGACACAATGTCATCCTGTTCCTCATCTCTTCCTCTGACAGGCTGAGACTGACTGCTACGTCGAGGCTGGGGAGTTCTGATGATATAGGATGCAGCTGTCTGGCTGGAGCTGCACAAAAAAAACATTTAACTCATTTATGATTAGGATAAGACAGAAAATGTGAAGTCTTCTTTCTTTCCCTTAAAAAGGGAAGAACTAAAAAGTATCAATGTAACATAAAATAAATCATAAACCAAAGAATCAATAGTTGTTTTTCCAGATGACTGTGACCTATCTAGTAGTTATACTGCTACAGACCTACAGTATACTGCTAGAGGAATTCTCATGGTGCAGATTTATCTTTGTTCTGATTTATAATCCAACCAACCTGCTGGACTGATCAGGTGAGGGTCTTGGAGGCAGAGGTTCAACAGAGAATAGCTCCTCACTGCCCTGAACAGCATCAATGCTGGTGCTGGCCAGAGTGAAGGGAGCTGTAGGTCTTGCGATACCCATGCGCACTGGTACAATCAGTGACTCTGCCACATTGCACAGCTCTTCCACAGCATAGGGCAGAAGCGCCTGAAAAACTCGCCGACATTTCCCGATAGGCTGAGGGATGAAGTTGCTTTGCAGAGAAAAATAAAAATGGAATTTGTATTTTTTTTGTTTATAATTCCATTGTTTGTTTGTTGAGTCAACATGTGTCAATGATGCCAAGATCTTACTTTTTCTTTTTGGAGGAAGCCATTTCCACACTCAGGATAACAAACACTCGGGCTACGGAGCGAAGAAACCTCCTTGTGACAATAACTGCCTCTTCTCTGCGGCCAGGAGTGTACTTGTTCTGTAGCTCTTTCACCAAAGTACCCAATAAAGTGTCTATAAACTATTAAAAAAAAAAATTCAAAATGTAGGCATGTAACAGAGGGTAAAGCAAAAAAGGTTTTAATGGTTCTTTCAGCTCAAAAAACAACTTTTAGTTTAGGGTTAAAGTATACAAGCATAAACATAATTTACAAAAAAGTGAAGAAAATTGTCAGTGAGCATGACAAATGACTTAGTGGACTTACTGTGATATCAGGAGCACATTTGACAATGAGGCAGTGGGTGAAACAGTCGAGGCGTATGGTGCCACTCTGCTGATTCAAGTAGACCTGCTCTTCAGGCAGGAGGTGAGCAATTCTGCTACTGGCACTAAGTCTTAGCAAAAAGAAAAGAAAAAGTTCAACATGACCTACTACTGGATGTGTTGTAAAAAAAATGACAGGCATATTAACAACTACTGAAAAAATATTAGACTTGTATGTATTACTAATAGAATACACGCCAAACATTTTTGTCAACAATTTTGGTTCAATTTGAGCACTACCAACAAATCACACTTTTTCAAGATATTTTTACAAGTTAAGTTTTAAATGTTGGGACAGATACTCAGACACTCACGGATCTTTATTCTCCTGGGAACCAAACATGATCATAGACTTGAGAGCATTCCAATCCTGTAGAACCCTCTCCAGGGCCAGTTGAGCAAAGCGAGGTGGTTCTAGATCATGGTCTGGCATATCAGAATCTGAAGTAAAGCAAAACAAAAATCATTGTGTAGTCAGAATTAAGAATAAAAATAAAGATGAAAAACTAAGACGAATAACAGAAGCAGCGACCTTTACCTTCTGCATTAGCAGCCTTGCGATTTCTGTCTTCTCTGATTCGTGGTGGTCTGTACTGACAGTGTTCAACACTCTGCCTGGCAACAGTCTGAACTAGGAACAGCAATATATGCTCTCCTCTGCAGACAGAAAAACAGTACACAAAAATGTTTGACTTTATGGTAGCCTTTCTCTTTTTATAGTTTCAAAAAAATTGAAGATTAAATACAAAAGAAAGACAAAAGTCATACCTGCTGTTTGGTGTCGTAACGAGGTTTGTGGCTGTGAGTAACCTGTAGAGAAGATCGAGGCGTGCAGCCTTCTGGCCTGCAATAAGTGTCTTACACTTGCATTTCTCCCAACAGTCACAGTATGCAGTGGGAGATGTCCTCTTCAGCCTGTATGATGATAAGTAAAATAGATATTAGAAGAGGCAGTCAAAAAGTAAAGATAACGCAATCTGAAAACTTAAAACTAGGACTTACTTGCAGTCGTGTCCTTTGTGACACACCCTTGCACACTCAGTGCAGCAGCAGAGAGACTCCAGCAAACCACAGGTTCGACACTCGAATATGTCCTGGAAACAACCTTAGTGTCATTAAAGTAACAGCGGTAGGTCAGCTCCTAGCTCTTCCCTTGTTTATTTAACAATAAATAAATAAATAAGGAAAATTTCCAAAAGATTAGAGTTGTATAACAATAGAATAAATACTACATTAAGCTGTAGAACTAGCCTGAAATAATATAGTTCTGCCGAGTGCAGCAACCTTTTGTGTAAAAGAAATCAAATTGGAATGTGTAATCCTGTAAGGCTGACCTGGTTAATGTGTTCAGCTCCAGTCCAAGTGAAACTGCAGGTGTCATTGCAGCAGAGCACATACAGGGGCGAGTCATCAGGGTTGGTCCCAGAGGGACAAACCATTTGCATAAATACAGAGTCTGCATCCTCCTTCTCTGAAATGCCAGGATCACCCACTTTACACGACATTAGGAGAAAAAACAAACAATTAAATATCATTGGATTCACAATATGCTGAAAGTATACAGTAAGCTAATGGTTAAAGCAATCTTCAATTCTCTTAGGATTTTATCATAATACATGTAGAAAGCTTTTTTTTATTTTAAGTCGGACACAATGAGCTGACATTTAAAAACAGTTTAAACATTACGGACTCTTTGGTAAACTAGCTTTAAAGATTATATGAACTTATGCCTTATTTGCTCACCTTTAGCCAACTTTTGAGCTGCCTCTAAGACAGTGATGGCTGCAGGGTAGGCTCTGCCACTGACAGCCAGCATGAATGGAGTCATTCCACGGGCATCCCTGTCAAACAGCAGCAAAAAAGTACAAAGATTAAGAGCACATGTACCGTAACTTCAAAATTTTGATCATTTTCAAACAGTTACACAGGCAGAAATTATGAAACATACTTTGCCGAGAGCAGCTCCCGTAGGTGTGGCCTCAGAACAACACTGTCACACATCAGTTTAAGGATGAGGTGGGCGTTGGCCTTCCGGTCCTTAGATTCTACCACTGATGGCTCTGTTGATGGTCCTGTTTACCCAATCCATCAGAGAAATAGAAGCAAATAAATAAATAAAAGTGCCAGTTAATATAGTCATCATTCTCAATCATCATAATCTCATAATCTGCAGTAACAATGCAGTTACCTGATATGGTGGATGTGCTGGGTCCCTGGCTGTTCCCTGTGGAGGCAGTAGTGAGTGAACTGACCGCTGGTGCGAGAATAAAGTCAATGTCGCCATCTGTTCAATAGAGACAGAATTTAATTTAAACCTCAGAATTGTTTTTCATTACTTCATTATTATTCATTGGAAAAAAAATCTACCACTTTATGTCTAATATAAATTGACTAACCAGGGTCCATTGGTGGGGGGTCAGGCACCCAACTGGGTGGTGCTATGGGTGGTGACACTGGATCCTGGTGATCACTGGATGAGGGACCAGACTCATGACGGCCAAGCCCCGCTGCTCGAAGAGACCTGCGCATCATCTCCCTAAGTCTGAGACTGGAAAGGAGACGCAAGGAAAAATGATGATACTAAACTAAAACGTTATATGTGTTGACTGATTGATATAAAAAGGTGTTTTTCTTTGTGGTGAGTAAAATAAAGTGTTTCAAAAGTTGAGTTTATTTACCCCCTGCTGCTGGAGGAGCCAGTCCGGTTCCCAGAGCTGTTGCTAGAAACCACAGAGATCGCATTGGCAATTGCCTCCACAGCAGACAGGCGCTCTGCAAATGTGTTTCTCTCTGACCTTTCAGCTTCTGAAAGTAAAAAGAATACAATCAAGGAAATCAGCATTCTACCTGAAGTCAGGAGGACTTGAAACAGATGAGTCGACTCCCAGACACAGCTCTGAAAGCTATTACTATTTAAATTTCTTTACAACATCTCAAACACATGAATACAATAAACACAAAAATGACAACTTATTTATCTTCTAAATCCAAAGAAGTTCTGAAAGGCTTGATTGTGCAAGGTTTTACATTTAAAATAACCCCAGTTTTGTTTGATTTAGAGGTTTATAATAACTAAAGATTTAACACTGAATATTCAATAAGACGAATGAACATTTTACTGTTTCACTCTCTAATCTCTAACTACTGGACACACCAAAATCTCAGCTTAAAGCTTCTGAGTCACTGTTTCTAGCTGCTGTGCTCTGCACTTCCCTGGGACTGTTGCCATGAACGCAAAAAAAGAAACAACATGGAGAACAAGGTCACTGCAGTGGAGGGTTGTGTCATTCTGTTTCTGTTGTGTAGGTGTTCTGTTGCCTAGAATTTGAATACATTTTGTTAACAGCTGCTGCTAAAAATTGACTTGGTATAAACTGATTTTATTCAACTACAGCTCTTCTGCACTCTAAAGACACCTGGTGTTAACCAACATTCTACAACACAAATGTATTTTATTTATGAATTCATTGTGGTCTAAACTTCACAATAACATTTTGCAAATATATAACAGCGTTTTTGTAGGATCAAATGACATTTGACTTGGGTACACATAGCAGTGCGGTTGGCCTGTGATGGACAAATACAACAGCTCACCTTCCTCTTCTTTGGTCTCCTTATTACTAACAGGGAAGCAGACAGACACAGCAGCATGGAGGATGTTGCGGTTTCCATCACAACGGTGACCCAGAAGTGCTCCGAGGGCCTGGTTGCCCTGATCCAACAGGAAAGCTTGTTCAAGATTCACCAGGTACTGCCGACATGCCTCATAATCACAACGCAGCACGTGCTGCATCAGTGTTTGTTTCTGAAGGAGATGAAAGATAAGGTGAATGTTGTTTTGGCAATTTTCAATATTTAAGAGATTTGTATTGTATTTTACTTTTTTTACCTCAACAGCCATGATAATAATAGCAGCTTTCTTTTTGATGGTGGAGTTTGATGGGAGATTGGCCAGAGAGTGAACTCCCATCCCCAGACTGTTTATAGGTGGCAAGTCCAGCCAATCGGGATCTCGAATTCCACCTGTGCAGTCTTTGGCCATGGGGTAGATTGTGCCATTTCCATCTCGAAGGATGATTGGAGATTCCTGGAAGGAAGTGGGAAAAACATATTTTTGGTGAATTTTATTGTCTCGTTCAAGAACATGTTACCAATGTGGGTAATTTCTTACTTGTCCGGCAGTAAAGATGGCCACGTTGCGCTCACTTTGTCCCAAAAAGGCCAGATTACTGGTGGGGAAGTTATTCTCCTGCTCAGCTTTGCCTGTAGCCAGGTCAAAGATACAGTACCTTACCCAGTTACCAGTTTTCAGCACCGCATGGACTCCTGGAAGGTGGAGAAACACGTTTGAGGGTCAAACTACAAATGTAAAAATAATATTGATACTTAATCAACATTGATTTTATATTGCAGTCAATGTCTGAGACTCACCTTTGGAGTCAACATTCACAGCCAGAATCTCAGCCTTTTCTGGAATACACAGCTTTTTAGGTGTACGCTGGAAACAATCAGGGACTTTGGGAGTCCCACCTGTTTTCACCACCTGTAAAAGAAAGTAATAAAACAATGAACTATAAGAGTGATGGCACAATAATGGTAGAACAAGTAAAGTAGTAATATAAATAAATAACAATAATAAATACGGTTCACTTAATTTTATTTCCTATTGTTTATAAGATTATTATTAAGACCAAACATCTGGAAAATATTCAATGATCATCCAATGATCATTTTGGAAAAATACAATACTATCTCACCAAGTACTAAAAGTACAAAAATTAAAAAACAAAAACTTATCATCAGTTACCTGGAGCTCATCTATCCTGAGGAGTCTGCAGTCCTGCAACAGTGATGATGGGTCTGAGTCAGGGGGAGCAGCTGTGCTCTGGTTGCTCATGCTGCTTGATGTCCCTGGGAACTTCACAGCAACATAAGCACCGTCCACTTTAAGCACCTGAGTGAGAAGACGAAAAGAGACAGATGTGTGAAGATGACATGTCTGGTTAACTTGCATCAAGCATGATTTGATTTGCAATGTTAGAGCTTTCTTTTCAAAGCTCCCACCTTTCCCACTGGGACATTTTTAACATCCTCCACAAACACCACCTCTCTGAGAAGCCACTGCTCTTCATTCACTTTCTCCTCCTCTTTCGGAGCAGGAGTGGAACGCCTTCGCTCTAGAAGAATTGCAGATCAGCATAATACATAATAATTATATCAATAAAATAAAACAGATAAGCTAAAACAAAATTCAGCAACTATACAGCTTATGGCAAATGTAAGGCATTTCTATATTCTGTGAACTGGCCATGATTTCCTTACAAGAAGTTTGTGCACCATCTGTTTCAAAGTCAAAGAGCTAATGAGAACATGTAGTGAGGAGGAAATTGGTTCTGTGCCTGGGAGATAAAGAGGAGGGGGAAAGCAGGAAAAAAGATGACGTACTGTAGGGCAGTGAGGCACTGCTAGCAATAGAAGAGGTATCACTGCAGGTAGATGCTGGGGAGGGTGGAGGACCCATCTCTGTCTTCACCAGCTCTGGTTTGCTTTCAGTCCTTAAGGGGGAGTGGGTTGGTGGGGGTGACACGAACAAGGTCAGATTAATTCAGATTTACATGTTTCAAATGAAAATGAATTAATCTGAATATATAAATAAGTGTCTTCATTCTGCATACACAATAAAAATATACTTAATTGTTGTTATTTTGCAAATTTACTAAGAAAACAAGACGACAATTTTTAACTGTATAATTTGCTTTGGACCTTACAACAACTACAAATTGTCTAATCTTTAGAAACTCTTGATCTGAATGCAACTATAAAACAATGCATAATTCCCCAATACTTGCAGTGTAACTAAAATTACTGTTTCAGTTCTTTGGAACTCTTGAGCCATTTTGATGAAGCATAAAATATGATGTTACTCTTTTGGATATTACGTAAATTATAGCAAACTGACTTGATTTCCTGGGTCTTGGTGGTCTTCTCCATGTTCTTGAGGCTCTCTGGTGAGCGCAGCTGAAACCTGCAGCTGTCGTTCATATTCCAGACAGATTCCAGAAGGACGCCCACTTTTGGAATTCCAGCACTGACAGAAAAGGCCACTGCACCGGCGTGGTAGAGGGGGTTATTCCTCAAGCACACCTAAAGGGAGAATGTAAGTGGCGAGAACATTATTTCTAATTAAACTAGCTATACATTGAAGGATTAAAAAAAAAAAAAAAAAAAGCACTTTCACAAACAGTTCTATCCTACCTGTGTTCCTACAGTGATGTTGGGTATGGAGGAGATACCAGCGCTGGACTTTGGCTTTTTGTTCTTGGCTCTTGCCTTTTCAAGCATCTTTTTCCGTTGACTAAAAGGCACAACACCCCTGAAAACATATGTAAGGCATAGCTTTTAAATATTCTGAGAAAAACAAACAATATAAAATATGGTGCAAAATATTTAAAGGCATTTATGCTTGCTTACCACCAATAAAGGCTATTCTCCAGCTGTGCACAAGTGTAGAGTGCACAGCAGTGCAGGGACACCATGCGTTCCCCTTGTAACTCAGGGAAAGCCTGAGCACTGTGTTCCAGCTTTGAGGCTACTGTGCTCAGTGTGTCATCCACCCAGGTTGCAACCTGCAACCCAGACACAAGCATTAACAAAAGAACCAAATAAAGCATAGTCAGTTAGATAAAGCTATTATTACTTATTATTAATCAAATTCTACCTTGTTGGTATCTGTAGCTACGGTGGCTCTGATGCTATTGGCAGACAAAAAGGTGATCTTTTCATTGGCAACACCCAGGAATGATGCACGGGGGTGATGAATGGAAGGATTCTGAGAAAAGAGAAATGTGTTTACTTTGCAGAATGTTACAATATTACAGATGTAGTTGAACTTCTTTTCTAAGTAGTTTCACCTGTGCATTCTTGTAAGGTTCAGGTTCACTCCATTTCCACTGATAAAGCTCTCCTTTTGAACTCACAGCCACCAACTCTGAAAACATGGCTCCAATGCTCACAAACTTCACACCATCCTAGACATAAAATCAAAAGTCTCAATGAACGTACTAGTTTTGTGATTGCGCTCCTTGATTGCACTTTTTTGGAAAAAAAAACCCTTACCTTGTCAGGCCACCACTGCAGCTCTTCTCCCAGGGAGACTGGGCTCTGGACTGGGATACTCTTCTTATCCAGACTGGGCTCGCCCTCACGGCTGGTTGAACCTCGCTCTGTGTCGAACGAGGCACCATCCAGCCACCGGCGCTCGCGTAACCTCAACACAGACTCACGCTCACGCAACAGCTCAGAGTCGCGCTCTAAGGGAAGAAGGAGAACTGGTATGCAATAAGGTCACACCAGTGGGACAGAAGTAAGCCACTCTCTGGGAAAGACCCGTGAACATAGTTTTATGTAGAGAGCAATAGAGCCTTTAAATGTAGCTTAATGCAAATCAATGTTGCAATACTGCTGATTCTGCATGTGTTTTGATTATTCTGGTGAGTTTGTGCTCCCATTGGTTAAAAATGTGAGGTAGAAAGAGAAGTGTGTAGACAGAATAGAAAGCATGCATGTGTGCTAAAAATGGACTAGTTGGGTTTTAAAAAAGGTTTTAAGATGGGTTCTGTTCCTGTTAAGACAGGTGGGCCTATCGGGCCTTTCTCAGAGAGCTCTCAGAATGTACTACACACATGCATCATACAACACCAAACATTAAAAGCTTTAACACTTAATTAAAACTAAATAACCAGGTGATTTGCTGCATTTTGCATATGGACGGTGGAATATATTATACATATGGCATGTTAATCTATATTTATGTACACATACACACACAGGCCACAAAATTAAGCATACCTTTTTAACTGTTTCAGAGTCAAAAACCCTCCTCTTTCAGCTCAGTGATTTTAGCTAACAGTAAGCTAACAGTAACTTAAATAACCACTTGTTACAAACAAGCAAAGCACCCTTTAACACACTATGATGAGTTACAAACACAAAAACCACAACAGCGCAGGTCTTGTGAGCCAAGAACCATAAAATTGTATGCAAACATGTATGCACATCATGGTGGATCCTTATTTCTGCTGTCATCTTTTGTGCAAACATCACAAGAGCATGTGTCCACGTTGGCTTGTATTAATGTTTTAGGTCATTGGCTAAGGTGTAGTAGTGTAATTTGTAATGGAATATTTTGAGTTACTCCGAAAATGCTACAATGCATCTGCTCTTTCAAGATGCTAATGTAAACTGTAAAAAAAAAAAATCAAAAATCAAACCATCTCAAGCAGGTTAACTGTCCACTGTGGTGGAAAGAGATTTGAATTACATGTTTTCATCTGACAAATTTGCAGCAACCTCGTTAGCATTTTAACAAAATCTCTTAAATTATTGTCTTAAATCATCACACTTTACAACAGCTAAACTCAATTAATTATCCTGTAATACCCAAACACTGCATTACACACGTTATACATTCATTATCCTACAATACACAAACACTGCCTGTATATACATACAGTATTTATTCTATACTGTGTATATTTATACTCTAAGCCTCTACTTACCCATTAATCTTACCAATACAGTGTTTACTGCTACTTACTATGTGTTTTTCCTACTGTCTCTATATGTATGCTCTGCATGCCGCTGCTACACTGCAACTTCCCAGACTGGGATCAATAAAGTACACCTATCTATCTATACAGCATCTTGATAACTTTATACGAGGGAACTAAGGATTTTAAATCAAAAGGGAGTTTGCCAAAGCAGAAAAGAGGTGCACCTAACGAAGTACCCAAAGAAGTTGATAAAGCTTTTTTTTTTTTAATCGGGTATAGCCCAGGAAACCTCATCCCCAACAACAAAAGCAATCACCAGTGCTCTACGCAAAACCTGTCCCACCTTTCCCTAACTTTTCTGGATAACGGTAAGTCGAGTTACCTCTGGAGGATCCCAGACGTGACAGAGAGGATCGTCTAAAAGATGGGTAACCAAAGTAGCTGATGTCCTCAGAGAACATGGCATCAGCATCGATAATCACGCTGGGATGGGCAGAGTGAATGTCAGCATCCAAGAGGGACATCAGGTCCTCTGTGAGGAAGAAAAGCACAAAAGGATGCTCGGTTTTTAATGACTATACTGGGAAAACATATTCACAATTGATATTTATTTGAAAAGAAAATTGTTATTTAATTCTATCAAACCTCCAGGGAGGTAGGACTCGCTGGCCGTATCATCACCATCGTCCCCATCCTCATCATCCCGGCTCAGCAAGTTGTTGACAGCGAGGTTGACATCTAAGTTGGTCCGCTGGAGCTCTCTGATGATCACACTCCTGGACTTACCCTGCAGAACTACTTGGGCCTAGAGAAAGATATTGTGCAAAATCTTATACTACAGCTCAACAGTTTCAAGTCCCTGAGTAAATGTATTGGCTTCACTATTTGAGTGTAAATATACCTGAAACCACAGAAGGTTGGAAACCCTGACGATCTTACCTGAGTTATAAGTTCTTCAGGGATGACAGAAGCTGGTATGACTGGCTGTGGCTGGCTACCAAGAAGGCCTGAGCCACGGTCCCTTCCCGTTCGGATCACTCTGGTTTGTCTGCGAGAATCACGAGCCGCTGTTGACGACCTGCCTGATGTGCTTCCACCCCCACCTGCTCCACTGCCACCCCCTCCTCCGCTGCTGCCACTTGGTGCTCCACCTCCCCCTGCACCACCTCCACTTCCACCTCCTCCACTGCCTCCATTTACACCAGAGCTCCAGCGACTCCTATTACATACAGTGCAAGGCCAGAGTCAAACAAGAACTGCCAACAGCACCATCTGTCCAACAGAAAATAAATACATGCATACATGGCTAAAATGGATTAGCCTATTGTGATGGCAAAAAAGGGAGACATTTATCCAGAAATGTTTTTGTTTCGATATGATATAAATATGCATTTTACTTAAATTATTTCATGTATACTGTGTTAATGAATATATTTTCATTTATTTCTACAACAAATTCCAAAGGTCAGTTGAAGAATAAGTCATTTATTTTGCACTCAGTCCAGTTCAATTTCAGTATGAGGGTCAACAGACATAGTTTGACAAGGAAACCATGCTCCAGTGGTCAAATAACAGGACCCTTGGATGTCTGCTTGCTGAAAATATAGCTGGTAGATAATGTAAGCTTTTTGGAGGAGACATTTATCCATAAGCACCCTTCTGGTTTACTCATCTGAATGTGTGGCAGTGAACCCTGTGGGGGAATAAACCCCTGAACCACTGCAGCTTCAGTGCTGGGATCCTAACACTGAGCTTTTACAGGAACATTTGTCTCTGTCAGCCCTGCCGGAACTTACCCAAGGGTGTTGCCTGCCAGTCTGCCAAGTGTGTCAGAACCAGACAGGAACCAGGGCGGATCACTAGTCCTGCCTGGCCTGGAGCTTCTTCCTGTCCCTGAACCACTGCTCAACTTTGAACTGGAAACAAAAGATGGAAAATCAGTTACAAATCTAAAAAAAAAAAAAAAATAAAGAATTGTCCTAAAAGGACCAAAAGATGTTTTACTACCTGGGTGAGTAAAAACTGAATTTAGCCCAGGTATTAATTTCATTATACCTCTTGGTTCAGGATTGTTTTTTCTTTTAATATTTTACCAGTATAAAAGTATGGGGTATTTTGGAGACCAGCATGGCAACACCCTTGGGAATCAGAATTGACTGCAACTCATTCCTCCTTCAAGACTTTCCATTTAATAAAAAGTTCTTGGGGTTTTTAGGGCTGCGACTGCTTGCTCCTATTACAGTTTGTTCCCATTATGGAATGTATGAGCTTGAAAAATGTGCAGTGTGTATTATTACATTTAAATGTAATGTGTTCAAACTATTTTTTTAAAATATGTTGTAGCTTTGTTCACTAAGAAAACCAAGATTTCGACACTACCTATTACCACAATATAAATTAGGGGTGTGAAATAATGTCAATACACCAATATATTGCGATATTTCATTTCACAATACTTTTTTGATATTCTACCGCACAGGTATTGATTTTTTAAAAATGTTTTTAGTTAACAATTAACATGCACAATATTCATCGCATTGGTTCATTTTATTTTATTTGTATTACTTCCTTAGCAATTACAAATGTAGATGTTTCAATGTAGACATTTCAATTTTAGTTACCTGATGTTAAGCAATTGCCAATACACACCCTCGTGTTAACAAAACTCCCATTTAAGGAAGAGATGGTACACTAAAATACAACATAAACTAATAAGTGCAGACAAAAGGACAATGAATAATCTGTTGTGTTTTAACAAGCAAAACTAATGCTTAGTGATGAACATACAGCTTTTCTTGAAAGAAAAATTACATGACATTCCCAAAGGTACAGTGTAGGACTTGCCATATTATATGACCAGGTAACACACTGACAATAGTGGCCAAAATCAATTTTTTAACCTATATGTACCCATATATGACTTTTTTTCTGAAAGTGAAACTCCACAAATCCATTTTTGTTTCACATCCGCCCGAGGTCATACATTCATATGTGATCCTAAATTGATCTCATGTCATACGATTTTTACATCATCGAAGTGAGAAAGACAACAATTTTATGTAAAAGCAGGGGGTTTGTGCCATAAAATGTAAATGATTTACAAAGTGAGCATGCAGACAGTTACAATTGCTCCACAGGCATAAGAAGGCAACAGTACTGGAGGAATCACCAGGCTTGGTATTTAGACAACTGCATCTTACAAACAGATACACACAATGCCAAAACATCTGATCTTAGCAACAAAAAAACTGAATTTAGCAACAAAACCTCCAGTGTGAATGTAGTCCTAGAGGGGGTGTATATTTATTGTCTAGATGACACTGAAAACTATTAGTGAGCAATTCCCTAGAATGCATGAAAAATGTTTCCCTGAGCCACAATAGGCAAATGTCTTCTAAGGGATTATGTACCAGTTTACATTTGCTGCCTGTTCAGGATGTCTAGTAAAGATGACTATTTTTGTATCCCCCGGTAGTGTCATGGTGAAAATTAAATGAGAAAAGCAGCTCTATTGTGTGAAACACAGCTAGACAACATTTCATCAAGCAGAACAACAAAAACTCTACCACTCTTTAACAAAGTTAAACAAAGGATAGACCTGCATTGAACTCAGACAGATTTTATTTCTGGTAGACATTATTAGCAAAACTGGTCTGAGTATTATTAAGGCCATTCTCTAAAACTGAACCCACATGAGACTCACACTCACTCAAAAAGGTCATCACAGCCAAATGGAAATGAAACCCCAGAAGTCACCACGAGTATAATCCTGAGCATGCTCAATGCATCAACTAGAAATATCTGTAAGCCACCTGTGTCTCAGCTCAATGCCAAAGCTAAAACAGTTTCAGGGACAGATCTCATCACAAACGTGTTACTTACCCATCGTTGCCATCTGGTTTGCTAAGCTCCAAACGATCAGGCTGGACCGCAAAGCTGATTCTACACACTCGTCCATCCTGACAAAAAAAGATCATATTAATTTATCAACTTAGACAAAAACAACAAAAAAATAATCATGTAGAGTAACCTACATCAAACAAATTATTTTCATATACAACTTTATATGTTATATCAGATGTTCTTGCAAAGTGTTAACGCATACTTGTGTTGCCTTGTGGCTGCCAATGATGGCAGAGGTATTTTACAAAAATAGGAAGCATGCAATTTCATAAATGAACAATTTATTTCCCATATTGAGAATGCATTCTAAAAAACAGAAACTGGGTTAGAAGTTATTATAAACATATATGTAAAACATATTTGGTAAATATATGACAGAGATAATACAATCTGCTGTAGTTTGATTCGTTTCAGAATCAATATCATGACTTATAACAACAATTACACTGCATTTTTGTTGGTTTTATTTCTATTTCCATTTAGTTTTAAAGAGCAAGGTAACTAGGTTGACTTTTATGGTTAGGTATGACTCATTTAATAAATCTTTAGATTGGAAAACATTATTTAGTATCAGCAGTATTTGCAATAGACATTTTATTTTAATAATATGGTAACATATACTGGGCATTAAGGCACAATTCACAGATAAAGGCCAGAAAGAAAATGCTAATAATGTTTGTTATTGTTTTACAATAACAAAGTTAAAATAAAACTCATACTAATATCACAGCCTAATTAAGAGCCAGCAGACAACACAACTAATATTTTGGTGTTTAATTAACACCTATGATACAGTGTGGAATTTAAATACCTCCAGTAGAAATCCAGCATGGTTTGGACCAACAACACACTGTTTCAGTGGCGCCTGCTCCAGCAAACTGAGGTGTGGGTGACTGCATTGAAAAAGCAGTGAGCAGTCAAACACATTTAGACGGTTTACATTTCATCTCTCTATGCAAAGCATTGTGCAGTAAAAATAATAAAGACTCACCTGCTGTAGCTGTATTTGTTGAGTTTTTCAGAGACTTCGCGGAGCCTGTCAAGGAGATGGAAACAACATAAATGCAGCTTCAGTCTCTGTATAAACAATGTTTTCATGAAGGCGAAAAAACATTCAATTCTATATCCTTTATAACCTTAGTCTGGTTAACAATATTTAGAGGGCATGACTGACATGCACCATTTGTTTATAATAGAAACAGGAAGTCTGTATCAATTAGTCACCAATTAAATGACTATTCATAGCAGCTGTAATTATTGCAGCACAAAATACTTTTCTAAGTAAAACCTAGGTGGAAAAAACACCAGCTGAAGGCTGTCTGGTCAGATCTACACTATGTAAGACCTGCCCTGTGTTACTGGCATTGAGCAGTTTGCTCTAATGAACATGGAGTGACTGCATGTAATGCCGGAAGTGCACAGTCACACCGAGCTGAAATCGATCATTAAGCTAACATTTAGCTGCTGTAGATACTAAAATCTTTATGGACGTTTTAACAGTCCCATCTGGCAATGAAGCAGTCTTTAAGATGTCAAGTAACAAGCATCAGTAAATGGTGAGTGGAGATAAATTATAATATATGCAGTATATCATTTGTCAGGATGACATTATTTTATTCACTATTACGGAATGTGTCACTATTACATTACACTGGTTCAGTCATTGTTTTTTGCTGACGATTAGGGAAATTCTCTACTGGCTACAGGGAAAACTTTGAGAGTCTGCACTGTGTCATGCGTTAATTGAGGAACTGAGTAAGTTAATGCATAATTAAAAGATTTAAATTAAAAGGCTGTACAGTTGCTTGACATTAACTATCATGCATGAAGTGAAGCAATGACGATGCTTAAGATGGTCAAGTTGTTTTATGAAAAGGAATATTTTCTAGACCTCTCTAAGCTCTGTTGTTAAAAGAGAATAAAAACGGAATGACTCAATAAGGCATTTCACACTGATGAAAAGGTGATAATTAGAAGTTATTTTCCATAAGAATCTGGCATTTCTAATGGCTCACCCATTCTGGTTCACTGTGGCCTAATTTTAATAATAATTACTAATACTTCCTTTTTTAACCATTTCTTCAGTTGATAGGACCAGCGGCATTACTGTATATCGTTTTATTATTTGAGTGTGTGTTTAACACACATACTGTTTTGTCTCCAAGTTGTGATCTAGCAGCTCAGGAAGCAATCAAGAATAGCACCGGTAACATATGGATGACAGGAGCAAACATGGATAAAGAAAATGCTGCTTAAATTCCACAAGATGTGAACCAAGTATGCACTGCAGTACATTGATGCCATGAGTAAACCCAACTCAAAAAAGGAGCTCTGTTATTGTGCACTACACTGCTGTATTTTTGCATCCTCTAAAAGAACACAGTTTAAATGAACAGCGTTATTGTCCTAATACATGGTGCAACATTTCTTTGCAACAAACCACACCATACTGTTTAATGGGATGCTCTGCCTCCACATCCCAACATCCTAAAGGATTTTTTTATATAGGCAACACTTTTGGGTTGTACACTGTGACATTATACAAACATTTGCATAAACCACATATAATTCTTTGGGTATATTTGGGACTGAACAAATAATTATTTGCAATTAACCACATGCTCACTATTACTTACTTTATAAGTAGTCATGACAAATATTTTATTTAACAGACACCCCCAGGCAATATAAAGGAAAGGAGTTACTAGACACATACATTGGCATCCTCTTTTTACTCTAGGTCACTGTGAAACAAATAATTAAAAGTTTAATGGCTTTTGTCATTTTCCTACAATAAACTGATAACTCTGAAAAGACAGTCGAGTACAACATGCCACTTAAAGTGAAGAATTGAAGTGAAGTTCTTATCTGTTCCAACAACTGCAAGCTCCTTGATGAGTAAAAAAGAGGAGGGGGTTACTAGCAACACATGGTTACTGCAGCATGCAATATAGTATGCATGCCTGTAGACGAAACAGCCATAACTCCTTCCAGGAACTGTTGGACCATCAAGATTCTTGAGAGGTGCTTTCAATGTGTTACTAGAAGTGTAACTAATTTTTCTAACAGACTGAAATAGACCTGGAAAGCACTTAGTAGTGTCTAAATATTCTGAGCTTATATATCTCAAGGTCATTCTCAAAACTATCATTTCAGCCTTTTGTCTGTAAGTAGAACATCTCATTAATCAGTTCAATCTCACTGGATGATATAAATAGTTTATCATAAATCACATGTGCTACCAGAGTACAGGTAGCTCAGTTTTCCCTAGACCTTCCTCCTAACTGCTTCTTCTGACTATGGGTCTCTTCAGTTTTCCAACCAAAAACATAATTAAGCCCATGCTGTGTGATGCAGGCCTGAAGCACATTACCATAAATAGAGTGGATACAAGTTACACTACCATAAACAATGGCAGCTTTCATAATGTAACACAAGACCTAAAATTTACAATTTTTGATAAATCAAAATCATATCCAGAAGGTATCAAAACACTTTAAAAAATGGCCATAAAACACAAAACTCCCAAAATAGATGTAAACCAAAAAGGTAAATTTATCATACAGGCTGTAAAAAAGATCTCCAGCAACAACAGCAAGTTGGACAGATTTTCTGATGGGGTACTGGTGTCTCCTTACATGTCAAAAGTCTATTTTCTTAATTTATTTGAACTATGGCAATACATTGTAAAAGGCTAGTGTACGGGAAATGTGATCTGTTATAAATGCAGACAAATTATTATTATTATTGTCTGATGAGGCTGACTCTGAAAGGTACTTTTGTCACAAACATTAAACTGCATGTTACTAAAAGATTACCATAACCATGTGGCAGCATTGTGTTAAAAGGCTATTTTCGTCATGGGGTACGAACTAATGAACAGACCCCAAACATCTGCTAGAAAATTTAAGACAAAGAATTAACAATTTTAGAGAAACAACCTCTTAACATACACTACCAAATAATCAAATCCCTGGTTATAGCAAAAACTAAAGACAATTATGCTGCAATAACATTTTTTATGACAAATAATCAAGGCGATGCAACCACCTTGTTAGTTTTAAGATATGGAGATAATAGCACTCTTTTGTAAAACATTTAAAATTTTCACATTTACTGCAATATTATGTATAAACAAATCTATACAATATCTAGGCCTGTGTTGTATGGAGTGTCACTGCAAAGCTATTAAATAGTTGCATTTTATCTTAATTGCTTCGTGAAGGCCCAGGAATCCTCTCTACCATAAGGTAGATAACAAGAATATTTGGAATTCAAAACAACGTCGGCGGCTGTTCTTTCCCTGATAAAGAATGAAAAACGCGTGAGAAAACAGTGTTCTGTGCCATTTAACTTTTCGTAATTAAAATGTAAATACTGAAACCTTTCATGAGTATGAAATCGAATTTCTGAGCTAACATTAGCAGCTAGCTATCAGTTAGCTGACGTTGGCTACCTTATTGATCGAGATAATTAACCAGGCTTCGACCACAAAACAAACAGTGACACATGACAAATTAGCAGCCACGTTATTTCAACACTAAAACCAGCATGTTGTTGAAATGTCGTTGTTTGTTTACGACCCCGTATTTCCCTCTCTTTTACCCCCATCCCCCTTCGAATCCGCATTGTCTATGTCAACTTTGACTGCGAGCCAATCCTTGTAAAGAAGCAAGGAACCAAGCTACTGTTAGCTGTCCGTGTGAAATCCAGTTAACAGCTAACGGGCTAACAGCTAACAGCACTGAGCCCAGTGTTTAAACCAGGATTGTTCAAGATGCCGGGCCTCGTTTCAACCCCAGGGGGTCAATAAAATGGTTCAAACCCAAATTCTTATACATGTCAATGTGAACTCCATTCACAAACAACACTCCAATCATGTAATAGCCCCATTTATACCTAAATGTACGTTAAAATAATTATTTTATCGCGGAACGCAGCAAAATACCTGTCATTGAGCTGATCCTCGGTCCCGGGCAACGGGTGAACCACGAAGTGTATAGATGTCATGGGTTCAATCCTAAATCACACACGGATGCGTGGAAGGTGTGGAAACAGTTTTTCTTTCGATTATGATGTGAATGTGGAATCATAGGAGACGTTTAATGGCGAAAACCCCTCGAGTTGAGCTTCTACTGCCTCCTCACCCACATGCCGCCATCTTAACTCTATTCGGCTTCTTCTTCTCTCTACCCCTCTGCCGCTCTCTCTCTCGCTCTCGCTCTCGCTCTCTCTCTCTCTCGCTCTCACTCTGTGTTTGTGTATGTCTTTGCGTGCGTGCGCGTGTGTTGATTACTGCACACATACAGCCGCTGGTTGGAGCTCTATACAAACAGGAAATGTATTAAATTGGAGAGGCTGACCTGGGGAAAAGACAACAGCGGCAGTACTGCATAGACTATGTTTTCTAACCATTTCCCCAGATTAATATTTTATCATTGTTTTCTCTACCCTCTACACGTGAATTACTCCAACACGAAAAACAGGAAATGCTCGTATTCTTACCACCTCGTGGCAATGCAAGACAAAGAATTTACACAAAAGGCTATTTACCAGCTTTACAGCATTTGTGTGGGTTACGATCAGTATACATGGGGACGGACTAAGCCAAATTATTTAATATTATTAATAATAGTAGTTGTACGGTTTCGTCGCTGGAATCTTTTTTTTCCTGCATAACCTGCTATAAGGTTTCATGTTTTTTATCGCACAGATTAATTTACCTACTTTGACCTAGAGTTTTTTTTGTTTGTTTGTTTTTTACCATTTAACTATTTCACTGTATAATATGCTTTGGTCTATGTAAAACTCAATAATATTGTAATTAACATGTGCAGTTTTTAAATAAAACTGTATTGTACTTACTGTATGTTAGATTATGACATCTTAGAATTGTTTTGTAGACTGTCTGACTGGAGTCATCAAAACTCAATCACACCATTTGCTGATATTTGGCACATGTAATGGTTCATCCCTGACTATTATTCCAAGTTAAATACACATTTGTTTACCTCACATTCTCCTTTTAATCAAACTCAAACGCAGAACTAACGTTTGTCCTTGATTACGACATACTTACTTCTGACGCTAATAAATGTTTTTTAAACCAGCAGATGGCAGTGTTTACCTTTAGTATTTGGATCTATCTATCTTTATCTATCTATCTAAGATTTAAGCGAAATTTGACATTTGATCAAACAAATGACTTCTTAAATTATATTTTTCTATATTTTTCTTACGACCCTAAGAAATAACCATTATTAAACGTTTTTCATGGCTGTTATAATCCAATAAAGTTCACACATTATTTTGTTTAAAGTGAAAATAATAATTTTTAAAGTATCTATCTTTCAAGGAATAAGCAAAGTATTCCATTAGACCCATCGGTCCTATTCTGTATTGCATGCCACACAAACATCTGACAACAATTCTGTATTTTTTTTGTCTTGTTTACCCAGTTCAAATAGATAAGTCAAAGAAGTCAGTTTCATTGACCTGTCAAGGAAAACAAATCCAGAAATGTCTAAACCTATTTATAGCAGACAGGGCAAATGTTATCACTGAACCTCAACCTAGCTCCAGTTCCCAGAAAAGAACCAGCCCAGTGAGTTGAATGACTTCCAACCCCTGGCACTTACATCACACCTGATGAAGACCCTATATATTCAAACTACATATTATATTATATTCCACGAACCCTCATGGGTCATTCATTCATTCATCTTTAGGTGGAAGCTTTAGAAAGGTCACAAGTTCATCCATTACGTAATCAATATATACAGTGAAGCTTAGCACATAAATTCAAATTAGTTTTAAATTAAAGAAAGTAGGTCTCCATCACTCTGATCATGTGCTTTTGTTAATTCTGAGATAGTCTGTGATTTAAACACTCATTCAATAAAGTAAATAGAACATTGGTAAACAACATCTAACATTTCTCAATCATTACACAGTAATATGGAAAATATAGTGGAGCTTAGCATTAAACACATTAACTGTTCTCTTCTACCAATTTATTCTTGGATCTGCTTCCACGGAAAACCTACCTACCAGTGTGTGGGTTTGTCTGTCTTTGTTAATATGTATGTGTGCGTCTCTATGACCAGCCTTTTTGTTCTGACTCTGTATTGTGCAGGAAGGTCTAGACAGTTGACACTAGGTTAATCCACAAGGCAGCCTGAGGCCATTCACTGTTGACTGACCCCTGACTCCCACTGAGAACACAGGGCTGCATAACCGAGGAACATTTTAATTCAAATTTGCAAAACCTGATGAGTTCATGAGTATGAATGTGAAAAGGGAAATAACTTTCTATATTGTCATTTTTTTCCAATTGCAATAATTGGCAAATGATAATCGATCATTGGATGACTACAAAGATTACGTTCTGCTTTTCCTCATTTTAATTTCCCATAAGTTTATTTTATGCAGTTCTGTGAATTCATTACATTTATTTAACTATATATTTAGCCTACATTTCGGCAATTTAGTTTTTAAATTAAGACACATCCATCTAAGCTACATTAGCATTGTGTGTGTATGTGTGTGTGTCTACGCAGCCTGTGTACCACGTCTCCCCCACGTCCCTGTCATTCCTCGATCACGCACCGTCTCCCTTGCCCATTGGTCGGTGTTCGTACACACCTTTGTGCGTCATTGGGTGAGGCACTAGTCCACGCCCCGCTTTTCCCCCACGGCTTTTGAAAGGATGAATGGGCGCTGGGCTGAGCAGAGAAGCAGCAAATATAGCTGAATCTTGGGTTTCAAGTGCTAACAAACAAACCCGAGCGGACGTGTGAAACACAGAAGTGCTGCAACATGACCAAAACTGTAAGTACGTCTTTAATTTAAAAATAATTACACATTAGATACGACTTTCATTCTAATTAACGAGGATGCTTAATGAGATGTACGAGAGTGTCTTATTTATTTTTACTTTCAATTTTATGACGTTAGTCATGCTTTTTTGTAGTGACTATTTAAATCAGACGTTACCATCTCACAGCAGTTCTGTATGTGGTGGTAATTGCCCATTTGTGTGGTCATCGGGCCAGGTCAGTTAAGTAAATGTCTCCAGTGTGGGTTGTGTGCGTGTTTGTGTAAGCAGCTGGTGATTTTTACAAGTAGGTGAAAGGTCCTCAGCGCAGAACAGGAGGAGGAGCAGCAGCAGCTGACCATGCTTCCTTCACATGCTTCTTCGTTACATATTTGGCTTCTTAACAACTACAATCAATTTGAAACGTTGTTACTTAGAAGCTAAGACATGTCACAAGGCATGTCTGGAGTTTTCTCAGAGGTTAGGTAAGGACCAACAGATGAGTCACTGAAGACTCAGTCCACCAACACCACTTCTTTTACATGCCCTGTGTTTAAAGTTATGAATATTTGACCAGTTATTCTTACAGAGAATTTTTCTTCTTTTTACATCCATAGAAAGTTGCATTAAATATAGAGACTAAATGATTACCTCCCAAAATTAATTTAATTACCTTAGTGATTACCATGAAGTACTACAGACAAGAAATGTTTAGTAGGCACTTAGTAAGACATTATTAACTCTCCTGATCATTTTATCAGTAATGTTGTATGATCTCACGTTCCTCTCAAGGTGGCCTCAATCCTGTGCAGACCTCCAGTGATTATCTTTACTGGTACTTAATGTCCACACTTGAGAAACTTGATTTCTGTTCTGCTGCCAGATGTTCAACATGGACTCTGAGGACCTTCACTCAGCCATGCAGAGGGTGGACGAAGGAGACATGGATGCTGTGGAGACTCTGATGTCCATGACATATCACTGGAAAAACAGAAGCTTTAAGGATGGGAATTTCAGACCTCTCACTCCATCCTCAGACTGTTCAGGAGAAGACTGTGCCTCTACAGTTTCCACTGCTTCACATGATTCAACTTGGGTAAGTGACACGTGAATAATCAAGTGACGAACATATTGGCCACCACATGATTTGGCTTTGAGCCCCTTAAACGCTCTACTTAAGGGTCAATTTCTATATTATGTTCATGAATTATACATGTATTTAATATAATATAAAAACCTCCATTTGTCCCCAGTGTATGACACCACCATATAGCCCACTCCACTGCGAGGCCACACAGCTAATCCCACAGGCAGCTGCACATTATCCAGAATCTGGAAGCCCAACCTGGCAGCCAGTAGAAGACACCAATCCTGCTGCTCCCCAGCAGAAGTTCAAGTGTACCAGTGTAATCCGCCACACAGCAGATGGTCAGCAATGTGTTCACCCTATCTTAAAAGAATCCTGTAAATCCTACACAAAAGACTCTTTACAACATTTGAGCTCAGGTGATGGCTTAAAAAACAGAGGCTCTGACCCCAGGGCTCCAACGCCTCAAAAGACTGTGACTGTGCCAAATATCGTAAAGGAAACACCAAACCAGAAAGCTGTTTCATGTTCAAGTCATGATCCAGTTCCACCACAATGTATCTCCACTTTGTCTTCTGGTGCTAATCAAGTTTCTCCTGTGCCTGTCTACTGCCAAATCCTTCCTGTTTCTTCTATAGCCACCACTGGTTTACAAATGCCCCAACAAATGAGCCATAAACAAACCCCAGCAGCTTCGTTGGCCCAGGTTTTTGTCCTTGGAGGCCAGGTTACCCAAAGCCCTTTAATGCTTCTTGTTCCTCAGTCAGCAGTTCCTACCATATATGCTAAACCTGCACTAGTGACACATGATGCCAACAAGTTACCAGCTATTGCGCCTGCACCTAGCTCCACCCCAGTGGAACAAAAACACAGCAGAGTCCAGGCTGAGCTGCCGCGTGTACGTAGTCATGTGTGTCCGCACAAAGACTGCACTAAGACCTACTTCAAAAGTTCTCACCTCAAGGCCCATGTGAGGACCCACACAGGTGAGAGAATGACGAAGGTGAATACTGTGAGGACATATTTGATCTTTAGATGGGCTGTAAAAGCATTTAATGTTTTTTTTAATGTCAGGTGAGAAGCCCTTCAAATGCAAGTGGGAGGGCTGTGAGAGGCGATTTGCTCGCTCTGACGAACTGTCTCGCCATCGCCGCACACATACGGGAGAAAAGAAGTTTATCTGCCATTTGTGCCACAGCAGCTTCATGCGTAGCGACCACCTGTCCAAACATGCCCGGAGACACCTGACAGCGAGGAAAACACCTAGCTGGGTGTTGGGGCTCACCCAGGCTACAGACTTTATCCCTAAAGATGCAACTGAAACAAAACTGTGAATTTCAATGTTGTTGGTTTTCCTTTTGAACAATAACAATGTGAAGCTCATTAGTAATGTACTGCTCAGGTAAGTCAGCTATTAAAGCTTTGATATGACACTGTATATTTAGCACATTAAATTTATTTGTTTGCAAATTTAACTTAATTTATTTTGTTTACCTTTCATTGAACAAAGAATGTTGTACAGGTTCCTTTGTGCCATATAGGCTTGATTTCTTGCACATGACTACTATGAAGGATGAATTACTCTTCTTTATGTAACTAATGCATGTATTTTGGCACGTGTTGGCTTTTTCTACTGTCATCATTTAATATCTGTAAAATACAAAGACAGTGACTCGCATTTCTGTCCGAGTTTTGTTTACTACTGTTCACATTGACAAGCACAGCTACAAGTTAATAGCAGACAAATCACTAAATTCCTCATGCTTACACAAATATTTTAGACAAAGACAATTTTTCAGAAAAATACACAACTTTTTCAAAAGTCAAGAGTCAAAAGTAGTTTTAAAACAAAACTCTACTAAAATGCAGGTGGGTTACAGTTCTGGATTTCTTGACAGAAGTCCCTTTTCTACACCAGACATGTCATTCAACACTTGCTTTGTTCCGTCTGTAGTACTGTACTGCTGTACTGCTGTGTAGTAAAACCTTTCACCTGCAGGAAAATCAGTTAAGACACCAGAAAACTGGTTAACACTGTTCGAATGGCCTTTTAAACACATTCTGGGATTGGTTTTCTTCACACAATCATAAAACTGGCAAATGTCCATGTGCAAACAGTATGTGCTGTATGAGATTGCTGCAAGCCTTAGTTTTAACACACTGATGATAATTTAATTGAAATTTGATAAAGGAATAATTTATTTAACTATAATAAAATCTGTGGTATCAGTTCAAATAATAAAAGTACATTCTGGGACGAAGCACAGAGGTCTTAAAGAGGATTCTGTTTAAATACACTTCTTCACTCAGGATATACATTTCTGTACAATACTATCAGCAGCAATGGAGACACCTCTTTTGTCAAACTGGATCATGAATTTTCTAATCTACATTTCTACAGAATGTAATATCTTTAGCTGAATGCCAAAAGCTTAATAAAATCTGTATTTGACTTTTTATGACTTAATTTTCTTCCATGCTACTGAAAGCTAACAGTTGTAATCACATAATACACTACACATTTAAGGTTTCAACATCAACTTGATCCAGTCCCAGCAGGTTCAAGCACTGTTTTTACAGTTCATCTCAGTGGAATGTAGACCAGACAAAGCTAGCAGCAGAACCCAGTGGTCTGGCCAACGACTGCTAAGCTGGGACAGAGAAAGCAGCCTCTGGATGGCAGGAATTGAAGCAATAAGGGACCAAGGAAAAGTTCTTCAGTGTAGCCTCATGGATACTGCAATTTTCCTGAAATTCAAACCTAGTGCAGGCCAATAAAATATGTTGAAGATAAAAATACACAACACAATGCAAGGGATACTACAATTGTAGGACAAACTTAGAGAATTTACAATTTAAGCATCATCTCTCCTTACCAGTCTCTCGAGGAGATGACAAAGTATACAGGGGGTGGTGGTGAGTCAGATGTGGTGCAAAGAGGCTGACCGAGGCTGTAGGCCCCAGCATGGCTGAACAGGAGCCAGTCACCAATGTTGAGCTCAGGTAATAAACAGTGCTCCACCACGAGGTCCAGGTCATCCCCAGATGGACCCCAAAGACGGCTGCTGAACACTGGAGCATCCAGGGAGATGTTCTGAGAACACAGAGGTCATTGTTCGGTATTTATTCATCACAGAGTATAAACTTATATTAGAGACGGACTATATACCAGTGAAATGTATTAAATGTGTTCAAACAAATAGAACTCACTTTGTGAACAGATGGAGCCACAATCACTGTGTCTGAAAGTTTACTGGAAAAGGTTCCATAAACTCCTTCATTTATGTAGTACTGAAACTCTGGCTCTTCATTTGGCGACAGATCTTCTGTGCAGATATATAGTGCATAAAATAATTTTGAGTAATGGACTTTGACTCTTGTTCTTTTTAAGTAGAATGAGATCTAATAAATTATTGCAACTTGACAATTATCAGGAAATCAGACAGTCTTAAAGAAAGCCAATGACCATAACCTTGATCCTGCTGATCCAGGGGATCCATGTCCTTGGAGATGATGTTAACAGCCAAGGTGAAAGCAGAGGTGACAAAGAAACTCCCAGGCTCAGCAACGATAGAAACTCCAGTAGAAGGTGGGAAGTACAGGTCCACCATTGACATGATGGCAACGTTGACCTGCATGAAAAGATGAGGGAGATTAAGTGTGTGGTGTCTCAACCATCAATAAATAAGGCAACAAATTTGAAATTTGAGAAATACAATTCAAAATGACTTAATATTATTTCCCTGTATCTGAGGATGAGGTTGAACAAAGTTTTATAAAAGAGGTCAGAGGTAATAAAAAAATCCACCTCATATTTCATCTTCATCTGCTGTACAAATGGCAAAACAAAACTTACTGACCTGCACCAGCTGAGCCTCAGTGACACTAAAGCCTCCTCCAATGTCAAGGATTTTCATGTTGAACCCAATTTCCTCCTGTAACAGGCAGAAGGATCACTAGTACCAAATTTGTATTGGTGAGTGGTGGAGGGGGACATAAGCTGGGGAGAACAGTTTCTCTAAATTAAGTAATACATTGAGTAATATACCAGATATAACTTACTCCCATATCAAAAACACAGCGGGCATCTGAGATGGCATGGACGTAGACCTGGTCATCCTCACAGGAGTGAGAAATGTGAAATCTGTGGTGAGGAGCAATCCAAAAGACTATTTGAATATGATGTATTAGGCTGGTTAGTTAATGTAAGAGTTTCAATATTTTGTAACAAACTTACAACTTATCAAGTCTTTAGGCCTCACCTGACTCCAACAACCTGAACACTCAGTTCCTTTGCCTTCTCCAGGAGACGCCTGCAGTCCTTCAGGGAGCAGCCAATTGTCATGCTTATGTCATCATCCAGGTTTGATGCCTGTGTTGAAACCTGCAGCAGCAGCCTTAATCAACACACAAGGACAAAATTGATATGGCAACATCCTCTTGATAATTAAAAGAAAATTAGAACAGAGCCAACTGAAAAAACATTTTTACATGAGACAAACAGAATAAAGCACCCACTTGGCATTGGGGTGAGAGCGTGAAATCTTGCGTAGCTCAGCTTCATTGTCACACACCAGAAGGTCGATGCCATTCTTAGCAGCATATTTAATGTGAGAGACCTGTTTGCAGAAACTACTGTAGATGATGTCTTCAGAAGGAATACCATGGCCTTGCACCAGCTCCAGTTCAGACTAATAGACAAAGGAGAATGACGCGGATACTTTTTATTACAGCGGTAGTATATGACATTATATGAGATGAGATCTATCTGGTATGAATGATTATAATTAAACAGTAAAACATTACCTTGTTGTTGCAAATAAATCCACTTCCAAGAGCAGCAAGAACCGCAATAACAGCTGAACTGCTGTTACATCTGACATTGTAGTAGGGTCGAATTTGGGCCATGTGTGTTCGCCAGCGAACATGTTGCCTCATTACAACACCAAGGTCTGCCACAAAGAATGCATTCTTCTCAGACTGAGAAAGAAAAAATGAAATGTGTAAAACACTGCAATCTTATGCAAAACAAGCAAACACACCAATAACAGATGTTAAGAGTAATATTAAAACATTCAGACTTAAAGAACACTAAAAAATGTCTTTGAAATGCAGTGAGAATTATACCAGGTTTTGTCCATAAATAAGGTTGTCAGTGACATCGAGGAGCATTGTGCCTCCCTCCAGCAGGCTGACAGAATACTGCTGTTCTTTAGCGAAGCCCTTCATTTTCTTCTCCAATTTGCTCAAATCCCACAGGCATAAAGAACGCGGCTAATTTGAGGTAGTATTGCGACTGAGCTGCTGAGCCCCTGGGGTCCTAGAGCTTTGCAACAAGCTGTACAAAAAACATGGTCAGAAATAGAGACAAATCTTAGACATAACACAATTTAGTAATGTCTAGACAATATACATTTACCCGTGCTTTCAAACTGTCATTCATATATTATGGGGGAAAAATATTCTTTTATGTGGTCTTCACAGTAAAAGTCTGCACTGACCACACAGAATAAACTACTACGCCATGTTAGCAAGGAAAGAATAAGCCCCCCCCCCCCATCAGTGTCCCTACTTTACTTTCAAAAACTTTGCACAGTAGTCACTACGCAATAGATACACACAATCTTTGAAAACATCCAGATTATATGAACAGTGCATGTCTTACTCACATGGATAAGTCCTAAGATGAACTTGTCCACTATCAACTAGGATCCCAAGGTGGCTCTGCGTTGAAGTCAAATGACTCTCGGTATAGAGCTGCCCCTAAATTCTCTGGATAGTTGTTGTACACCTGGAAGGGGACAAGTGAAGACAGGACAGATAAAAAACAGGCCCTGGCAGATGGTGGTATTTTTTTCTTAACTGATTCGTTATTTGGTTTAGGATGGATGGATGGATGGATAAATAGATAGATATCACTTTATTAATCCCTTCAGAGTCCCCTTCAGGAAATTTAGGAAGGTAAAAGACAGGTAATGGTAGAAAACGGTATGTCAAAAACAGTATTAATCCCAAATGTACCCCATTAATTGACAATACATGACCATGGATACTTTGAAACCTTAGACCAGCCATAGAATTAAATATTTTTAACGTTACTCGGTCAGCTGGGTGGGGGTATTTGTGAACAGGAATGTTGACAGTTCATTTAAATAGGTTCGCATTAGAAAGCCACCTAGCTACAGTAATAGTTCAAATATGTAAGTACGTCAATATATGACTAATGTGTTATCGGGTTTTTAAATAAAAGTTCTTGCACTAGCCCCCAAAAGTACGACAGTTATTTGCGATTTTAGCCGTTAACCGGTTGATTCACACATGTTAATTAATGAGCTAACACCATAGATGGCTAACGTTACTTACATTCACTGAAAACCCAGCCGAGGGGACGGATCGCTTTTTCCTTTTAAGCGGAATTTTTAATGAGTGATGGGTTTACATAAGGAGAAAAGATAAATTGCCATGGACGTGGTGGAGGTCGTCTTTTTCTTGTTCGTTGATCAGTATAGTAGGAATTGCTAACAGGAAACAGTGGACACACGGCAACAGCGAAATTGGGAGACGGACCCATAAACAACTAAACTAGACATAAAACAATCCGATCACATCCGGGTAAACCTTCAAAATAAATTCACTTGGTAACGAATAATGGTAAAATATAAATCAATTAATTTTTCAATGTGCAAAACTACTTACAACGAGTTAAGAATTGGCAAGTTATTGAAATTTAGACCTTCTAATGTGCATGTTACTTATTGGATGTAACACATGAGCGAAGGTTCCACCACCAGTCAAAAGCAGGGACCGGATCTTACAATATATTTTTTTTTTTTTTTTTTTTTTTTTTTTTTTTTTTTTTATTTTTTTTTATGGTCTGTATTGTCATTGTAACACGGGGATAAAACGAAACTGAGCCTCTGCTTTTAACCCATCACGTCATGTAAATTATCGTATTAAATTTGACATTTTTGGTATTTTACATTGGTTATTTAATTTTTAATGTTAGTAATGTTTTCTAATTTGATCTACAAATAATATATGTTAATATAGATAGATAGAACTTTATTTATAATAGATTATTATTTATAATATATAATATTATATAAACTGCTTTAGAATGAGTATACATTATTGCTGAGCTAAATCTTCCATAGTTTGTGCACCTCTAAGCATTTCATAAAAAAGCATTGCATTTCTCACCTGTGTTAGGTCACCACTGTATTTCCCATTGCTATAAAATAAGTATGGAATGCTGTCCGATTCAGTTTACAGGATTTCTTCCCCTTGTTTCTGAAGCCAAAGAAGAAAGGTTGTAAAACCCAAGTCCCATGAGCGATGTCTGTGATGAATGCATGTAATACGTATTTAAGTTCAAGCTCAAGTTCTTTCTCTATGCCTTTCTCAGTGTAACTTCAAGTTACAGTTGTGTTGCCTTTATAATCTCTAGACCAGAGATAGAGTGTGTTTTCTGTGGAGATACATTTGCATGTCTCCCTCCTTAATGGTAGAAAAGAGGAGGAGTGAGCTGAGGGAAGCCATCAGAGAGGAAAGGTTTTCCCTCCAGCTGGCTTGGACAGGGAGAGAAATATTTGCTACAGTTGTTTTTAGTGGAAAATGCAACAAAACATACTCTACAACTTAGAAAGGATGCAAAATCAATTGTACTTTTTTTGTACATTATTGTCTTTATGGTCTCTGTGTTTTCAGCACATTTTCTAAACCCAAGTTCTATTTGTGTAGGATGACTGTTTGATTTTGTTGATAAATTTTGAGTTTTAGTGTCAGAATTTTAATCTGAATATTCCCAAGAAGATTAATTGTTTGTAACAGCAAAAGTAGCCTTATGTAAAAGTGTGTACACTTTATATATTGTACTTCATTCAGAAAAAAAATAAAATCTTTAGAAAGCTTGTCTCATGACAAAATTAAATTCTAATATGCAGGATGTTTTTAACCAGAGCAGTCATGAATTGTATAGCTGTGAAAATTCTCCTTCGTGTGCAGTGAGTACTCACTGGGGAAAGATAAAACAATAGCAACTTTTGTTTCAACAGTAAAACTTTTGCTTAGACTCCATTGTACAATCTAGAGAGGCAGCGTCTCTACTTTGGGCCACAACAAAAAGCTGTTCCGTGTTTTGTGCCTGTTTTCCCCAACAATAAATAAGCCTATGTATAATATAGAAGTCTAATCACACATAGCATCTTAAGTGACTTCCAGTAAGGCACAATGTTTAATTTCCATTGTTTAGATTTTAATAGCCATTGCAGCTACTGTGCTGGGTATGTGACAGGGAGACATGTGTACCACCCACTGTGCAGGCAAATACTCCAGTGGGTGCATTGTGCAGCAGGTATTCTTATTTGCAAACAGATTACATCAACCCAAAGACATTGCATTGACCCTATCACACCAGTCTGCAGTCTATATCAGCGAGGAAACACAAAAACAAAACAAAAAAACACAACTAAATTACAATTACTAAGTTATGTTTTTAGGGTGAAAGTGTCATACCATTACACGAACAAACATCATTATCTCACAAAATGTATGATATGACTAATCAAACCCAGTATGAACTGATCTTGTGCCACTAGACCTTAGTGTTGTAAGAGTTGTTAGGTTACTCATCAGTGGTTTCACCTCTTTTTGCCAAAGAATGTTGCTTAGTGAAAGGACTTCAAAATGACTTTTCTTCACACTGCTCTGAATGTTAAGTGGGATGATACAAAGCAGCAGCCCACAGGAACCTAAAATACGCACTTGGACAGCTTAACTCTTTGAGTTGAGGCTTTTCATTAGTTATTTAACTTGTGTTATGAAAAAACATGTCAACACTAAGCTATAAAATTTAGATTGAATTATATTGTAACAAAAATCCTTTAAAACAAACACACAGAATTAAATTAAGTACAAAACAGGCTACATGGCTGAGCAGCAGCTGATTTGACTGGAGCAGAAGGGATTCACTAGCATGGTAGAATAATTCTCACTGCTTTTCTCTAGTGTTAAGTGAGAAGTTTGCATCTGTCCATGTTGTTCTGTTGCGAGAAACAAATGATGGCGATGCTTTGCCAAAATCGTTGGTATTATAGCAGCCAGCCAACGACATTTATCAGTCAGCTATTTTTTGTAATTCTGACGTATGTAGCTGCTTCTTCCAGTCATTAGTCAGGTCACAGTCTGAATTATTACCCAAGAAATTCAAAGCTTTTATCTGAGCCAAAGGACACTTGGTAAAACCAGCTAATGGGGGGACTGCCTTTATCTCTGGGCTGTCCCACAACATGTCATTTTTAACAATGGTATCAAAAAATGGCAAAGACACAGTGAGATACACTGTGATGGTCAAACAATAAGACAGACTAAAAAATGGTGCTTGTTTCACCCTTATTTCCTTCTGACAGAATAATCTAGTTCTAATAATTTTATATTGCCTTGACCGTCAGTGTGAATGTTATATATAGAAACGTTATTATAAAAGCTATGGAAGCTGGAAGATGGTCCTTACATTACACATATATACCATATAAAGGGACTGTAGGTTAATGGGTACCGTAGCTTGTCTTCCACCTCAGGGTAGCTTTCGTTTCACTAGAGAAGATATTTGACCCGAGCTTGGGCCTGAATCCATGGAACGACTGATGTTTCATAAAAAGAAATTCATGTTCAGTAAATGTGTTGTGTAAGTGTATGAATAAAATGTTGATGATACCATTCGCTCACCTTTACAGGGAGCTCATTTGATCATTAAAACATGTTTTCTCATTGGTTCTAGGATATTTGTACAACAACCCTGTGGCAAATGAATGCACTAATATAACTAATGGCTTGTTGTTGTCTGGAGAGGAGTTAAATCCAATCCAACTGGTTTTACAGGTGTTCACAGGGAGGTTTTTCTTTGCATTATTTAGATAGAGAACAGAAAATTAAGAAGACTAAAAACTAGTAAGAATATAATGTATTTCCACACTGAATATATCATGATGTAAGGCTAATTCTTCAGCTCATAAGTTGCTAAAAGATGGCAAAATATTGTGAGCCAAAAAATACAGCAAATACCAACGTATTTACAGATAAAACAACAGCCAAATTTGTTTTGAAAAATTTTATGAATTGCCTCCAACCCAAAACTGAGCCTCTGTCAACATTCCTAAGACCTTATGGCATGATTTGAGAGCAAGGGAGAAACAATCTTGGATGCCAAGTCAGCAGCCTTTGAGACTTAAGAGTTCCTAAATTTGGAAAAGCCAGGTCAGGTTTCCTGGCTTTGGGTGTCTCCTGCTTGGAATCTTAGGAAAACACCCCCAATGGGACATGTTTATAGTTCAGTGGGCCTAGGGTTCATTGTTTGATACACAATGCTTGGTCTGCCTGGAGCCAACCCCTGACATCAAACGGCAAAGTAAGTTTGCCCATGGCTGGCCAGAGGCCAGTCTGCACGAACGTTATCAGGACACACACATGCTACAATCAATCAGTCTGCGGAGCAGGGGCTACCAAGGGTCTGGCTTTTAATGTCCTCGGGCTCAGCTGAGAGAAATGTGGACTCACATAGCTCCTCTAAAACAAACATGCCATGTTTTTTTGCTGACCTACAGTATATGGGGCATCAAAATCATAATAATATGAAGCAAAGGTATGAAGACAGTGCAGCTGTAAAGGGTTTATGTGGTTAACATTTCTTTCGCAAGATACATTTTGTATGAACCGTTACTTTAAGTAACACACACACGTATGCATAAACATACACAGTATACATACAAAAACACACAAAATGCATATCAATAAATTCAGATAATCAAATATAAAAACTACAAATACTCACATTCAAATACAAGGTCAATGTAGAGTGTCCATATAACTTAAGGTAATATTTTGGACTGTTGGAGGAAAATGGAGAACCTGGAAAATCACAAGAACATACATCAATCTATATCACAACACCACGTTCAAGGAGGTGAAGACTCATAAAAGGTCCGTAGTTTTGTTCCTATTCTGCCAATGAAGTAATAAAAGAAAAATACTACTGAATCTCACATTGTGAACCCTGTATATTGGACCTCTGACTGCGTCAGTACAACATGTTGACCAGCTGTAGTCGCTGTTTCGTTCTCACACCGAGCACAGGGTAAAAAGAGAGCAAGAGGATTTCCGCTTTCTGTCTGACAGGTCAGCTGACTCTGACGCTGCTGCTGTCAGGAAACCTCACGAAATGAAATAAATCGCAGCTATGAATTTCACCAAGATTTAAAAACACCGTAAACAGCTCTCGGTTAGCTTGTTACTGTCACAATCAAAACAGAGGTGAGTAGAACAAATTAATATTTAAAAAAGGCTTATATTAGCTGCTGTTTTCCCCTAAGCTAATTGTTTAGCGGAGGCTAATCCCAGCTGGATGTTACTTGACCTTAACCATTCTAATAGAGGGGAATCCATCCACTGTTTTACTGGTCTTTCTAAACTAGGCTTCATATTACTAAAACTCACAACGAGTTAGCGCCCGATAATGTTCTAGCACTTCCTCGTTAGCTCCACCAGTTTCTAGCTAAGAATCTTGGGCTAAAAACATGACATATTGTATACATGCTTCATTGTAGGACAGCTGTGTTTACGTCTCTGTCGACATTCTAAAGACTTTAAATGGTAAAGTTTGACAATACTTAAACCAGTTTATCGCATGTACCCTTTTTTGCCCTTTCATTCGTCATTTACTGAATAATCACTATATTGTAAAGCAGTTTCTTATATTTATTGTCTAATATGTAAACTTCCTTATAATATCTGTTTAACTTTTATTTATATTCATTTTAAAATATTGTTAAATGCCTTACTGTTTGTACTGTACACTGCATGTTTGGTTAAAAACGTTCAATGCACGGAATGTGCTTAACTATAATGTTGATATGATTCATTTTACTAACTCACTGAGAAAATAACAAACACCTTCATATTAATCTAAATCTGGTTTCTCAGTTTTTTGTAGCTGTGTCTTAGCTGAAAACATGACTGAGTTTTGGCTGATCTCGGCTCCTGGTGAAAAGACCTGCCAGCAAACATGGGACAAAATGATGGCAGCCACCACACGCACACAGAACCTCTCCACTAACCACAAATTCAGCATACCAGACCTTAAGGTTTGCACTTGGTTTAAAGTCTTTGTACTTCGCTATAACACATTGAATTACGTGACTGAACAAATTATTTACAAAATTCATTGTCCATGAATTTTAGATGAAGTTTAATTATAAACTTACCCACCTTATGTATCCAGTGTCAAGAATAGACTAAATCTTTGAAAGGGAAGCAGAGTGCACACAGATCTGTTGCATGCATGTTGAAACACTGGTAAAGTTTTGACCACAGTTCTAGTTGTCCTGATGTGGTTCCACTCTGTAAGGAAGGTGAAGTAACCTCACTGACTGTGTAACCACATTGGACAGCAGAGTTCTCCTGGAACTGTTAGTAATGCATGACAGGCCCCGGATAAAGAGGCGCCATCCTAAGCATACAGGGCCCCTGATGTCACTTTATGCTGATTGAAGCCAAAATCTTGCTGTTTAAACAGCACCTTGTTGACCCTGACTACAGTCATAGAGTCAAAATTTTTCAAATGCATTATTGTTCTTTTTCTGTTTCAGGTTGGGACATTAGATGTTCTGGTCGGACTGTCAGATGAACTGGCAAAATTAGACTCCTTTGTCGAAGGGTATGCTACTCATTGAGTTCTAATTTCTATTATTTGAGAAACACAAAAATATCAATTTCAGCCTGTGAATCAATTTTATCTCTGACGCTACTACTTTAATGCTCTATAATCGCTTCTCTTGTTTTGTAACAATGAGGAATTTCACAGGGGCCTGAGGTTGGTGAGACTTGTGGTCTAAACTTGGCAAGTTACAGTTGGGTGACACACCGGCAGTTCTTTATTTACTCATATTTATACATGATGACTTAGGTCCTACAAATATGTTTCTCTGTAGTTGGTAGTCTTTTGAAATCTGACATCTAAAACTTTGCAACTTGTTTCACTTGTATTATTTACTAACTTAATAAAAAAAATGTAGATGTCAGAATGTTTAAAAAGCAATAACGAAATGATCGATAGAATGTAGTGTACATTTAGCATACGGAAATCTCTACTCTCGCTAAGCATTTATTAAAGGTTAAAGATAAGTGTTTTGTGATTTAAGAAAAAAAGAAGAAGAAAGTTTAATGTCTCTGTAACCTCTTGTGACACTGTGACCTTTTAGTGTGTCTTGACCAGCAATGCTGGAGAACTTGTGATCTGAAGGCTCTGCTTTGAAGTGCCTTCAAACAGCCTGGTCAAAAGCTTTCAGATCTGAAAGACATCTGTGTTATAAACGGCCTTGTCAGGAAAATACTTTTACAAGACTGTGCGAAACTTTCTTGTGTGTTTTTGTGTAAAACTTGGAAGATGACTACCATGTGATCTTGTGCAAGGTGAAAGTGTGGTTTACTCTGACTTTGTACGTGCAGTTTGTGTTGGCGCGTGTTTTAATGTCTTCTGGCTGTTCACAGTGTTGTGAAGAAGGTAGCTCAGTACATGGCCGATGTGCTGGAGGACAGCCGAGACAAAGTACAGGAGAACCTGCTGGCCAATGGAGGTACAGCTACACTTGCACTACCTTAACCTCAAGTCCTGATTTTATCATATAAACATATGAGTCAAAAGTGGGAATAACTAATTTGCTATTTTTTCAGTCGATCTTATCACCTACATCACGAGATTTCAGTGGGACATGGCAAAATACCCTATCAAACAGTCTCTTAAGAACATCTCTGAAATCATCTCAAAGGTGGATCTGAGCTTTCTTTAATGAATATCTTTCCCTTGGACTATGTTATTGTGTGCTATCTGCAGTGTTACTCTCTATTTAACATTTAACACTCTACTACAAAATCACTTTTGTCTGTTTTCATCTCTACAGCAAGTTACTCAGATTGACAATGACCTAAAGACACGAGCATCTGCTTACAACAACCTGAAGGGAAACCTGCAGAACCTAGAAAGGAAGAATGCGTGAGTAACAACACTCTAGTTTTGTAAGGAGCACATTGATAAAAGACTAAAGATTATTTAACCCAGCATCTTCATTTACTCCAGTCTCAATACATCAGCCTCTAAAACATAAAAAACCTTTTTTCTATAAAATATAATATATATAATAATATATATTAAACAAATGAACTCACTGTTAACTCAGTTCTTATAAACCTACTTCGATTCAATTTATCGTCGTTTCTCTATATTCATACAATGTACACTCAGCTTTTCTTATCAGTCATGTTTCAACAAAACGTAAAAAAATGATGTGATTCATCATCGTGTGACTCCAATGTTTTTACTGCTTTGTACCGCTAGGGGGAGCCTTTTGACCAGGAGCCTGGCTGACATTGTCAAAAAGGACGACTTTGTGCTCGACTCAGAGTACCTCATAACTCAGCTGGTAGTTGTTCCAAAGTGGGTATAACTTAAACAGTGTGGATTTAAATATGTATTAAAACCCAATATGTAGAAGTGAAGTGGTCAGAAGTTTTCCTGTGTGGGTTTGGAGAGAATTTATTTGAGCCTATTGTTTCAGGACGGCCTACACTGACTGGCAGAAAACATATGAGACCCTGGCAGAGATGGTGGTGCCTCGATCCTCAAAGTGAGTGATGAGTATTAGTTATAATAAAAATAAACTTGTCAATTTATGTTAAAAATTAGTTTTAATGCTTTAATCCCATCTGCGCTTTTCTGTCTTTCTAGCTTACTGTTTGAAGATAATGACAGTGGCCTGTTTTGCGTCACGCTGTTTAGAAAAGCCCTTGATGACTTCAAGCACAAGGCCAGAGAAAATAAGTAAGAATACAGTATTTTGACAAACTTCACTATCGACATACAGTATCATGTCTCCTACTTTAAAAAAAAGAATAGCATATGAGAAAGCTAAATATCCTCACCATTGATCACTGATGATGTGTTTATTTATTCCAAACAGCTCAACAAGTCTGTGTGACACCAGCAAATTACAATAGTGTCAGTTTATTTCCCCAATGTGCTCTCAACACAATAAAATTGTAAAAAAACAAAAACAAAAGCCAAACATGTCTAATAAGTTTATGTTGTCTGCTTCATATAGAGTTCGAATTAAGTATAGAAATGAAAAATAGAAACAAGTTTGTTATCATTATTTTGCTGTTACATTTCACCATGTCATTTTTAGGTTTATAGTGAGAGACTTTCAGTACAATGAAGAGGAGATGAAGGCGGACAAAGAGGAAATGACAAGACTGTGCACAGATAAGAAGAAGCAGTTTGTAAGTAAAATGCATACTATTGTTCTGAAATCAATCACATTCATAAACAGTTAAATGGAGACACACTCCACACTCTTTTTAGCAAATGTTTTCCTACATTATAAATTTTGTGTGTTGGTTAGAGTGACCACAGTAGGGATTATGAGTTAGGGGTGAGAGTTGACTTCACAAATACACATATTACAATTTTTTTAAATTTTGTGCCTCTATTGAAGAAAGTAAAGACAAATAAGGAGTCATCTTCTTACTGCTAAAGCGTTATACACAGCCAGTGATCTGTTTGACTGAGGTTTGTGTAACTGCTGCGTAAAGGAGAAATGTTATTACCTTACTTGAAAGGACTAGGTCATACTTTGTTCCTTTTTCAGGGGCCCCTTGTTCGCTGGCTGAAAGTTAACTTCAGTGAAGCCTTCATTGCATGGATCCACATCAAAGCTCTGAGGGTGTTTGTAGAGTCTGTTTTAAGGTACAAAATGAAAATGATTGTAGTTGCACAAAACCACAACTCACACCATCTGCAAATATTGCCTAAACTCTGTTTTTGATACAGATATGGGCTGCCAGTGAACTTCCAGGCCATGCTGCTGCAACCCAACAAGAAGAACATGAAGAAGTTGCGAGAAGTTCTCAATGATCTGTACAAGCATCTGGACAGCAGTGCAGCAGCCATCATTGATGTGAGCATGACTGCTCCGCACATGAGTCAGCACTACAACTATTATCCTAGCAAATATTTTATAAAAATGAATTATATATATACCATATTTACTGTATGTGTATACGTGTGTGTGTGTGTGTGTGTGTATATATGTATATATATACACACACACACACACATATATATATAGACACAAAAGTTTTTTAGTTTTTTACTCTAACTAGTTTAAGGAGTATAGAAAATGCACACTGTTAACTTTAATTTACAAATTCTTCTTCCTCACTGTTTAACCACAACCTTCTCCTGTGGTTGTGTTTCCAGTCGGCGATGGACATCCCAGGCCTGAACCTGAGTCAACAGGAGTACTACCCCTACGTCTACTATAAGATTGACTGCAACCTGCTGGATTTTAAAGTTTAACACTTCTCACTTCCTGCTACAACCTCCTACACTGTTCCTGCAGACCCTCCTCACTCTCTCCTGTCTATGTCAGCTGCTTGATTCGTGTTGCCGCATGTTCATTCCTTGTGGTGAAACAATTACCACTTTTACAACAAAGGGACAAAAAAACCCAAGACTTTAAAATAAATTGGATTTTGTTTACAGTACATTTACTTCATAGGTCACACAAATACTATGTACGTGAGAATGATTCTTAAAAAACCATACTGAAGGGTTTAATGTATATTTACTGCTTCATTCCAGATGTTCTGGTGTGTATTGGTGACGACATCGTCTGTGTTGGTGTTCAGACATTTGTGTTTACATATTCGCAGTTTCAACATTGCTTCCACAGCTAAAAGACGTGTGTTTTGAGTCTGTGGGCTACTGCTGCAGATACTGTGACGCAAACATGTTTTATGAGTGTGTTTGTGTGTGTGTTGTTTCATGTTGTGTCTATTTGCTGTCAAACAGAGATAAATAGCTTTATCGTGAAGTCGTTAATTAAATAAATATGATCAGTGAATCAATTAGTGAATACGTATCAAAGGTTGTTCTTTGTGGGTTTTTTATGAAGTGTCTTAACATTGTTCTTCCTGTGAGAAGTCTCAACATTTTTAATCACCAGCAGGTTTAATAGGAGTCTTTGTAAAGATTTGTGGTCTTACAAAATCCACAGCAAATTTTAGTTTGCTTAAAATTAACTTAAAATTAAAATTAAAAGTTTTACTAACACCTAATATTGAAGTACTAGTAAAACGCTCAAGTTTCAACATTGAAGTTTACTTCTGGAAACGGGTCTGCCACCAGCAGATGGCACCAAACAGACACTATACATTAGGCCCATCATTTTTCAAAGGTTGTACGGTAATTACACAAGTTATTGTTGTAGGTAAACGTTTTATAATAAAATGATAAAAATACAAAGTTGGACAAAAATGAGGGGACAAAGAGTTTACCAGAGGACGTAGCCAAAAATAGAAACCTTTGTCTAAAATAAAGTGTACTCAAGATAATAGTCAGAAGTATTCTAAAGAAAACTAAACCATGGCACAGAAACCAAGGTGATTATTGAACAGGTTAATTATAATGGAATTTTTTATAATTACAAAAACTAAGAACAACCACCCTGCCCCTCGCCCCCAACGAGGGAAGGCAGATTAATGTTTACTTAAAATGTTTCTTCCTTCAAATAATCTCTAATATTCACTGTGTACATGATCCTATGCAGGAAAGTTAAGTTGGGATTTATTATGTAGCAACCTCATGCATGCTGTAAACACACAATGAATACTGAGATTCATTATTTGATTTGTTTGCCATAAATCCTATTTGGGTCAAACCCCCATTTTTTAAAAACTTGGTTCTTATCTGTATGATGAAAATACACTTGAGAATACACATTTCTGGCCATTTTTAAACTCAATGACACAGCCTGACTCAGTGGTGTGCACTTGTCTCAAAATAATCTAGACATTGCATTCTGCATTATAGAGCACATTCTCTATAGACAGTTATGGCCTAAAATATTCAAAACCTGAGCATCTGCCCCCTGTGACCTCCGACTGGGCTGCTGACTGCAAAACCAATGACATACGATGTTATTAATGACAGTGAGTTGAGGAACATTTTGTGGGCATTTATTAAATAAGGCCATTGATCGGCAGGTAATTTATACTAGGGAGTATTAGATTGTATACATATATCTTTTAATATAAATTTGCAGTATAAAGCCTATTTGGTTTACATGTTTAAGGTTGTCTCACTGACAAGCCAAATTATAAGAAGCAGGATATAAATACAGGAGAGAGATCATGTGATGGAGTGAGTCTGACTTGACGTGTTGTGATCGCGCGCACGCACGCACGCACACACACACACGGAGCAGACACACGCCGTGCGAGGTTCAGTCACACTAAACACACACCCACATATAATCGGGGAGGCGTCGCCTGCTATTGTTGCCACCACAGCTGCTCCTGCTGCCTGTGGAGATGCAGTGAGAAAGGTCCTTGATGCCTCTGGAGCTTCTCCTCCCACACTCCGGCCTGTTTTCCTCGTTCTTCCACCAGCGCTGAGATAATGAAAGGATGGCGGAGCAGAGATGCGGGGACCAGGACCGCGCAGGACTAACAGATGCTGCTGCGGATGCAGGAAGCAGACGGGATGAGAAACTACCACCACCTCCACGGCTGCGGAGAGCCATGAGCACGGCGGAGGAGGCAGCAGAGGAAGGCCTTTCTCTGGAGGAGATACTGAGACTTTACAACCAGCCCATCAACGAGGAGCAGGCATGGGCGGTGTGTTATCAATGCTGCAGGAAGCTGGCGAGGGAGCACGGTAGGAGCAAGAGGAGCTGTGCGGTGGACGGAGCATCACCATCAGCGGAGCCGACGAGGAAGATCTGTGGACCCGGGGATGTGAGGATACAGAAGGATGGGTCTGTGAGGATAGCACAGCAGGGAAAAGGTAAAATGGTGTAAATTAACGATTTTCTGAGCCCCAGGAAACTATGGTACAGGTTACAGCCGTCACTTTCTAGAACAGTGAAGCCGAGAATTTGTTGTTATCTTTGTGCTCGGGACAACAGCCTCATTGGCACACACACTTGTCTCTACATGGTTGTGAGGACACTAGTAAACAGTGCATATCATTAACCATCTTTAGAAGTTCATAGACTTCCCTGTTTCTAAGCCTGAAACCAAACTTTGATTCACTAAAATCCACCAAGAGGTGTAGAACTGCTGGAATAAAAGTAAATATAGGTTAAAAATACAAGTAAACCAATGCGCGCGCACACAAAAAACGTCCTTTCACATTATCACCTCCTGTAACCTGACGATGTTCTTACATCTTAAAGGAAAGGTATGCGGGGATTCTTTATTACTATTTATGTATGATATTTCATCTCCTCTCCTGAGGGTGGTGCTGTAAACACGGTTGTTATACACTCTTCCATGAGTTGAGATCATTGATGGTTTTATATAAATCTCACCATCTAACTTGGTGGAAACATTTTTGTTTTGCTCACTGAAAATCACACTTTATGGCTGACCTGTTATATACTGTATGTCGCAGCGCTCTGCTGCGTTTTGGAGCTGTAGTAGAGCTGGAGCTACAGTCACTGTAGGCTAAACTCAAACCATTAACCAGATACTGTTTAGAATAGTTTGGTTAAATGTAAACATGTTCAAAGGCCACAGTACATATGACCTTTCAGTAGATCATGATGTGGACTCTCCCCCCATAGACAAAGTTCCCCTGAAATCACATTAGTGACTAATTTGTTAGGTTTCTTCTAATTAGAATTGACTGTGCAAACCCTGTGATGTGCTTTGTCATACAGTCAGTGAATGTAATCACATTTTTAAATCAAACACATCATGGAGTCACATCCCACTTTGCTTTCTGCTGCTGTCGGCACATGACAGAGAGCCGACAGGCTAAATGCATTTCTATTCATTTCCATGAGTAATGGAGTAACTGAGGACCAGGGGGACGGGCTTTTAACACTGCTAGCACAAGTCAACCCTAATGTCTTTTAGCATAAACAAGCATCGTCTCATGAAATGTTCTGAGCAGATCTGAGAGGCTCGGCTGTGATGACGGTGCTGGTTGTGACCAGTAGGCCTACACAAGTGAATGGGCTATTTTTAGCATGGCAATGGAAGCAACCAATGTAGAGGGGAGGTTTTCTGTGGCTTATCTTGGAATTTATTTATTTATTTATTTATTTATACTTTCCTTCAAACACATCCAGGTCATTGTGTAAAACTTTACTTCTGTTTACTTATCATTTCCAAAATTATAATCCATTTGTAAAAATACATTTTGTAAATTGAAAATACAGTATGGAGCAGCACAATATTTGATTGACAGCTGACACAAAAATTCCTCTGAAGGCTACATATATTTCTTAAGGTGTAGATGACCCACATTCACAAGCAAAAAACAAGCGCATGCACAGTGACTTCACTGAATGTGCTGATAAAACGAAGCAGTTTCTTGGAAACTGAAAGTTGAGAGAGTATTCTCAGAAATTAATTCTTGAGCAAATCATGGCAGAGAACAAAACGATTCCTTGTACAGCAACTTGAAAAACAAACAAACAATTGCTTTAACAAAATCTTGCCAGAAGTTTTCACAGTAGTGTTTAATGTATGTAGAACTTTGTGCTGCAGTCTCCATGCACTTGGCCTCACACACTGTTTACTGCATGCAGTAAAACCAGAGGAAAAGAGCTGATGGTCTGTTGTTGTCGTAATTTCCCAAATTAATTTTGATAAGAATTTGTTTTGACAAACAGCTGTAACAAAGAAGACACTGTGAGTGTGTGTGTGTTACAGTACACACGGTCATGGATATCACACATTTTCTGAGGGTCAGTGCATCATGCTGATGCAGGTTGGGGTCATGAGATGAGATGATGTCAGATGCTGCTGTGATGCTGCTGTGATGCTGCTGTGTTGCGTGAAAGACAACAAAACCAGCGTTTGTTGAAAGGCTCGTATATCAGAGTTGTTTGTGAAGCTGAACGGCTGCTGCCTCGAGGAACATTAGAGCAGATCTCTATTTTGAAGAGCGTACATTTACAGACCAGGGCTTCATGAGAGGAGTTTTATCATCACTGGTCACATGTCATTTTACTGCAGGGCTGGTTTATTGAAGGCCAGATGAGGAAGACTTCCATGATAAATTGACATTAACACATTTTTCTTAGTTATTATATATTATATTATATAATTTATTGGGGATTTCCTAGAAAGACTGCATGTTAATGTGTACCGTATTTTATGGACTATAAGTCACACCTTTTTCATCCTTTGGCTGGTGCGAGTTATACTCCGGAAAATACGGTACTTCAAATTGTGAACACGTCAGCTCAAGATCAGCTCGTGGACTGGTTGTCCTCTGTTGTCTCTAAAGGCGACCGCATGATAATGGCCATAAATTCTAATAAAAGCTGACCATATTCTGACTTTATCAGACTCATCTGTTTGACCCAGTCATCTTTTCATAATGACTGGGATGATTTCTGACAAACCATAACATTAAAGGTAAAAAGAAATGAACGGTTCTTTATGTTTAAAAAAGACTTTAGATGCTTAATCAGCCTTACACATTGACGGACCCTCAGAGCCCACCACGAAGTCAAGTATCTAGTTTTTTCTTTAGTGTCATAAACAATGTAAAAATCAGTTTGACAATAATTGTTTTTGGTTTCCCTGCAGATAAATGCAGCCCCTGCTCAACAACAGAGGTGAGTGAACTGACTGCAGTTCTATATTTAATGTCTGTCAATTCAGATTTGTGACTGTTGGTAACAAATGGTGAAAGACAGGTTGGATTGCTTATGTAAATTAGTCTCAGTAAGAATGAGGAGTAAATGATTTATTAGGAATATTCTTTTGTAGTATTATTTACAATGTGAACTGGTATTAAAAATTATCGTGAGTGCTCGCTTGAGAAATGACCAGAAAATTAAATGGATTATTTATTCCAAAGAAACACCATAAAACACCATTTAGAACATTAGCCCTAGTGACAGAGATAATGCTGAGATTAGACAGACTGTCCTGCAGCATGAAAACACTCATTCTCAGATACTCAAAGCTGTCAATAATCCAGCGATTTATTACATGTTAATCCTAATTTGCACTTGACGCAGTGGTGTAAACTAATTGTTACTTTTAATTAAAATAAAGTGTGATTTTGTGCCTAGACCCTTGGTTAGATACCAATATCCTGACAAAATTAATTCCACTCAATAATCATTCGCAGTTGTTACAAATAATGTTACAGAATGGCAATAATGTTTAATTATCAAAGGGCTGTAAATAACACTCATTATTTGATCAACTATCGGGAACTCTCTCTCCCTGAGATGCACAATGCATTTTTAGGTAATGTATTATTATTCTTAATATTAGTAGGAGTAGTATTATCTTGTTTCCTCCACATTCAAACCACAGAAGACCCTTCTGGTTTCTCTGACAGACAAGTAGGAAAATGTCACAGAGCACGGAGGTGGTCCTTGCTGTGTGACTTATTAAGCAGGCATTTAAGACCCAGTTAAAAGGCACCTCCTCAACCCTCTCTCCATACCACCACCACCACCACCACCAGCAGCTGCTGCTGCTGCTGTGCAGAGGAATTAATCCCTGCTAAGCAGCTTTGCATTAGAAATGACTCCTCACTTTAAAGTGTTGACAAAACAACTGGCAACATTATGGAGCAGCATGTGTGGCTTTGGAGAACGTGGAACCAGAAAAAGCATGTGTGCAAATGGTCATTAGTGAAACAAGCAGTGAACCAACTAACATCTAGCACAGCCTTCTGCTGAATAATGCCACGCTGATCAGTACCACTAAACTGACAACCCTACGTTTTTTTTAATTGGGAATAAATAAAAGCAGCTCTTTTATGCTTTGGATGTAGTATTGTTTTCAAGCTCTAGTAATTTATAGTTTGAAGGGAAAATTGTAAAACATGTACACATTCAATAAATGGATTTCTCCTAATCATCTTGCCAGGTTGCTCCTATGTCTTTGTAATAGAAATCTCTGAAAAGTAATCTGAAAACTGTTTCAGATGTTGCAGTCACAACATCAAACACTTTGGTTAAAAAAAAAATTCTTTTGGTTGACATCCATCTCCCCTTGTCTTTTGTTGCCCCTTCACCTCCCCCTCTCCTCCTCCCCTTCTGCTCTCATCCATCCCATCATTCTGCTCAGTCACTCAGAAACCTGGGAACCAGTCACACGGGTTTCAGAGAAAATGTTCATCTAATAACCAACCAATAGAGCTAGAAATAATTACAAAAGATATTTTTTGGCAACATGCAGTTTAGATTAAACTGACCCTAAATATGAAGACATATGGGCTGCCCATGTGGGTCACATGCTAATTACCTACGTGTGCAGTAAGGGTCAGTTGCTAACAGTATGTGGCCCACATATGGACATGTTGGCTGCAAACTGGTTCCACTGACAACAAATATAATACAGATAATCTGAAAAATGAAAGCAGTCACATGTGACACTTTTCTACGACAGCTTCAACACCTGACTTTTGCTCCAGTTTCCTCTCTTGCTAAACACAAAGGGCCTGTGTTTGTGTGTGTGTGGGGGTGGGGGGTGTCATATATCACTAATTATGTTGAGGCTCAGACAGAAAGGTTGTATTTTGCTGCTCCTCTTGAGGAAACACAGCTTTTTCTCACTGATTGAAGAGAGAACTGATCTCTCTATACGATGACAACTCTTCCTCCTCTTCCTTCCTCTGTGATCTGCCCTTGATCTTCATGTCTGACCTCTACCTGCCTGGTCTGACCCCTGTCATCCATTCACTGACTCTCAACAGCATCATTTCAACATTTCATTTCTCCCTCACTACTCTATTCTTCTTGTTCATATACTCCACCCTCTATGGTTTCATTTTGTAGCAGGTTTTCGTTATGTGGAATCAATTACATCATTTACAATTATATTGACCGTCCAGTAAACATATTGTCCAAGCAAAAATACTAATCATGACAAGTCTGATAACATCATCATCCAGCCAAAATCAAATGATTATATTGTTGTCTGTTCTGACATCAGCAAACACCAGGAAACAGGCACAATACAATCAACTCACGTCCACATATTTGAAACTCGCCCTACTCTAAGAAATGTGTAAACAGTGATTACAATTGTCACATGTTGTGTTATTACTATCAGTAAATCAGTAGGGCGTCTACGTCACAGGCCGGCAGAGTGTTTTTCTCTGTCTGTGGGAGAGCATCAATACAAAGTCATTTGAGCTTTTTACTGCACAAAACTGCACAAATTTATGGCTTCATATTCATTATTGTCATTAAAGTTTAGCAGCCTTCAAGGGGAAATGTGATTACAGCTAGAATTAGCATGCAGGGAACATCTTGAGGAGAGAACATAATAAAACAGTGACTGAAAAACACAGCCAAAAAAATGCATGTAGATGAAAAATGCATGTAGCTAGAAGCAGGTCATATAATAGTAAAATAACTACACGCTGGTTTATGGTTAGTTTACTACAACTCATTTACAAGTTATTTGTGGAGACCTGCTGTCTGCTGAGCAGATTAAAGCTTTGGTTCAATCAGATGCATGTAGCCTAATTATTTATTATTATTAACATTTGATGTTATCTTTTTTAATCTGCTTTTAGCTTTTAATTACAATTACACTGGCAGATACAGTCATCTGATGTGTCCATTTGGAGAAGGAAAATGAAAAAGATAGTTGACAGACAAAGAGAGAATGGCAACACTGACATTATTAAACTTTCTAATGAAGATTATGACCTTAATACCAGTATGTTTACTGTTTAATACCAATCGAAGCTAAACTACATTGCATGTCCATGGAAATTAGTGAGTAATTGAGTTCCAATGAGATGAAAATTTCCCTAATTTTCTCTCTTTTTTTTAAATTATTTTTAGGTAATTGAGTCTTTAGGCATCATGATCTACAAGGCTCTGGACTTTGGGCTGAAGGAGAATGAAGAGAGGGAGCTCAGTCCTCCTCTGGAGCAGCTCATCGACCTCATGACCAACATGACTGAAGCCTCCAGGGACGCCTGCCCTGACGAGGGCTATGAGGCCACAGAGGAAGAGGATGAGGCAGAGGAGGATGACCCAAACAATATCTACAGTGTTCATGGATACAGAGATATCCTCAAGGTTTGTGCAGAGAGGAATGGAGTCGTCTGCTCGGTGGCTGTTTGTCACATACTGCACCTACTCTGTACTCTGTAGTAAATTACACGAATATCTGCAGTTGTATTTATTGGCAATTTTCTCTGAAACACTATATAGTTGATAGAGCGAGTTCAGTTCAAACTATGAAACCCATTCAATATAAACATTTGTTTTATTATAAATATAATTATAGTATTTTATTTTAAAACAATGTAGTTACCTGAGCAGCAGCAAGAGTTATGAAACATACAGGATGTTTATTAAATATATAGTGTGTATGGTGTTAAGTCATGGTGTTTTTTATTTAAAGGCCATGTGTCTAATGCTCAGCCTTACTCTAACCTCTGTTTGTTTTCCTCTACTCTGCAGCTCTGTAGAGCTCATCTCCCCGGTCTGTCCGACGCCCACAGTCACTACCAGGCAGTGTGCCGGGCTCTGTACACAGAAACCAGGGAGCTGAACACGTTCCTGGAAAAGATCAGGAGTGCCAAAGAGGTTTGTGTTTGTTGTCGTCTGTTTTTGTTCAAATGGCTGCATTTTGAAGCCAAATGACAGCGGATAATTTTGGGCAGACATAAAAACGATCCCATGTTCAAGCTCAACCCTTTAAAAAAAGTTATTTTAATGATGGTGGAAGAAAAGGGTTTTACTGAGTAGAGGGCAGTTGTTATAAAAGTAATTTTTTGTGGATCTACTTCTAACTGTGTACCATGTGTCCCTGGGCAAGGCACTTAACCCTTAGTTGCAGCCATGGGGGGCACAGTCTGGGTCACACATGCATTTGAGGGGGTTGTGTCAGGAGAAGCATCTGGCTTCAAATTCTGTGCCAAATCACATATGCAAATTATTCACAGTAGTGAACCACTGATGAAGGAAACTAGAGGTTTTTGAGAAGATTTATTCTCTGTAATTGATCAGTAATTTAATTAAAGCTGACTACAACACAGGTTATTGTATATCACCCAATCAAAGGCAAAGACAAATCTTAGAGTAATGTGAATATGAGTAGTAGATTTTAAATATGAATACTAATGTTTTTCTAGCAGCTGTTGTTGTTAGCCCCTAAAGCTGCAGTGAAAGTTACTACTGGGTAAAACGATCACTGACCTTTTCTGCAGCTGATGGAGGGGGTGGCGGCGGGGGGTGGGGGCATGTCTCTGCAAGACATGGTTTAAAGATTAAATACCGTGACCTTAAATGTCCCCCAGTCTCTCCAGTTTACTCTTTGGAGGTTGACTGGAAAATGTTTGGTACAGTTTGGTATGGAAACATTTCTACCAACATGTCTATATGTTGCTAGCAATACATCAATGTAGCAGAGAAATAATATGTAAAATCCTCACATTTAAATGACAGATTAGTTTATTTGATTTAAGATAAAGAGCTTTAATTTATATGTAAGAAAATATTTTAAAAATTTAAAGTTTGTAGCTAAAAATGGCAACAAATTTAAAAGACACCTTTGGCCTTTGACCAAATGTGTTTAGGATTTTTGTTTTTTGTATTTTGAATTTTTTCTTTGTCTGTTTGTTTAGAACCTACGTAAGATGGAATCATCGGAGGAGCCTGTCCGTGATCTGAACGAGCTGCAGAACGCTGACTGGGTAGGCAACTAAAATCATCTTAGACATTTGTCATAAATGTATCATCAAATTTGGAATGATCTAAATATAACTGGGAGAAACTCAAACTTTCAGGTACCACAGCTGTGATCCTGAGATCAGGAACCTACACTGAAATTTCACGGTCATTTTCAAATGACTTTTCTCCCATTTTCTCACGCTGCTCTTTCCTTTCTTTAAGGCTCGGTTCTGGGTTCAGGTGATGAGGGACCTGAGAGAAGGAGTGAAGCTGAAGAAGGTGCAGGAGCGTCAGTACAACCCTCTGCCCATAGAGTACCAGCTCACCCCTTATGAGATGCTGATGGATGACATCAGATCCAAACGGTACAAATTGCGAAAGGTCATGGTGAGCGTCTTCATAAGTTCATTAAAAATAATGACATCAAGAGTTAATGACTATGATGTTGACTAATTGTCTTCCATTTTCTTTTCTGTTGTTTCAGGTTAACAGAGACATCCCACCCAGATTAAAGAAGAGCGCTCATGAAATCATCCTAGAGTTCATCAGATCCAGACCCCCCCTCAATCCTGTGAGCCCATCGAATGTGTTTAGACTAGATTCTGTATTTCAGTCGGATAGAAGTTAGAGACGACAGATAAAAACGCTGTAGGTAACAAAACATTGGCAACAGTCAGAGTAACAGGGTAAAACAAAGCATTTACTGTTATAAATATATGTATTACCAAATACAAAACTAACATAAGAAATAATTTACGAATGAAAACTTCATAATTAAAATCTCAGTAAACATTTAATTAGAACAGTTACATTTGGAAACTTCAACATCTTGTGTTTTGCAAACTAAAATAATTGGAGATTTTTGATTTGGTTAGGAAACATCATGTGACATTTTTCTAGTTGCAATTCTATGTTGTAAAAAAGACATGGTCATCATGACACTATCTTGTTTTTTTAATTTATTACATAGCAGCCTGTTGTTATGGAAAGATCATCGTCAAAACAAATGGCTGTGGAATGTTATTTTCTCATTGGAATTCTGCATTCATCATTCATCATCATTCATCATGTGATGACTGAAAAGACCTGTGATTCACCCAATGGTGGCTCCTACAACCAACACTTTCCATTTTTTATTAGAAAGAAAATTTTGGATCACTTCTAGTCATAAATGCTTTAAAAAAATTTTTTTTACTATTTTGTTTATTTTTTGATGCCTTACCCTAAGGTTTAGTTGATATGTTTTAACTGAACCTAATTTTTCAAGTCTCATTTCTAACCATTGCTGTTAGACTGAAGCAATCTTTCATTTAACACATATATGCTTGTTTCAATTTAGTGCATTTGAATGCAATCATTGTATTGGAGTAGCAATTGGTACTGATTAACGGTAACGCTGCATTCATCATTGTTGTACAACAATTAACTCTCAGCAAAGTTGTAAGCAATAGGTCGCAACAGGTGAGGAGCCGTTTAGGAAACGGTGAGCTAGCAACCTGTCGCTCTCCTCTTCTTCCACATTACTGACTCTCTGTCTGTCTGTTCACATCTGTCTCACACCACGTTACGCCTCAGGTCTCAGCCCGTAAGCTGAAGCCACAGACTCAGCCTCCTCCTACGCTGCATGAGCGAATCCTAGAGGAGATCAAATCAGAGAGGAAGCTGCGACCAGTGTCACCTGGTGAGGTCCGAAGAGGACGACTCGGTAAGAAGAGCTTCCATCAAAAGTTTGAACATTTTCTAATGAGTTTTGACTTGTTATTTGGGAAAGTGAACACACACACACTGGAGTATAAGTCCAATTCTTTATGCACTAAAAGCTTTACTGTTTCCAAGTGATGCTTTGGTTCATTTACAGTTTAATTTGCTTCTCTGCTCTTTGCTTTGAAACTGACGCTGCCACACATTTGTTATTTTCTTTACTATATTCTCTGCAATATAGTGACAGCTTCCCCTGAGTAATAATGCTAAGTGTCTGCTATTCCATTAACCCAGACCACACACTGAAACACCGCTGTCACGGGGTGTTTGAACTACCACTCACTATTTGCTGTTTGTTAAAAAAGCCTGTTCTCCTGCCAACATTTCAGAGATCAGGAACCAGACACTTAACAACTAATACTCTGGCTTTTCACCAAATAAAACATGTTGAAGTACTTTCAATGTTAAAGTATTTTCCCTCCTAGTCACAGAAATAACTCTGCCATGCCATGACTGTTTCTCTTCGCAGTAATTCGGCCACTTAGCATGTCTTTCAGTTTTGATGCGTCAGGTAAAGTTTCCTCTGCAGCTTACCTGGCATTTGTTAAATAATATGTTCATTAATTTTTTGTCAACCGTTTTGTTTTGGCTGCTCATTTGCTCTTGTGACCTGGACACACATTTACACACACTAACTTCAACTCATGTCACGCTTCAGTGGTTGGTGATGTTGGCTGCTGTCTGTGGAGGTGAGACATGGTACTGTAAGAAGAAACTGGTGCAAAATGTACCAATGTCAGTTAAGGTTTTCCAATGCCATATATTAATTATATAGTTAATTTTTTTCAAAATATCAAGCTAGTCTTCCATGATTATATAACACCCATGTAGAAATAGCTCATTGTTTACCACAGAGTTCACAAAGTAGCTCAAACCTAGCTAATAAATAAAATAAATAACTAGAATATTCCCATGTATCTACAGTGTACTGAAACATTATTTAAATCTTTGCATAAATACTTTAAATTCCAAAAAGGGGAAGTAACTAAATGTCCTATTCTATAATGTTGAGCAAATGTAGCCAAAAACATCACTTAAAATCAGTATCAAAAGAATACCTCAATAGCCAAAGTTTCTATCACAAATAAAAATAAGCCAAAAGAAACTGAAAGTCACCACAAATATAGTTTACAGCCAAATGTATTATAGTCTTGGAGTAGATAAAAATACAAATAGATAAAATAGATCTAGCCAAAAACATAGCTTTGGGTTAGAGAAGCTGTTTTCTCAGTGAACGGATGACTTGACTTTTCTTACAGGATGAACAGTGAAAATGAAAAGTCGCTGAATCAGCAGTGTGGACAGTGACACAGTCATTCTGTCACTCAGTGCCTGTCAAACAGATTGACGGGTCTAAACCACTGCTAAAAACAGTTTCTCTCTCCTGAATACATACAGGAAGAGACTCATCTGTCCTGCACTTATCATTTATTATAAACATGCTGCTGTGCTAACGATGATGCAGTCATGAACTTAAACTTTGATATTTATTTTTATTCATTTTATTGTGACTACGGAGTATTAAGTATTTATTGAAGCAGCAGAATACTATGTTATCTAAAAAATAGGATTAGTGTAGGTTTATTTGATCAATTTTGTTTTCATTAATTATGTTTTTGCACAATAATAAAAAAAGTCTCTCCCAAAATGCAAACTGACAAATATCCACCTTATTCATACAATATATTGTCCAATCAGATGCTTAGGGGATTAGGAGTCAACAAACTCTAACACTAATCAACTTAACAGGTGAACCCTCAGAGGTTTGAATATTTAAAATATATACAAAACCTTTCAACTACCAGGTGGAAGGACCTTAACATTGACAGTGACAGATTATTGTAAATCAAATTTGAAGCTACATTTAGCTACAGTGCAGAAGGGGAGACGTCAGAATCCTGCAGACATGGATGATAACAAAGACTTTCACTGCAGATCTGTGTCTCTCATTGTCTCACCAGCTGTGCCACCTCACACTCATTCATATCGTCATGCAATAATGTGGTGTTAAATGTTTTTTATTAATGTTTTCTTATGTATAATGTATCACTTCCCCCTGCCAACCTGGTGTAAACCGACAGCTGTTCAAATACATTCCCAATATAAGGGGGTTTTGGTGATCAATTCTATTTTTTGGGTCAATCTATTATAATGATGTTTTAACCGACCAGGCTGTTGCTAAGTTGTTATAAAGGAATAGGTCAACATTTTAGATGATTCTGCCAAATTACACTTTTCAGAAAAGACAGTGTCTGGGTTGGAGAAATAACTGAATCAGTCAAAGTGTGCAGGAAAGTTAGGCCTATTCTCACTCGCTTGAGTTTTCCCCCTACGAGTCTAATTTGTGACTTCACTTTGGGACAGTACTTTACAATTATTTAATATGTCTAATTGTTATAGGTGTGTTTTAATACAAAACACTTTGCACTGACCAAACATTTTTCAGCTTATGGTGTCTGAGCTGATGGAAGCACTGATCTCAGACAAAACTAGATCATTTTTTTCTAACCACAGATTTTTACAGGGAAAAGGTGAGAATTCCTCCTGCCATTATCCTAACAAAGGAAGTGTATCATTTTAGGTTATGGCAAAACTCGCAGCATGCCGCAAGATTTGTTCCGTACAGGAACAGGTAAAGTATGACGGCTGCTGTGGCTTCAACAGCCACCTTTACCTTTAACACAACAGCTGTTTGTCTGCACCCCTGGCTGTGAACTAATATTGTTTATATTCAAATCCTATCTAAAAAAAAAGCAAATAAAATCAGGGCCAGCAATGGAGGGATCTAGATTTAGATTATGGACGGACGGCAGCAGGTAATCTGAGAGTATTCCACAGATCAACTTCAGCCACAGCTGTTTAATTGTCCTTGACGCGGCATGTTTTTGTTGTTATTTCTACCTCTCCGTCTGTCTATTAAACCCTTTTCTTTTGAGCTTTGATAGCCTAGTCTAGAGAGAGGTTGGTATGGTCACCTGTTGGTTATCACTGACTAATAATCAGTGAGCCAAGCGCTGGTGTCAAGGATTAGGTTCTCCCAGGAGAAGGAACCCTGTTTCAGTTGAATTCTTTTTTTATGAATCCTCCCTGCTCTGTGTGTAACACCAGTTCATTAACCTTCCCTCAGACCAATTTAACTCACCCTTCCTGCCACATTTACCCACTGGAGGGATTCATTACATCTTTGTGTCTGTTCACTATGCCTTTGTGTTCTCTGTTATTGACTGACCCAAGTAAAAAAAATGGAAGTGAGACCTCAAATTGTAAACAACAGACTAAGATGCAATGAATCCCGTGGAGAATTGTGATTAATCTGAATGTTCTTTTTTGTCCTTTTTGGTTAAATATCTCTGTTTGCATGGCTGTGTACAGATGAGTTTAGTCCCTACATGGGTAGACGGACATCCAGCTCTCTCTCTCTGACCAATGGAATGGCATCTCCCAGGTCAGAACCCACAGGATCTCAGTCTGCACCACAGAGGAAAAGGCTCCTGAAAGCTCCCTGCCTGGCTGAGCTGGACAGCTCTGACTCTGACGTCAGTACATGTCAGACCTGGTGTCTGTCTATTTTCCATGAGCTTATGTGAAAACTTTGACTTTAATTACCTTGTTGCTGTTTCCACTTCAGGAAGAGGTGTTTGGGCGAAAGTCAGCCAGCAGTTCCAGTGTCGCCACATCTCTGATGGATGATACGTCTCCAGAAACTGCGATGGGCAAGAAAAGTAAGTCAACATTTATTCCCTCATTAGTGTCAAAGCTTAGTGATGTATTATACAGAACCATAAGCCTCAACGCCACCACTCTATTTCATCTGTTTATGATCTAATGTAGTCATTATATGACCATTTTACAATAAGCAGGGGTCCAACTCTGAGCTGGTGGTCACTGCTGCCCCCATCATCTCATTGAACATATATAGATTTTGTTCTTTGTTCATTTTATATACTGTATATTCAAACAGTGCAATTGAGTGAACCCATAACACAATTTGGCCAACATGGTGTCTGTGATCTCCAGCCCCACCCATGTTCCTGCCCATCTCATCTACACCCCAGCCCGAGAGGCGTCAGACCCCTCAACGGAGACATTCCATCGAGAAGGAAACCCCAACCAATGTGAGGCAGTTTTTGCCTCCGTCCAAACAAAGCTCCAGGTCTTTGGTGAGTGAGGATTAAAAAAAGTAGCATCTAAAAAATTACCAATGCATTAGACAAATCTAAACACATCACTTTCATTTTCTGAGGCTCCTGCACAGCCTGGTCTGGTCACAGTGACCTAATAACACGGAGTAATGGAGAACAAATGGAGAATAAAGTGGACAAACTGAATCAGACCAGAGTAGAAGAAGACAAACATCAACCCGTCTTGTTGTTTTTGCTGTGTAAACAAATGCTGTGAGGGTAGAACAACAGATGATTTATAATTTAAGTGTGTTTTTTTAATTGTAGTTAAAACAAGAATGGACAAGATTTTAAATGACAAGATCAGATGAAGTTAGAGAGGAAGGCTGAGATGGTTTGGAGATGTGTTGGAGATAAAACACTGAAGTTACCTCCAAAGACAGCAGCTAAACAAAGCGCAAGTTTGAAATCGTCATTACAGAAAATCTATAACAAAAAATTATCCAAGATTGATTCTTCTTCCAGTTCTGACTGATGTCTGAGTTGTGAGATGACCAGGGATATTCATTCATACAGTGGCACTCATTCAAAGAATCAGTCAACCATAAGGCAAACACATGCCTTTGTAAATGTGTTCACCCACTGTACTGCAGTTTTATATTCAACTGTATGTAATGAATTATTTACAGAAGAGATAGAACAGAGCATCTTCAACGTGTTGATCTTCCATATGAAGAACATCGGCTTTTTAGAGAAAGAAAAGGTTCAAGATATACAGACAGTTGTAGAAGTCTGTCTTGGCCTTTTGTGAACAAATATAAAAAAGTCTGATTTTAAATATTTAACACAGAAACAACAAAGTCTCGTGATTAAGAGAGTGTGATTTTGTTGATGTTGTTGCAGGAGGAGTTCTGTTTCCCCGTGGAGTGTCTGTCTTTGACTGTGGAGGAGGTGATGCACATCAGACAGGTGCTGGTCAAGGCCGAGTTGGAGAAGTTCCAGCAGTACAAGGAAATCTACAACGCCATGAAGAAAGGAAAGGTACGGTACACACACTCGTCAGTGCATGGTGTTAAGATCAAGAGGTTTTCTCTGTAGCCTTTAACAGACTTCACTTTCTTTTCTCTACTCTCTCTCTTCTTGTAGCTTTGCTTCTGTTGTCGAGCCAAAAGGTTTTCGTTTTTCACTTGGTCCTACATCTGCCAGTTCTGCAAAAAGTAAAACATTTACATAATCATTTCGAAATTACTTTAAACGGCCCAACGATTAAGTTTCTCACTCCATCGTCTATTTTTCTTGCAGACCCGTGTGTTCACAGTGCTGCAAAAAAGTAAGTCCCACAGAATGAATGAAATAAAGAAAAAAGAAATCCTGACGGAGACTTGAAACATTTTCCTCGTCTTACAGATGCGGCTTCCGTCCAAACCGTACTCCAGCCTCCCCATCTACTCCATCGGCTCCTCCAACACTTTGCCCAGGGAGAGAATAAACGCCATGGCTGCTGTGGGACAAGGACTTTCTGTTGCTGGAGGACAGGGGACATCAGCTGATGGAGGTCCAACAGCGCCCCCTGCTGCCAAAAAGGCAACAACAAGAGCATCCAAAAGAGCTGCAAAGATATCTGGAGCTGAAGCAGCAGCAGAAGCTGGTGCTAAATGTGAAAGATCCTCCACTAGTCCACATCGCCACAGCAACCACAAGACCATGACCAAGTAAGCAATGAGTATATTCGCTCCTTTTTCCAAAAATAAAAAACAAAAATAAAACAATAAAAACAAATCGCATTTAATTCATATATGACAGCAAAAAGAAGTGGAAAGCTTTTGTATTTTGAAAACTCTTTCCTTTATACAGGCTTTCAGTGTACTGTGACTGACCTCTAGTGGCTAAAAAGTAATATTACTAGAAAGGAAAAGCAGGTGGTGACTTTGTGCAGGTTCTGATTTAGTCATCCATCCACCAGTCCATTTCAGGGCCACATATGGAGTCCAACAACCATCCACACTCACATTTATCCCTATGGTCAATTCTAGTGTCTAATCCACCCTATCCTGTATGACACAGACAGGGCATTAGTTTCCACCAGCTATTTTATTTATTTAAGACAAGACCACTGACTTCTAAAGGTTCTATATCAGTAATCCACTCATTTAGAATCCCACACCTGCAGGAGTCTTCATAAGACAAATAAGAAAAAATAAATAAAATAGAAAATCATAATGAACTCTTCTGAAGCTCTGTGCTATTTCCACCTAGGTTTTCGAAGCATGGATCTTTAAAGTCTCACGAAGAGCTTGAGCTTCCCTCAGAGCTGACTGAGGACTGGGCCACCATGGAGGTGTGTGTTGACTGTAAAAAGTTCATCTCTGACATCATTGCGACCAGTAAGCACAGCCTGTCACTGGCCACCAAGAGGGCTCGTTTGAAACGTAAGACCCAGTCCTTTTACATGTCCTCTCCTAAGGACAGGGAGGAGTACAGGCCCTCCGAACGGACGATCAGTGAGATCTGAAACCCGGCAGCATTCCGCTACCACGGCACAATCGCTCAGTTGGACGAGAAGATTCCTGTTCATGTCGTGTATTCTTCAGTCAGATGAAGCCTGATGTGACCCGTGCTCTTAGACAGTGTGGTTTTGTTGCTGTGTCTTCATCATTATGTACAGTCTCCTACAGACAACAACTACTGTGGATTATTTTTCTGTAATAACCCTTTAAACTTGGCTGAAAATGCCTGAGAGATGCGTCAGAGAGGACCGACCTCCCTCCTGTCCCCTGACCCCGAGCCAACTCTCCTGGAAACAATAAGCACAAGAGCAGAGGAGGACTGGTGTGAATGTGGGTTTACCCCCCCGCCCAAAAAAAAACTGAAGCTGCAGGAGACACAGGACCTGCACAGATCTCACTACGACCACGTCCAGAAGACAACAGCAGGACGGCAGCTCACAGACTCCAGCCACAACTCTGGTACAAAGACTAAGTTTAACTCCATAAAGTTGGTCTTCATACAGTCTTAACTGCTGGGAATATCAACCTGTTGTGAATGCAGTTCAAACCCGATCAAGTGTATCTACAGTCAATGATATTCTTGAATTTTTGCTGTATTTTGCAGCTGATTTTTATTGAATCTATGGAAAACAGAACACTGTACCCATTTATTATCAGGGGTTAAAGTCCATCAATATTGGTCACCTCCATAAACCTGTTCAATTAATCACCATACAACAGCATTAATGATATTTATACTGTTCATTTTTCACTGTAATGCCCAGTGTAGTGTACACTTCATCACCTACTAATCAACATCAAACCTGTGGCACAGGAAAACATACTTTTTTTTAAAGGATGCCGACATTAACAGATTAATGGATGAACAATAGTTTTGTGTCCAGTCCTATGTATAATATGCGTTATAGAGTACTGTCTTCTGCAGAGTCATGTTTATTTTTTCAGGTTTGCTTGTTCCTCATTTGAAATGATTAAGGTGATTTTTTTCTTCTGTACGTTAATGTTGACAGTTGCATGGCACTGTTTTTACCTCAACATTAATTTTCTGTCTACAGTTTTATAAAACATCATGTTCATCAGAAGTCCTCATTTAATGCCTTTATAATTTATTACGTATCATTTACAGAGATACTTTTAACCACATTCCTGCCAAAATATTATTGCCTTAAAGATGTTTGTTTTTCTCATGTGTTGAACCATCGACTGCTGTTACTGTACAGACATTGATCGTAATGGTGGCTGTGTCGTTCAGACTGCTGCAGATGTGTGTCTCTGTGTCCAGTTGGTCAGCAACAGGACAGGAGTCGGAGGTCAAGGTGTGACAGACGGCATCGTGCATGTCCTACCCTGTATTTACCCTCAAGCTCTAACAAGCTCCCTACAGAGTTTGCATCAGATGATGACAATGACAACAATAAACATGACTGGAATACCTCCACAATGGCTCTTTACTGATCTGTCATTTAATTCACAATTATGTTTATGGGCCACGCGATGGCAAAGTGTCTTAAGTAATTTGTTTTCAGGAACAAGTGTTAAAGGTGATTCACAAATGGTAAAAAATCAGCTAACACACAACCATATCAAACCGGACTAAGGTTTTATTCACATGGAGCCACATCAGAAATATCTAAAGGACAACTTAAATTGGCCAGTAAAAGATTTTATAACATAAGAATATAGTACAAACTTCTTTTCTTCTCAAAACTAAGCCAAAAAAAATAAAATAAAAATAAAAAAGAGAACACATGCTCACGAGTTCCTCCAATGCCCTTAAACAGTTAAGAGTTAAACCGNGCTCTTAGTGATGAAACACATGACAATAAAGACTGATGAAAGGATGAAAGGTAGAATGATGACATCACAACAGTAATAAAAAGTTGTGGGAGAAAAATGAAAGTAGAAAAACCCAAAACAAAACAAAAAACTAAGGGTGATTGTATTTTGTCAATAAAAAACAATAGGTGATAAATCTTGTGATTTAGAACTTGTCCACTCTTATTCTTATTCAGGTAATTTATATCGCCATGTATTTTGTAACAGAAAATGTTTTTTTGAAAAACACTGCTAATTTGAAGAATTTGTTATTTAACAGTTAAATATTTGGGGTTTTCAACAGGATGACGCTGCCAAAGATCCAGAGTCTGAGACTGGCAGCTGTTCTGGAGAACTGCTCAGATAAGCTGGATGTACTGAGCAACACTCTGAGACTTCCTCCAGGCAGAGAACGATATTCTGGAGCAGACCGGGTAAGACCTCATGTCAGACTGTCAACCGTCTGGATGAACATGTGATCAACATTGGTCTGCTCTGTCTTTAGGAGAAGGCCAGGATGGGCAAACTGAGGAAAGACTGGTGAGCACTGGAGACTCACTACTGTTCTCATCAGGTTTGTTTCTTTGCTCTTGGTTTTTTCCTGACTGAATGTAAATCCCTCTTTCTGAAGTCACAGTATGCAGCAGATGATTTTCAAGATGCATGTGGAGTTGGAGCAGAAGCAGGACTTCACCTCCTTGCTGCTTCAAGAGCAGTTGGAAAAGGAGAGGAAGCTAGAAAGAGAGGAGGCTCTGAGGAAGAGGAATGAAGCAAAGCAGAGGTGGTTTCATTATTGTCACTATTGTGGAAAAAACGTTTTATAAAATGATCATTTGAATGATGAATGCCTGTGTCTCCCTTACCATCCAGAAAAGCTGAGAATGAGCTGCAGCGGAGACAACAGAGCCTGGACAGAAAAAGGAACAACCTTAAAGAGAACATCAAGAAGCTGAAGGTGGGGAATTAGGAGAAATAACCGAAGCTGTGTGAATGACTGGATGTCTGCACCTGTGGAGACAAACTCAACTGTGTGTCGTCTGCAGGATCTGGAGGACCTTTTCCGCCAGAGGTCCTTGGAGATAGATTATAGGAAGGTCATGGCGAAATACACTGAGATGCAGCTCCAAGAAACACAGAAGGAGATCAGAGGGACTGAGAACGTACTGGAGGAAAAGTTTAAGGTGGGTCCCATCACCAAGTGTAAAACTGTAGGAAATCTGGGAAGCTTCAGTTCAGGAACCACAGTATCTTCTGTGAAGATCGGAAAAAGTCTCACAGAAGAAAAGTCAATTCAGACTTAAATAACTGCTGGATCTTTTTCAGATGTTGGAGAAACGGTTGCATGAAGAAGCCAGAATTCACATGGAGTCGGAGAGAACTTTCGAGCAACAGCATGATGTAAGAACTCCCAGAAGAACAACATCTGAAGTCACATACCTCTGTTGGGGCGAAACAAAAACTATTTTCTAGGCATACAAGTTTTGACAAACGTTTACCTTGGATGTTTGGAGAAAATGACTCTTTTTGTATATTTTACCTTAACTTAAAGCGGCACAGTTTAAACAGTTGGACATCTATTAGCTTTTTTAAGCTAAATTTAAGATATCTTCTGACTGACATAAAATACACAGCCCTACAGGCACTGGTGTTTGGCTTGACAAAGTTCACTTTTAATTGTTAAGGAGATCAATGTTGTCTGTCCATATTGTGGGTCAGAACCTACAGGACGAGCTGCAGCAACTGGAGGAAAGCACAAAACAGATGATCAAGGAGAAGAAGGAGCAGCTCGACAATGTGCGGCTCAGAGAAACTGAGAACAAAGACAAAATGTCTGAGCTGCGGAAGAAGGTGAGCGTCTCAAATGGACACTTTGAACTCAGTCACTAATGATGAGACATTAAATATCGCTGACGTGTGTGTGTGTGTGTGTGTGTGCGCGCAGTTCAGGGAGATAGAGAAGGTGGTGCTGGAGGACAGAGAGGAGCAGGCAAAGTTACGACAACAACAGGCAGAACTCAGTGCTGCCATACAGGTGACCACCAGGATCCTTTATCTCCTGATTGTTGAATGCACTAATCACTGACTCTGAAACTGACTGTGTGAGTGTTGACCCCGCAGCTTCAGGCCTGGTGGAGAGGCTGCATGGTCCGCAAAGGCCTCGTGCCTCCTGACAGTGGAGACAAAGGGAAGAAAGGCAAGAAAGGTAAAGGTAAAGGCAAGGGCAAGGGCAAAGGTAAGAAGAAGAAGTGACGCCTCTCCACCCTCCTGCATCCTCGTCTCTGTCCATGTGAGATAATACTACTGCTCTTCTCAATATGGCCACGGGAGGGCAGTAATGTGAAAACAGGAATTCAACCAACGCCAAATAAATGAAGAGAATATTATTTCGAGAAGATAATGTTTAACCGTTAAACAACAGCATTATTGTTTTCAGTATGACGTCATTTTACAAATTTTACTTTAAAAAAATGATGGGAATTTCTTTGAAAGCGCTTTAAAAACACAAAAGGAATTAGAAAAAACACTTTGTACAAGAGTAAAGACTGTGTTTGTGAAAAAGAAAACACTGTTATAAATAAAAGCATGTAAGAAAAGCTGACGTTGGCAGAATCTTTTTTAAATCAACAAGATATATTGTTATGTTATAATGGGGTGAATATAAAGTACAACTCGGTATTCAATATTCCATTTAAAAAAAGTTCTGGCCAAAATAAAGGCCACAATAAACTACTGATTCATGGCTCATTTCTCTGGTATTCAGAATTTCGACCACAATTTACACCAATCATTTTTAGGAAATGTACTGTTTTCTTATTTTAAAATGTGTTTATATCAAATTTTGTAATTATAGTGTCCATTTTAACAAATTAGTGACTTGTTTAAATGTCTTATCCTTGACTAATTCGTTTGGATATTGTTTAAATCTCTGTCTCTTCTTTGACTCTTTTTAGAATGTTGAAATACCTAGTTATTTTGTTGATTTTTTTTTTCTTTCTTGGTTGATTGAGCTCTAGTGACGGGGTAGAATTTCCTGGGAGAAACTTTTGTTGCTGTTGCCATGGCGTCACATAAACAGTCACAATATCTATCCGTGCAAGTGGGAAAGTGAAATAGACGTTAAACGAATTTCTTCAGTCTGTGGGGATCGTCTATGCTGCAAATTAAACTGAGGTGAGGTGAACATTTTATTAGTCAGACAACGCTTGAAGCTGCATTTATATGTTCTTATATCTAAGGCAATATATATATATATATATATATATATATATATATATATATATATATATATGTACACACACATTAACATAAACTTCGTAACATGTTCATAAAAGGTCGTCTCAGACCAACTTACCGCAGGATAGCCGTCACCACCTCGGTCCAAAGGAATAAATAAAAAAAAGAAGTAACATTTGGTCGTGTCTGACTGAAGAAACCTGGTTTTTGTCCAACCGCTTCCCTGCGTCTCCTTCCTGTTCCTGTTCCCATTCCTAACAGACCCGCGGTTATATATTTGCAACTTTGCCACGTTAGAAAACAAAACACACCGAAAGTCCCCAATAATTGCGGTAATTTACAACATGTGCACGCTGTGTACCGGGAGGCATTTAAAAATGTGATTGGATCAGCCCGAACCAATGCGAGGTGCGTTATAGGCCAGTGGTAAAAAAAACAAACAAACAAACAAACAAGCAAATAATGAACATATATCAAAATAACATGTGTGTATACACACACACACACACGCACACACACACACACACACACACATACAGTATGTATATATGTGTTTGTATTTATATATATATCAATGTATATATGAATCAATAATCGGATGCTGGGTTCTCAGCAGGATGTTTCTGTCAAAGATCCAGAGCCTTAGACTGTCGGCTGTTCTGGAGAACTGTTCAGATCAGCTGGACGTACTGAGCCTCACTCTGACAGTTCCACCGAGTAAAGACCAAGGTCCTGGAGCAGCACAGGTGAGATCTCCTGTCCACGTCCACTGTAGTGTCTGGAGGAACATCTCACCAACAGCTGCTGACCCTGTGTGTTTGTGTAGGAGAGAGACAGGATGATCAAGCTGAAAAGAGACTGGTGAGTGGTGCAGATGAATACAGTTAGTGCTACAGTAGACCCTCTGTCTTCATCTCTGCCTTTGTTGCCTCCTCACCCAGTCACTGCGCACAGCAGCTGATCTCTGATTTGCATGAGGAGTTGGAACAAACGCAGACGTTCACATCTTTAGTGCTTCAAGAGGAGCTGGAAGAAAAGCGGAGGAGAGAAAGAAAGGAGAACCAGAGCAGGAGCAATGTCACAAATCAAAGGTACTATTTGTAAAACAAATATTTTTTTCTTTTGTCTGCATTGCTGCACGACACAAAGATGTTTCTCACTGGCCTTTCTATCACCCAGACAGGCAGAGAAAGAGCTGCAGCAGAGAAAACAATGTTTGCAGAGGCGGAGAGAGGAGCTCAAGGAGAAAACAAAGAAGTTGAAGGTGAGAAATCATTTTAAAAAAAAGTTAAAAATAACATTTTGACCCATCGTTGTTTCATGAGAGGAACCAAACTCCACACAGTCAGAACTGTTTCCCCTGCAGGACTTGGATGACGTGCTCCGTCTGAAGTCAGTAGAGGTTGATTACACTACGGTCATGGAGAAATACATGGACCTGCAGACACAGGAGTCACAGAAGGACAACAGCAGAGTTGACAACCAACTGCAGGAACAGCTCAAGGTGGGCTTAGTAGTAAAACACACTCTTTGCATCACAACTCCACTAGGGTGCACTCATGAGCTGTACTCTGGTCTTCTGGCTTATCAATTGGGAACAACTATAACCGAATGAAACCTGGAAGGAAGACGTTTTCCAAATTCTGTGTTTTTCAGGCGCTCCAACAACAGTTGGAAGAGGAGAGCAGAGTTCACGAAGAGTCAGAGAAATTCCTGCAGAAACAACATGAGGTAATAACATCACTAAAGCTGTCAACACTTGTGTGTTATCAGTCAAACATCTGTATAATGCAGTTACACCACTGTCTGGTCAGTCAGAACAACCATCGGCCACGAACGACGAGGACACATGTTAGTAAACATAAGAAATGGATCTTGATATTATGGAACATCAACAACACGTCTTTATGTGTCCGTCAGACATGTCTAACACTGTATGAACAGTTACAACAAATAACTTTTTTTTCAATACAATAGTATTGCTTTTTTTCTTGATATGTGTGGCTTTGTATGATTGTTTTCATTTATGTTATTTCAGGTCTATATAAACACATTTTGTAACTTTTGGATTATTATTATAAAGCAAAGGAAAGTCTTTGTGACACAGCACACCACTGCACACAACCAAATGTGACCTCTGCTTTTAACCCATCACCAAAGTGAACAGTGGGCAGCTTTAAGCACACGGCGAGCAGTGTGTGGGGACGTGCCATGCTCAGAGCACCTCAGTGATAACTTGGCAGCTGGTGGACTTGAATCTGAAGACTTCCGGACCCAAGTCCGCTTCCTTAATCACCAAGCCACCACTGCCCCTACATGTATTTTACATGTAGTTACTTTGTTGTTTGTTTAACTTCAAAAATCATATTGTTTGGCATTTGTATCACTGTATATGTGATACCAGCTGCTGTAAATGCATTTTTCTCACAGTATTGATTGAGCAGGAGGCAATTTATTATTTCGCTTATTGTTGGTCTCAGCAACTGCAGCAGGAGCTGCAGAGATGGCAGCATCGCACCAAACTGATGATGCAGGAGAAGGAGGAGCAACTCAACAGTGTACGACGCAGGAAAACTGTCAACTTGGACAAACTGTCTGAGATGAAGAGGAGGGTGAGAGGAGTGTGTGATGTTAACTAGTTATTCAGTCAGAGTAATAACTAACAATAAAGTGGTATTTGTGTTCAGTGCAGGGAGATGGAGGAGGTGGTAATGGAGGACAGGGAGGAGCAAGTGAAATTGCGTCAAAAACAGGCAGAGCTTTTTGCTGCTATAAAGGTAATGAGCTTCTGTGATGGACAACAGGGTTAACTGTTAACCCTACACAAGATACTGTATAATGACAATTTCCATGTTACACAAACCACCTCTTTACAAAGCACCAGTGTAGTAAAAGTCTTGTTTTTCCAGGAAGTTTCTCCATAGAAATCCTGGCTAAGCTGCAGGGTAGAAAAATGAAGACGTGACTTTTTCGCTTTTGGGCCATGACCCATTGGTTTGAAAATGCTGCCCTTCTGCTCTGACTCCATGTCCTTAAACTATAATCTGTGACCTTTGACCCTGCAGCTGCAAGCCTGGTGGAGAGGCTGTATGGTGCGAAAAGGCCTTGTTACTGTCACGAAGGAAGAGAAGACAAAGAAGAGCAAGAAGAGCAAGGAGGGAAAGAAGAAGACCAAGAAGAAGAAATGAGGCTTCTTTAAACAAATGTTTTATTACTTTAACATCAATGTAAATGCACACAGAAATATTAAAAATCACATATTAAACTTCAAGAAATCCAAGAAATTAAAACAAATTTCTGAAATGAGAATTAAATTCTCATTTCCTGAAATAAAAACCAGCAGGGAGTTTATAGTAGGTGACCACAGGTCTTACTCTTTAACATTAACACCTTTATCCTAATATAAGATAAGGGCTTAGACACAGTGTTTTGCTACTGTTTTTGGTGCATTAACCCAACATGAGATCCGTGCAGTAACTCAGTGTGAGTATTGACAAACAGCCACTTGTGACAGAGATGAGTCAACGTTGGGTTTTCACAGCTGTGGGAACTACTGAGGGGAAATTCCCACTGCCTCCAACATGTGATTTGATATTTGGCCATGTATTAACATCACACTGTAACATCACATCACATTCTGACACATTAACATAATATAATACATAATTACTATTTCTTACTCCTTAATCTTTTTTTAAATAAAGAAAATGATTTTGGTTTTCAGGCAATGTGTTCTAGAAAAGACAGTTTCAACACAAAATAAACACCTTAAACGGTGAATAAATACTGTGGTGTCAGTCTACGTAATTCTCTCACATATACCAGAGGGGTGTAGTGTGTGTGTGTGTGTGTGTGTGTGTGTTTACATGTGTGTCAGCTCTATGAGGTTTCATCCTCAGTGTACATGTAATTGCCGTCACCAAAGATAACACATTTGAGACTAGAGCCTTGGATGTTGATGCTGTGAGGCTGTACAGGCGGCAGAGACTGCAAGGGAGGAGGCGGCACTGGTGGAGAAATATCTGCTGTCTCCTCCTGGTCGTGGCTGTTGCAGCACCATGTATGATCTGTAAGACAGGGGAAAATATTTTAATTAGTTGTACTGTTTTCTTTTGGAGTAATTGGTGCTTGAATATTTACCCAAAATGCCAAATGACAAAGAAATGACATGTTTTAACTGACAAATAAAAAGAAACAAAGTTGAAGGTGGTCTAATTTCAGAGTTTCAGAGTTAACACTTGGGTTCAACCTGGTGATTTTCCTGCTATAGGAGGAGACCGCTAAGTTGTAGTTTATATTTCTGTTCTATTTCAACCAGGCCGTGACGTGTTTCAAATGATCTGTCCTCAGGTCAGTGTAGTGAACTCACCATGGATCTGAGGCTCAGGTTCCTTCATCAAGGGCTGACTGTCGGTCACAGCAGATGAATAAGTGTCGTTGCCAATGACACAGTCAATGAGGGTAGAGTTGCTGATGTTGACGATCAGGATGGTGGATGGAGAACTGTGAAGTGCCACTGCTGTGTTAACAGACGAGGGCAGGAAAGGGAAGACAAAAGGGGAAGAGAACATGGAAATTAGTTGATCTTCCACAATTTTGCAACATTGAGGCATCTGAAACACCACAAAGTTCTTTAAAACATGAGGAGGAAATGAGAGTCTTAAGGGAAAGACAGAGTTCACTCCCGCAGTTGTAATGACCAACGTTTTACTTATTCCACTAACTGAAAGGGAAACTCGTTTGTATCAAACTTCTGCAGCAGGTAAATGGACAGCCAGGATGACTTTTTAGGATGAATTCTATTTAGGAAATATGCATAACCTTAAAGAAAACCGATGCTTGCCTTTTAACTACTCTTAACGAAGAAGAAACGTTAGGATAGCAATAGTTAGCATAGCAATAGTTAGCATAAACATAGAGCTAAATAGGTGAATGTGAGTAAAAAGGAACATCAGAAATGAGCAAAAGAGCAAAAGAAATGAGCAAAAAGACCAGCATAAGCTGGTGGAAAATTTAACAAGGAAATCATTTTTTAGTAGATGTGGACTGAGTATAGAGTGGTGGAATTTACCTTGAACAGGTTTTTCCGGTGTCTGTCGATTGTCGCTCGCTGTAAATCAGTCAACAGTTACAACTTTGTACATATATATATATATATATACACCAACACTTTCCTGACATTAGTTATTGGTTATTGGTTATTAGTTATTGGTACAAAGTTGTAACTTTGTAATATATATATATACATACATACTGTATACACACACAGTGAAAAATCAAATGAGTAAAAATCATTGAACCAACCTGGGAGCATGGAAAGATGTCGACACAACAGAATGTCTAATGAACAGGAGAACAGTCTGCAGGCTGTACTGTAGCTCTGCTGTCCCACCCTCTGGAAAACCTGGACCAGTCTGTGCATGGTGGATGCCTTAGTGGTCTTCACCTGCAAAGTAGAAGAAGGTTGAAATAACAGTCACTCAGCTGCTTCAGGCACAGGGGCTTTACAGACAGACCAGCTTCTGCTCAGCGCTGCTTTTCTAGGTTACCGGAACACTCTCTCTCTCTCTCTCTCTCTCTCACTGACTGCTGCTGCGACTTACATGGAACTGTCAGTTTATGGAAACTGACAGTTCCAGGGCAAAGTTGGTTGGTGTTGAACTAACCCTTTCACAATGTCTTTTCGCATTGTATTAATTTATAATCCCTACTGATTAACATATGTAAGACAAGTTCAGATTTTGTGTCAGGAACATAATTTCCTGAGACCCATAAAATATCGAAGTATAATAAATGTGTCAAAAGCTCTTTTCCCTCCATTGTTACATGTGAAACCGCTTGTTCTCCTTTCTGTCAAATCTGCTGCACGGTGAATATATTTGGAAACTAACCCTCTCTATTTGCTTCCCCTTTTCATGAGATAGATTTAAAGGTTTTGAATATGAGATATTTTATCTTTATCTTCCATCAAAGTGCACATTTACTTTGTAAAAATAAACATACTAAAGACACACACAAAAAAATACAACTATTGCTGTAAAAACAAGAAAAAAACAAAACACCAACCTGTTCCATGGGTATTTTGTATTTCATGCTGATGTTTTCCAAAGGATTTTGAACCAGGGGATCTGTGTGTTCCATCTGTTGACTGGCTGAGGTATGTAATAATGTACTTCACTGGGTCTCAGACAAGAACCTATATAGCTCAGAAGCCCTGAAAAACCCCAGTGAGAGGTGGGAGTTTCCGAAGAAATTAAACTCACGAACCACAACACACAAAAGGGAGTGACCGAGGAGAACTGGCTTCTTCATCAGAGCTGCTGTTGCCGCTACCTTAAAAAAAAAAAAAGGAGTGAATTGTATTACATGGGTCCTACAGTCCCGGAAAAACATGACATCACACTGACTTCCTGTTTACTCGTGCTGCAGTTGTTTCAGAGAGTTCAAATGGATCATAAATCAAGAGTAACTTCGAAAGTGGCTAAACTAAATGTATAGTTGAACGTAAACATAGAAAATAGCTAAAAGAAAGTCCAAATCATGCCAGTCTTAGCTACAGTAGCTAGAAGTCACTTTAACACATTTTAAGAAAAGAAAAAGTAAAAAGAGTAAACCAAACGTACTGGTAAATAATGTGGGTAGCACATTCAGTAGGTAAAGGTGAGACTAAATGACATTTAGTTAGTCAAATTCAGTAAAAATAAATATAAGAAATTTGAAGACAGGCTTTAGAAAAATGTGCCAAAATAGCTCAGATTATAGCCGAACATTAGAAAAGAGATAGCTGAAGCTGGAGTTAGCTGGGAAGACAGCTAACAAAGAGAAAGAGAAATATCTAAATATCAGCCAGTGGTGTCCAAAAGAAAAACAAAAAGAAAAAGAACAAAACGTTTAGCATTGCACCTTTAAAAATACATCATATTTTCAATTGGTCCTGAACGCTAAATGGCAATTCAGGGAAATGACCGGTAGGAGTAGTCAAGAGTTAGGAGGAGTACCACACATACACAAACACACGCAGGCGGCTTCCTGGATGGAAACAAAGCACACACACATACACACACACACTGAGCGGCTGGGAGCAGGACGTGTAAACATGGGCTTGTTGCCTGTGTGAGCTGCTGCAGCAGTGGCGCATTTACCGGCGGATCTGGATCTGGACCATCCGGTCCCAGGAAGGTCCTACAGGCAGCACAGGGGACACAGACAAGGTATGTCCCCGAGTCTATTCTCTGGTCCTCTGCAGAGCACACACGCACACACACAAGTGAAATGCGTCAGAACTGTTTTGTGTTTTGACCCACGTTGGTGTGCATTCGTGTGTGTGTGTGTGTGTGTAGATACACAGTAAAGACGCATTTCTTACACTCTTCAGCGACACCACATGGAATGTGGAGTTAAATACGACTGTCGTTTTTTCCACTGCATTATAACCTTACACGCTGCAGCTGCAGCTCGGATTTATTAGCTCATTTTTTTCCCACACAAGAAAACAGGCAGGTTGTTAGAGCAGAGACCCAGGGAGTGACTGCAGCTGTGTCAATGATGCCATAGAGCCAGTACTTCTCCCTGACCGTGCAGCTGGTTCCTCTCCACACAGTGGGCGTCTTTCGTAGAGCAGCAGCAGCAGCAGCAGCAGCAGTCATGCTGCCTGGACCTATGGGATCTGTGGAGACTGGACTGCTAATGAGTCAATGGTCGGCTTCACACCCTGAACAGACAGTTATAATGTTTGGACACTTTTGATGGATGATCAGATCATTCAAAACCGGATGCAGCCTTTCACTTGGTTCTCAGAGGCAGGCTGTGCATTAAGGATGCTCTCTGAGGTTTTTAACTCTTAATCTATCACCATAATCTGTAAGTGCATGGCACAAGATGCCCTGAGGAGGGTATAATTAACTGATCCAAGATTACCTTGATAATGCGGAGCTTGTCTAACTGATGACAGATATGATTGGTGTGCCACGCTGAAAACTCCTGTATCTGCAGGACGCACCATGACTGTGCAGAAATGCTGCTCAAGCTCAAGTTTATGCCTAAACATTACAGTGGGAGATAATCGTATATAAGTCTGGCTTGGACTTCTATTTCTTAGATTAGATTTCTATGATTAATTTCTCTATGGAATTAAAATACATGTTAATTGTTAACATGTTAAGTTAATTTTTATTTTGCATAGTTTGAATAATTCAAGAGGAAGTCAAAGTCCATCAAGTCCAAGGACATAAGTGAACCTAAACAACACTACATCACTACTTCTTTCTCAGGCTTCTCTAACAGCTTTAACCATCATGTCCATGTCAGGCTTCGTCAGGGTTTACATGTAAATACGTAGGTAGTTTTGAAGCCTCCATCCTGAGGATTTTATGGTGAAGTGCATTACAAGAGTTCCTTTTATCTTTGTAAAAACCTACAGTACAAATCTCATATTTTACCACACTCGGAGTGCAGTGGACGCACCCTCAGCCTAGTTCATTCCAGTTCTTCAGTTTTCCATGGTGACTGTGTTCCTGACAGTAACCAGCCATCATTAACAACTGTCAGAAAGAACAAAGAGCTTGTCAATAGTTGTTGTCTCTGGAAACATAGACCTTGGACTTTGGCCTTGAAAGGGCGCCCATTCATTTGACACAAACGTGTTGAGTAAACAATATTACAACAGTAACTAACCATAATTATAGTTTGCTTGTGCACTAGAGAGCTTTAAACGCTGACTGATTCATATCTGGTGCGAAGATGATGAGGGTGTATTTCAGTCAGCAGCGTTTGTACACTGGGTATCGAAGGAATGACAGGTAACAGAAACCTGGGCGAGTGAAAACTGCATTAGTCCGTGTCTCTTTGATTTCAGGAGTATGACGGCTGTAGCTCTTCTCCGTCCCTAGCAGAAGGACGAGGACAGCTTGACTTCTTCCTGTTTCTCCTCCACCCCTGCCCCGTGCCCCAACATGGCTAGCAGGAGTCCCACCCTGAGCTCAGAAGCCAGGGATTCCCCACCTGGGACCCCCATGGCTCTTGACTCTCTGCTGGGGCCTGAGGTCTTTTGCAAGCTGTGTCTGAGTGAGCAGCCGTCAACAGCCAGCCAGCAACTGCAAACATGTGACTGCAGCTTCTGCACTGCTGTGAGTAGAAATGATTCCTCTTCACTACATATGTTTACAGTAAATAATACTCAAATCCAAAGATAGCTGCAGCTGTGGGACACTAACCTGTGATCTTTTGTCACTGAAACTGAAATAGAGTCTCCCCACTCTGTATTTAGAGGAGGAAGTGTAACCCCAATGTTCAGTAAATGCCCCTTAATAACAATGCAAAACAAAGTCCTTAAACCTGTCATTTAGTAAAGCAGCTGAATCTTTAGCCCCAGACAGACACACACCCTCCCTAGAAGTTGGGGCTGATAAAAGTGTACCTCTGCTTCATATGGCTTTTTTAAAATTATATTTATGTCATTGGTTAACTACAGTAATTGTTTATGAAAAGGCAAATTGATTGAAGATTTTTTTTTAATATAGTTTGTAGTATCACTTGTCTAATTTTAATCTCTGTGATCTGTTAAATATCTCCAGTCATTTTCGGCATTGAGAGCCGTTTAAAGCTAGGATTATAATAATAATAATAATTATTAATAATAATAATAATAATAATAATTGTCTCTTTAAAATATAAGCTAACTTTGCCGATCCTTAAGCTGTGTGTCATGTTTTTTTTCCTCTATTGAATTTGCTAAAAAGAAATTCTGAAATTGTTGTTTTTCAACAGACTATTAGTAATAACCCAGTCTCAATACCAAAACCTACTCGTTAACCTCCTGACCAAAGAACCTCCATAGTGACAGTCCCTTTGTTTAAAATACAGGATTTGGTGTGTCTTTGGAATACAGAATTGAATGGAGTAAATGGATGACTGGCCTGCAGAGGTGGAGTTTTATTGGAGTTTTATGAACTCTAGCTGCATTTCTGTCAGTGGAGTTTGTCGTCATCCATGTTTTCATTCTGTTACTCATGATAAGTCACACTAAGTGAGGATTTCACAAAAATAACCCAACATCTATAAACTTTGGCAATTTAGGCAACTGCCCAGTGAGAATTACTTCAGTGTAGCAACACATCCTGCCTTAAAAATAGAACTCTTTGTTGTTAAATTGTAAATGTCACAAATGAGTGTACACGACACAGTTTTACCAGGGAGCCGACTTTCTTTCTTGTTTCCTTTTGTTTTGACGCGGTGTTTGTGTCATGTGAATCAACGTGGACTTGATATTATGTCCTGACACAGAACTGGTGTCAGACAGTGGCAGGTGTTACTTCCTGTCTGTGCCAACTGCATTGTCAGTGTGGCATATGAAAACAAGGTCATAAAGATAGAAGACAAATACTGCAGTGTCTTTTACATGTGATTTCTTTTGATTTGTTTGGTTTATGAAAGGTGATAAAAATCATTCTCACCTCTATATTTAAGTTAAAACAATAATATCCATAAAATGGCAGTGAAAGTACTAATGTTAGCTACATGGGAAAATAAATATAGAAATATAGCTAATAGCAAACCCGAAACATTTGCTCAAAGGTAACTAGAATTTTGTTCACTATGACAACACTTTGCTTACAATTAACTTATAGCGATAGCTAAAGGTTACCACTAACAACCTAAAGATTACCATCTTTAACCCAGAAACTGCCACATTTGTTCCATTATTATAAAAAGGTGAATTAGTAAGAATGGCTTAGCTAAAACACCTAAACCTAACAAATATCAAAACATACAGTATTATTAAGGTTAATTCAGTTTCCTCGGAAAGTAGCAAAAAATAGCTTACAAATAGCCCAATCAATGTACCCAGATGTAGCTAAAGGTTAGCCAAAATGAATCAATAATATATATACTACATTTCTTGTACACAACTACAGGATTACCAAAAAATAGCAAATGATACAAGTAAATTAGAAATACTAAATAGTTTGCTGACATCATCATATGTAAACGTAAAGAATTTCACAATCTGAGACAGAACTCCTCGGGTTCTCTTCTGCAGCATTCACTGACCTTCATATCTCTGTGTTATTGTTATTGCCACCGAGTATTTTGAATTAATAGTAAATGTTTTGTGGGAAAGTACATGATAAGCACAAGTTTACATCTACCAAGGTGTAAACACTTAGAAAAGAGAAAGGAGATATTCCAGACCTCTGCGATAAATGTGTTTTTCAGTCTTCCACAGAAAAGTAATGTTGAAATGTTTTGAGTTTCTGTTCCTCCAAACAGTCTGCCTTTTCGTAATGTTACATACACAGTTCCTCCTTCTTTTCATTGACTATTGCCAAAGTAACTCATGATTAATGATGTCCGACTGCAGAAAATAAATCCTTGTTCTGTTGGATTCTTTTCACACCATCTGTTCCCTTTTTTAACATTTTTACTAAATTTAGCCCCAGTTCATTTAAACTGTTGTTGACACATATTCTCTATTATCAGATGTATCACTCTGCAGAAGTATTACCGGTGTGATGTGTATCTCACCACCACATCTTGCATTTGTTTTGCATACTCGTGCAGCTGTGTTTTTTCTCTCTCACCAGTGTCTGCGGCAGTATGTTCAGCTGGCCATCATGGAGGGTGGGGGGGCCCCCATCACCTGCCCAGATATGGCCTGTCAAAAGAGTGGTGTGCTGTTGGACTCTGAGGTATGTCCTGATAAAAAGGCTCACATGTACAGTGGGTCACAGCCGCAGGAGCCTGCAGACACAGTGAAACACACACACAGTGATGAGTCTCAGGGAAAGGGAACCTTGGGCTACAGTACATTTAAAATGAGAGGAGGTGACCTCATCGGCAGCTTTTTGGTATTTTAATTAGGTATAAAAGGAGTGTGAGCAAAGGTTTATTATTTAGCAACAAGGATTGGACTTTTTGCTAAGGACTGGTATTAACAGCTGTGTCATTAGTCATGACCTACATCTTTATACACATGTGATGATCCTGCAGACCTTCATGCAGGGCAAAGGCCTTCTCAGTCAGAGTGAAAATGAAAGCTGTAAATAAGTGAGTTCGACACATGGTCTGTCAGAGGAAACTCTTTGCGAATATGTGGAAACTCTGCTTCTCACTTCCTCATTTGCAACCTTTGCCAGTGGACTCTTGGCAGAAAATAATCTGTCCTTCTGTGGTTTTTGTAGCAGCGAGTGTTGACATTGATCATATATACAAGAAGTGGACGTTTAGCATTTAAAAAAAAGCAGTTCCCAGATGTTTCTCTAGGCTGTGTTCCTCATCTAGATAAGACCATATGAAAAAGATGAAGAATGTATGAACCAGAATATGATTGGGGCAGAGAGGGTTATTGTGCAATATTTTTTTACAGGGATCAAATTAGTAGTTCCAAGTTTTGGTTTTACAGAGGAAAATAATGACCCTGGGGGAAAATGTGTTTTTTATCTTGTTTACTTTAGATCTGATGTTGCTGGAATGTCTTCTAGGGGAGAACAGTTTACACAGATGGTGGGAAATGTCCCCGAGGATGATATGGGCTCAACTGTGGCTGGATGAACTTTAAATGTCCTCACGGGACAGAAAGGGAATTCTCCTTAGCATAAAAATAGCTAAAAGTTCACCTAAAATTAGCCAAGTGGTAATTAAGTCAGGCAGGAAATATTACAGTATACACATGTACATATACTGTATAACCTATATAAATTGCAAAAGAAAAATATATCAAACATCACTAAAAAGACATCTCAAGATTTTTACACAACCTTCGCAACCTATCCAGTTCATAAGATTAGTACACTATGGCCAGGCAAAGATGGCCGAATTTCCTCCTCTGGAGCATCCAAATATATTTCATTATAACAGTAATAATGACTGAAGACAGTATGACAAACTGTTGCTGTTGTTCCTTTTTAATTTCAGATATCCCGCCTGGCTGCAGCTGATCAGGTGGAGCTGTACCAGCGGCTGAGGTTTGAGAGAGGTAGGATTTGGTGCATTGACATGTTGACATTTTACAGGCCGGTGACAGGACTGGTGCTATTTCAGGTCGCAGCACAGTTGGGAGCATTACAGCAGCTCCGCCGCACGCTGAGCACCACATGCCTGGGTTATTGTGGGAGCACCAGAGAGGTTACTGAAACTGGGGCTTTAATACCTTTGAAGAATTCAATGACACCTGCTCCAGGAGACCTACTGCACTTACATTCATCTAAATATACACTGCTGCGACTTTTGTTGAAGCGCCGATCAGATTTGCTCTTCATATTATTGATATGCTTGTGAAATCAAAGGAAGTAGGTTCCACGTGACAACGTCACAAACCACAGCTGCTTCTAAATTGGGATTTCCAGTTGAACAATAGTAAAATCATAAGGTCCAATATTTGGGCCATAAAATAACTTATAGGTGGAGGCTGTTTGTGTAACAGTGTTTTTCTTCTGTCAAAGTGTTTATTTAACACCTGATGGAGGCACAGTGAATCAGTTCCTTCCAGCTTCTGTGTTGGTTTCATGTATGAAAGATGTAAACCGTATTTTACGTTGTATTTACTAGAGTCTCCTCACTGGGTTGATTTGTTTTGCATGAATCCAGAATGGTGGAATACACATGGCATACACAAAGACGTAAAGTTAACACTCCTATCATTGTGATGGTTTGGTCTTAAAGGTTTGATTCGTTTTTAGTAAGCAATAGGAACATATGAATATAGTCAGACACTAGAGATTAAACAAGAGAAATCCTGGACAGATGGCAGCACCTCTGCAGGTAAAAACACCACCATACACTTCTAGTGACTGATTAAAAATGACTAAGGACATTGTTGTTGTATGATTCTATGTTATTTTCCCACACACATACATCTGCATGAAGTGAAGTTTATTTATCAACTATAAAGCATGAATTTTATTTTTTTTTTTTGTTACTGGAATAATTACTGTGCATCTTCATTAAGTTTTATTTCTGAACAATTCAAGTTAAAAAAAGCATTTTTATTGTTGTTAATGTTATTTGTTTTTTTTTGTTGTTTTTTTTCATTCATAGGTTTCATGATGTGTGCTTGATGACCATATTTAGCACCTATTTGTTCAAACCATATTAGGCAGAATATAGACAAAAGAAGTCTATATAGAAATCATATTCTACAGTGCATATCAATAGGTGTGTCTGGGCAGTTCTGTTTAATTTCTCCATAATGAGTCTCTATGGTTTGTCTGAGAACACGTCGCTCTCTCACCCTCTGCAGGTGTAAAGCTGGACCCCAGTAAAGCCTGGTGTCCTGTTGTTGACTGTCAGGCTGTGTGCAGCGTGGTACCAGGCACTGAGGGTCGACCCACAGCTGTTCCCTGCCTCACCTGCCACACCGTCTTCTGCTCTGGCTGCGGCGGACCGTGGCAGGACAGTCACACCTGCCCTGAACGCCAGCCCATGATGTCACCCTCTGTGTCTCATGAAAGCAGGTTAGTCACAGAGCCGTTGGGTTAAACAACCACTGAGTCAACAACTGTTGTGTGTGTGTGTCCTACACACATCAACATCCTGTTGACTGCAGGTGATTACAAGGATAACCTTTTATAGTGTGGTGACACAAGTTGTGTCATTTACTCTATAAACCTGTGAGAAAAATTAAATGATATATTCATGAAGCAGTGTTCCCCAACAGGTTAGGAATCAAGAATGATGCTGTTTTCCCCTCAGTCATTTTAAATGAAGGAGCATATTAGTGCATTTATCTTGAGAGACTCTGCCCCGTCTGTTTTTTCTTTCCCTGTTTTTTGAAAGTGGTGACGATATAGAGTCAGTATGGGACAGTAATGCATCTCATGAGTTGGAGCAGCTGAAAACAGGGCCTAAGAGTTTTTTTTTTTTTGTGATTTGAAATTCAATGTTCTTGAATTTTGCATTTCAATACAAGACAATGTTGGATTTGTGGTGTTAAAAATGTGTACAACCTTGGCTTCTCTTTCTGTGATTAACCACTGGCTCAGGTGGTTTCTGCCTGTCTTATACTCAGTGGACAACTGCCAGGCTGGAGGCTAATTTTATTACTTGTTCATGTCTGAAAAATGTTTTGGCTAGATTACAGGATAATAATGACATGAAAGTGTTACGTTGTATGAGCACAATCAGGTGATGGACCACCATGTCCTACACAGGTCAGATGTTAGGAACATTCACGAAAAAAACCCCAAAACTTAACGACTAATGAAAAAGAATGGTGTCCTAAGATTAATAGTGAAAGAACAGTCAGTCGCTCCTGTGCTGTGCTCTGTGTAGATCCCTGCAGTGATGTCTTCTTCTGTGGGATCTCCCTGTTGGAGAGTGTGAGCTGAATGCTAACATTATATCAGGATTAATAGCCTGGTGTTCCACTGCTGTGCCCTGTGTGTAGTCCCTGACGTACAGTGCTATTATTGTGCTGCTGCCGTGAGCTGCAACACTGACCAGTGTCCACAGAGACTGGCTGAGCTGCGATGGAATTTCTTTGTCTGTCTGCCAGGAGGAGAAATACGGACATTAGGCCACGTAGTCCTGTCCTCTGTACAGATGGAGACTGTTTGCTGTGGCTTTTATGGTGATTAATCACATCGTTCTGCATGGAAATCAACATTATATTTAATGTTGATTTCTAGTATCTAAACATTGTCTAAATATGTTGGTCAAACTTAAGTTTAATAATACTTAATCAATAATCAAAGACTGACTGTGATTTTCCAATGTTAACATCTGGGGGGTTTAACAGTAAGGTGTTTTGTGTCAAATAGATTTTTTTCTTCAACCTTTTTGGTTCACAAAATGATTAGCCCTCTCTGAAATGACCCCTCAACATCTATCCTGCTGCTGTGTTTTCAACCACAGGGTCAGATACGACAGCCAGTCAGAAGTGCCCATCAAACAGTGTCCTATGTGCGGTATTTACATAGAGAGGAACCAGGGCTGTGCTCAGATGCTGTGCAAAAGCTGCAAACACACCTTCTGCTGGTACTGTCTGCAGAATCTGGATGTAAGTCTGGCTGTAACACAACTCCCAAATCTTGTGCTCGGTGAATTTGTGTCTATTGTCAATATTGTGCGTTGCCACTGCAGGGTGACATCTTCCTGAGGCATTATGACAAAGGGCCGTGCAGAAACAAGCTGGGCCACTCCAGGGCTTCTGTCATGTGGAACAGAACACAGGTGAGGCCACGCAGCAGAAAACACAGCAGATATACAGTGTGTCCTGCTTCAGGAAGGGGTTCAAGGAGGGACAGTGGAGATGATGATTAAAGTATTCTTTGTCTCCTGCTTTCGTCACAGTGTGTCATAGCCTAAAACCAAAGCATGAGCAGGAACTCCATTGGACAGTTCATCAGGGAGTTTTTAGCACAAAAAAACAAATTGAACTTTTTTTTTTCTTTTAATGGGAATGGGCACTTTTGAAGACAGTATTTAAAATCAGTGGCTCAGTGGGTGAGAGAGGCGGGGGCAACAACAGGCTAACCTACAAGAGAGAGTTCCTTCAGAAAAGAAAGTTGGGGAACAGCTGAAACAAAGATGTGGTTGCTACTTCTAGGTCAAAGAGCTGGGGAGGTATGTGTGGTGCTACAGAGCGGGGCTGAATTCACGGGAAGAATGGTCACATCTGCCCCTGAAGCCTCTCATTTCTTCTACTTAACTCAGACAATGTTAGCAATTTTGTCACCAATGTGACTTCTTTCGCCACAGTAACACAGTGCAGCCGGTGGGCCACTCACTGGGTTTGTGATCTGAAAGAGGTTGACTTTTTATTGGATTCTGTAATTTCTGTGAGGAGCTGTTAAATTTAAAACAGTAACAGCTTTAGAATCAACCTGGATCTGGAGGAGTTGTGTTGAATGAATACACAGAACAATGACCTCAACTACTCTTTTTTTTGTGGAGGTTCCTTATGGAACGTTGCATAGTTTGTTTCTACTTGTGGCCATGGGGGCTTGTTGTTTTGCACCAGTATGAATAAATAATCCTTTTATCAAGCAATAATCTGAACTAACTAATCCCCTCACTAATCTCAAACTCTTGCCCAGTGCCCTGCAGTGACATGGCTTCCAAACCTTTTGTTTAACTGTGTGGTAATACTCTAAGTTATACTGTAAATTTGACAGAATATCAACTGAGCAGTAGTTTTGTTTGAGACCAGCCTTGACAAACTTGGTTGGGCCTGGTTTAACAGGTCTGTTATGTTTTACTGTCTGTTTGAAGTGAATCCTTGGCTGTGACTCATTCTTAGCCGTCTCCACACTCTGCTGCTGCTGCTGTAAGAGCGTGTCAGCACTTTTTACTGTGCAGCACTTGGCCTGAACACTGTCTAAAATTAGATTTAACTCTTTATTATTTTATAGGTGCATTTGGAGCAGACATAGAGCTGTAGGTACAGGAAGTGAGTTCCAAACGAACTGTTAGGATTCAAGTCCAGGGACACATTGGCACACACACCAGCAGTGGCTTATTTACACCGCATCTGTCATTTTCTAAAACTATATTGACAGATGATGCTGTACACCTAGTTGTAGATGAAAAACCTGAATTTGACGAACCATTGATAAGCCTCTGTGTCCTCCTCCAGGTTGTAGGTATTCTGGTAGGAGTGAGCATCGTCGTGTTGGTGACTTCCCCGCTCCTTCTTCTCGCCTCACCATGCATACTGTGTTGTCTCTGCAAACCCTGTAGAGGGATGAAGAAGAAGAAGAAAAAAAAGAAGGAAAACAGTCAGCCGGACTCCTCCGCATCATAGCGGCGCAGCTGCTCCCTGACCTGACCCAAGATCACTAATGAATCCTGAGAAAACCTTGGTGGAAATATATGGGAATATACAAAGGAATACATTTCCCCAGCTCCACAGACTGCAGGCCAATATGACAAGGTGCAAGGAGAGGATGTCTTTCACGCACACACACACTCGTGCACATGCAGTTAACGCTACCTTCATGTGCCAAACATCATGATGCCAAACCAGAGATGTTAGGTGCTCAAGTGCCTCACTCGACAGTGCCTGGTGCTTGGTCGTGTTTGCTTTGCCTTCCATTATCTCTTTATCTTATGCAAAACCTTTAGCAAAATAAAAAAAAATCCACAGCTGTTGGATTTTCACAGGGTTGTTATTCCCTCGAAAAATAAAAATGCAAAACAGTCTTTCTTTCAAATTGGGAGGTGATGAATGGCATAATGTATATGCACTGTATATTCTGTACTGAGAAGACGTAAAATAGGGCTCCATTGGTGCACAGAGAACTTTACTCCTGGTGGTTGTTCCAGACCAAAGGCTCCAAAGGATAATGTGTATACTTTTCTACAGTGTGTCCATGTGTATTTATGACTAATGTGTGTGTGGTAGGCTGTTATTATTTCTATGTTTCTGTTGATGTTTCTGCATCAGATGTTTTTTAAAAAGGCACCATTGTATAAATAAACACACTGTATTGAACATGCATCACGTGGCTCTGGGTTAAATGTTGACATTTTATCAGAATAAGTACAGATACAAGTACAAGTACAGATAAGAACAGCTATTTTTGGTAAATACTGAATATCAAATAACTGATCTGTTGATCTCTACTATTATATATCTACACTGCATGTGTGTGTGTTTATACAGGGAAATTACTCCTATATGAAATTCCTAAATGTAAATCATGAATAGTAAATATTCCAATGTGTGTGTATTAAACAGTAATTTCACGAGCTTACTAACTTATTTTCATAATAATACAATATAAGGCCCAAACCACCAACTGACAACATGTAAACACGTCAGTTCAAGTGGTAGTAGTAGAGAATCCAACAGCTATAAAGTATGTTCACGAGTCAGTTAAAATACAGTGTGTTCATAAAACACACATTTCTTAAAATCAATTAATCATTAAAAAATATATAATTAATTGATCGTTTTCAGATTATTAGACATGAGGAGAGTTAGACGTCAGTTAGTAAAAAAGATAGTTAGTAGATTGTGTAAGATTTAACAGCATTTAGTTTCATGTTAAGACTTAGAAGTTCCCAAAACATTTTTTGTTTTCTGTCTAAACATGTAGGAGAACATGACAATATTTGGTTATTATAACTTTCTGTCTGCTGTATGCTATAGTATTAAAACACATGTCCAACAGGGCTTTATAAATTAGACACCTACAGGCTCTAAAAGAGCGGGTTAGAAAAGAATATCCATATTTTGAGCCGAGTTTTGCTAATAACAGTATAAGTGACATAATATTCATTCAGTATCTAGTACAACGACTCGAGTTTAATCCTAAATTACCTCAATTTTAAACGACGTTTCTATTAGTTTTTGCTCCACTCGCAGCTGCAACTCCAACTCGTAAATTACGAGATTGTTCGGGTTTTGGCGACGCCATGTGGCAACAAGGCTAAGCCGTCCTCTTCGTTTGGAGGAATGACGTAGACTGGAAAGACCAACAGTCGCAGAAGGCAACGATCAAGTTTGTTTCTAGAAGATGGCAGCGCACGAAGAATTCTTTTCGGGTAAATGTGATTGTTTTGATGATTTGAGAGGTCGTGCTGTCTTTCTACCGGTTTCCCGAGTGTGTTTTCTATGTGTAACGAGTAAGAACTACAGCTGTGAACGAGTTGCAGAGCAGAGGCGCTTTCCATATTGTGGGCCATGGCCCTCTGGTGGGTTTATTAGGTATTGCAGGCTGGTGCTACAACACTTTGTGTATCTTGTGTAACAATTTGAACCTAATATTAAAGTAACGTTTGTCATACAGTAAGAGGCTCTTGTACACACATGCATTTGTAAAAATACAGCATGATCACCTTATTATATAAACTTAAGGACCTGTTTTTTAATGCTACACCAGTCTGTGCTAAAATGCTAATATTTTGATTGTTCCACACTTGAGGTGGCGATGACGTTTTTGAGAGGACATGTTGGGTAACTCTGCATGACCTACAACAGCCAAAATATTGAAAGCTGAAAGCATAAAATCATTATTAAACAATTGTACTATTGCTAATGTATTGTAATATCTTTATCCTTGTGGTTTTATGACTGTAAATTACAAAGGACTATGGAAATTCCGACACTTTTTGTTTCATTTTAAATTGCCACACAGGCATCTCAAAGATCCCATATCAACCTGATGCTGGAGCAGCAGATGTCATGTGTTTCAAATACTACAACGCTGATGAGGTAATTGTAAGATACGTGTGCACTTTAATGTCATGGTGTTGTGGTTGTGTGCGTTTGAATTCTAACAGAAGCAGAGCAGGACTGTGGTCTGAGGTCAGTGTTGTTTTTTATGCAGGTGCTGAGGGGGAGAAAGATGGAGGAGTGGTTAAGGTTTTCAGTCTGCTACTGGCATTCATTCTGTGGAACAGGTGACAAAGCACTGCCTGTAGTGTACAAATATGCTTAGTCAAACCTTCTAATTCTAGTCCAAGGAACAAACATAGAAATGTATTTCACCCAAGATCAGTGAATAAATATTTTCTTACTCTTTTATTTATGGTCACTTCTGTCAGGTGCTGATCCTTTTGGGTTCCAGACTCTCCACAGACCCTGGAATGAAGGAACCCCCATGGAAGCAGCCAAGAAGAGGCTCAGAGTTGCGTTTGAGTTTTTCACCAAGCTCGGCGTAAGAAGAGTTACAGTACATACCAGCATGAAAGCATTAAAATAAATATGACTTGCTGTATATTCTCCTAATGTGATCTGATCTTTGTTTGTCTGCACAGGTGAAATATTACACATTCCATGACAGGTACAGGCATACACCTATTCTTTTGTGTCATCCTTAGATTCTGACCAATCTAGATCTACATACAGCACATGCAGGCTGCCTTACAGACATTTGAATACATTTAAATATAAATTGAATCTGACAACGGTGTGAAATCTACCTCGGTTTTTCCTGTGTACTGAGCAGAGACATGGCTCCAGAAGGCTCCACTCTGCAGGAATCTAACAAAAATCTGGATGAAATGACAGACCTGGCTCTGCAGCTGCAGAACCAGACTGGAATCAAGGTGCTGTGGGTTACCTGCAACCTCTTTGCACACCCAAGGTCAGTGTATTTTACAGTTATTTGTATTCATATAGCAAAAATATTTGTTTTATGATTTTTTAAAATCATAAGATCTTTAAAAGAAGCATAATGGCATTCCTCTTATAAATCCATTGTTGCAGATACATGAACGGTGCTGCCACCAACCCTGACTGTCATGTCCTGGCCTATGCTGGGGCTCAGGTTAAGAAGGGCCTGGAAATTGCCAAGAAGCTGGGGGCTGAAAACTTTGGTACGTGGGTTTGACTTTAAAGTATGTGTTTGCAGCTTGTCATACACAAACACATACAGGAATTCATCCACTGACCTTCTTTCTGTTCTCCCCAGTGTTCTGGGGAGGAAGGGAAGGCTTCCTCTCCATCCATAACACGGACGTTGCTGCTGAACTCAAGCACATGGCCAACTTCTTTAAAATGGCTGTCAGTAAGTGTCTTCACAAATGTACAAACAATTGAACTCTGTCCATGTGGTTTCACAGCTGGGTTTCTTTAATAAGAATACAAAGAGAAGATTGGGTTAAAGTGTCAGTTTCTGATTGAGCCAAAGCCCAAGGAGCCCTGCAGACATCAGTATGACTACGGTAAATCCTTAACCACCAGATACTGTACTGTATGGATGGACCTGACCCACCATACAGACACATATGTTGACGTTCTAAAGTCTCTGGTCCCTGTTTTAGATGCCATGAGTGTCATAGGTTTCCTGAAGCATTATGGTCTACAGGATCATTTCAAGCTGAATATTGAGCCCAACCACACCACACTGGCTGGACACTCCTATGAACATGACATCGTCATGGCATCAGCGTGAGATTCTTGAGATTTTTTCACACCAACATTTTCATGTACTCTCTATGACAGTTAAATCTACCTTTTAATTTCAGCTTTGGCATGCTGGGCTCAGTAGATGCCAACACTGGCTCTCCTGACCTGGGCTGGGACACAGACCAGTTCCCCATGGATATCAAGAACACCACCCTGGTCATGAAGGTGAGCCTTCATTAAAAAAAAGAGTTATTAATAAAGTTAATAATATAGCATAAATAATTAAAAGGCATCCGAAAATACAAAGGAATTACACCTCAAATGAGCTGGGGAGTGAGAGGGGGTCATATTAGTGTTTGACATTTATTACAAAGATATTAGGTATTTTAGAAAAATATATTTTTGTTTAAAATAAATAACTTGAAATTGAAAAACAAACATTCAATTATTATTAACATCTATGCATGGGCTGGATGTGAGGAGTTTATGAGCTGAATGTAGCCCCTGGACCAGGAGTTTGACAACACTAAGCTAGATAGACATTGATAGAGAGTTGGAGTCGTAGTCAATATATAGCTCTTATGATGCCCTGTGACATTTTACACGGAGTCAAAGACCCTAATAACAACATCAGAATGTAATCACACAGACTGATGACGATTTGACTTTATACAAATTCTGGTTCCATCCCAGACCATTATTGAACAAGGTGGTCTGCAACCAGGAGGCTTGAACTTTGATGCTAAGGTGCGCAGAGAGTCCACAGACCTGGTGGACCTCTTCATAGCTCACATCGGAGCCATGGATGCCTTTGCAAGAGGCCTCAGGAATGCAGTTCGCATCATGGACGATGGGATAATGACTGGTATGGTGATGGTATGTATGCAGTAGGTCCTGTACAACACCAGGTGTGATTTTTATAGTATAGCTGTATGAATGTCTGTCTCTTTTTCGCCTAAACAGGAGCGGTACTCAAGCTTCAGTCATGGTCTGGGACACAAAGTGGACAATGGATCTGCTACATTAGAGGAGATGGAGGTAAGACTTCAGCTGGGATGTTTACTCATACCAGACAACAGTGAAATGATAACATAACACAAGGATAGTCACAGATAAATGTACAAAAACCACCCTGATTTTTTTATTTGTATTATTTTCCAGGACTTCGTCATACAGAATGGAGAACCTGAAGTCAAATCAGGGAAGCAAGAAAAATATGAATCCATCTTTAATCACTACATTTAACAAAAAACTTCTCTAAAAGTGCCTTCAAATTGAATTTACAACTACTAAAAAAATGCATCCAGAGCCTGTCAGGCTGTAACTAACAACTGAATTCTTCATAACAGAAAATCATAATTGAAGACAAATGATTTTAAAAAGCCAAGTAATTGGTCGTAAATGGTTGTAATAACACTTAATTCATCATAAATTCTAAGCTCAACAATTGTTAATTCTTTTGTCTGTTTGCCTGTTAAATAAAGTACAGAATTATAGCATTTTTACAAAGTGTATCAGGGTGAAAGCTGTGTCACTCGATTCTTTTTCTGTCCGTGATGATTGAATAACTGTATAAATGTGAAATTTTCATAATATTGCAATTATTTAGTTTAAAATATCTTCTTAGAATAATTGATTTTATGATGTTTTGTGGTTATATTAAGAGAATGACAGTAGACATAGTATAGCCAATAAAATGGGTAAAAAGTTGTTGATAAAAAAATATAATGATGTTCTAAACAGCTGCTGAAATACATCTTAAACTTGTTTTTATAAGTTTAAAGCAGATTTTTTTTGTTTAAACAACAAACCTACTGTCATTTGTCACGGACGCACCAACTGTTTAAAGGCCAGTAATCGGATACATATTTTTAGACGAAAATAATAACAGAGTGATGAATCCTTTCAGATTTCACCTATCTGCGCAGCCGCTGCTACGTTAAATACATGAAAGCTCACCTTTCCACTGACATCACATCATACTACCACACTGTCAACCGGTTGACCAATCAACGGTAAGGGGGCGGATCATTGCCGGCACAGCTGTCCAATCAGAGGATAGCGTGAGCTCTGCTCACCGTCACGTCACTCCTGATTAGCTGGTTGAGATGCGAAGAGGCGGGTCGTAATCGTAAACCAATGCGAAGCAGACCGTTCTGGTCATTAGAATAAATAATTCAAAAGCATCTGTGTTACTGCTAGTGTTAAGTTATTGTATCTGTTCAAGAAAACTGTTTGTTTTAAGGGTTTTTATTTAAGGACCATCTGAGGAATATAATTTATTTTACTTAATCACTTGAATTTCTGGCTTTCACCACGGTTTTTGAAAAATATAAGTATAAAGTTTTTTCTTTCTTTTACATTTAAATTTGTAAAAATGTGGACTTTTTTGGGAATAGCCAGCTTTACTTACCTTTATAAGAAGTCTGATTCCGTTTGGAACCTGGTCCACACTGAGCTGCTGCTGACCGTTGTCCTCTTCCTCACTGCTGGACTCTTACTCTCCAACATTAGCTGTTTTCAGCAACATAAATTGAGATTGAGTCAGATTTTTAATCTGAGTCTCAGTCTTCTTTCATCTCTGCCCATCATCAAACATTTAATCCCAAACAGGTCAGCGCAGAGTCCAGACAGCAGCTGCAGGAAGGTAAGACAGGAAGCTCTTTAAAACCTTAGTAACACACAGGAAAATATGTCTTTATTTGGTTAGGTCTGATTTTCAAACTACCATAATATTCTAATAGTTATTGATTGATTCGTTTTGTGTTGGAGCAGGAGGTTGAATCATTCATACGTAGGTATTTTTTTCTTCATTTTTTTACTTTTAAAAAACAAATGTAAGGTGATAAAATGAAAGATTCATTAATTAAGTGAATTTGTTCATCAATTCTCTTCTCTGTGGACCTGGGGAAAATATTCTATACTATAATAAAACGCTCCACACTCTTCTTTCCAGAACCAGCGAATTAGAAAAAGAGCAGTGGCAGAGATTTCTGACACAGAAAGTTCCTCAAGCTGTGGATCTACAGACATCTCAGAACCTGATGTGGTGATAGTCGGAGCGGGGGTCCTGGGCTCAGCGATGGCAGCTGTTCTGGCTCGAGATGGGAGGAAGGTGACGGTGGTGGAGAGAGACCTGAAGGAGCCGGACAGGATAGTTGGAGAGCTGCTGCAGCCTGGAGGATACAAGGCCCTGAAGGAGCTCGGCTTAGGAGGTGAGTGAACCGTGATCCTGAAGGAATCTCGGAACTATGTTTCTGCCAGATTAAGGATAGAGTAGGAATTTTTCAGGCTTGTCTTGGTTGTTGTCACTATAGCTTCAAACCAGCTTTAGCTAATTTTATATTAACACAAAGTCACTGTTTTGGGCGTACGTATTCTTGATATTTATTTATTTAAATTATTTTTTTTAACATATTTACATAACCCACATTTTTTTTAAATTATTTTTGTATCTAGTCTGATTTGTTCTTTTCAGTTAAGGTACATATTTAAAATTGACCGAGAGTTGACAGTTTTTTTTAACTATCTATATAACTTTATATATTAAATTAATGTAGCTCTTAGGTGCAGGTGTAGTTTTTCAAAAGTCTTATTATTTTTGGGTGTATGTCTAACCATCGTTTTGGCTAACCTTTAGCGTGTTTTATGCTTACCTTTTCTTTTGTTTTGGTGAATGTATTTCTCTCTTGCCTCCGCACTAGTCTTTGACCATGATCTGTCTCATTTGTCTCCATCATATCACACATCAAGGGCAGTGGTATGGAATAATAGATGGTTGCTCAGAAACTTGTTGCGTTTGCTTTGACCTCAGGGACAGTGGAGGGTCTGGATGCCCATCTGGTGAAGGGCTACGTCATCCATGACATTGGCAGCAGAACAGAGGTGGAGATCCCTTACCCACAGCAGGAAGAGAACGTCCAGTGTGGATGGGCTTTCCATCACGGTCGATTCATCATGGGCCTGAGGAGGGCAGCCCTTGCTGACCCGAAGTGAGTTGGTTGGTTTAGAGGTCACAAAGGTTAATAAGCTGCATTACGAGAAATACAAGTGGGTGGGTTAGATGGAAGCACATGGCACTCTGGAGTCAGGTCTGAAGCCTGAGTCAGGGTGAGGAGCTTGTACAGGTCAAAAGTGGAAATCATCTCCTAATTAAGAAAGCTGTCAGAAAGAGCAAAAGAAAAAAAAACAGAAAGAAACTAAAAAAAACTAAATAACAAATTACTGTCATTTTGATTATTGATAATTACTGATTTTCACCAATAAAGATTTGAAACAAGGCCCAAAAGGAGCTTTGCTGAGTGTTACTTACTGTGTTAATGGTCTCATCCATGCTGACGTTTCCCTATAACTGTGCCCTCTAGTGTCACATTCGTAGAAGGCACCGTCACCAGTTTGCTGGAGGAGGACGGCTGCGTGACAGGAGTCCAGTACAGGGACAAAGAAACTGAAGACACTAAGGTGAGGACATTAGGAGTGTTAAATGTGCAAACAGTGAAACAAACCATGTTTTCTTGTGTAACGTGAGACGTGTTGATGCTAACCTGCAGGAAATCCACGCAGCACTGACTGTGGTGGCTGATGGCTGTTTCTCCAAATTCAGAAAGACCCTGGTGTCTGGAAAAGCTCACACCTCCTCTCACTTTGTCGGCTGTCTGATGAAGGTATGTAGTGAATAGTTAATATGTCAGCGATCTATTGATCTGTTTCAACCACATTTGTTTATTTAAACCAATGCTTCAACGCATTAAACTGTATTTTTCAAAATTACTAAGGGCAAACGTAATCTACTCTTTAATAATAGTTAAATAGTTAAAAATTGGACGTCACCATTTTAATTTCAGTTGAAAGAGTGATTGCAAATGATTTCAATAACACACTAGTAAAAAAACCCCAGTAGTTCCACTGTGACTTTTTAATATTACCTGTGTGCTTCTTCTCTCAGGAGTGTCCTCAGTTTAAAACCAACCACGCCGAGCTGGTTCTGGCCAACCCCAGCCCAATTCTCATCTACCAGATCTCCTCCTCGGAGACCAGAGTGCTGGTGGACATCAGAGGAGAGATGCCCCGTAACCTAACAGAGTACATGACAGAGAAGATACACCCACAGCTGCCAGGTACTGTACTGGAGGGATCAGCTACGATGACATCTAATCCTCTTTGCTGCCTTTAGGACTTTGACTCACAGTGGTCTGAGTGATAGCGCCCCCCTCTCTCCCTCTCTCCAGAACACTTGAAGGAACCTTTCATGGGGGCGCTGCAGAATGATCGGCTCAGATCCATGCCTGCCAGCTTCCTTCCCCCGTCTCCTGTCAACAAAGCAGGTACTGAAGTCACATTGAATCAGGGTCAGATAAAGACAAGATATTGTCAGGTTTTTTTTTTCCTAAATACACATTTACATCATTTGGAGACTTCATTGAATATAAAGACACCACATACAGTAAATGTTTAGGACACCCACTAAAATTATCTAGTTACTTTAACTGTCAAAGCTTGCTGTTTTGTGTTTATTTTATTCAGTAAATACATTTATAATTATACATACAATTTTAATTATATAATAAATTAAAATAATTACCGGTTAAAGGTGTTCTGCTCCTGGGCGACGCCTACAACATGAGGCATCCTCTGACGGGAGGAGGGATGAGTGTGGCTCTCAACGACGTTCGAATCTGGAGGACTCTGCTGAAGAACATCTCAGACCTGTACGATGACAACGCCATGCTGCAGGTAACAGTGAATAACAATGAAATTATTCATCTGGAATATTATGCTGGGATTATTATTCTGTATGTTTTCCTCAACAGGCAAAGAAAAAATTCCACTGGGAACGGAAATCCTCCCATTCCTTCGTGGTGAATGTTTTGGCCCAGGCTCTGTATGAGCTGTTTGCAGCCACTGATGGTGAGTCCTTGTTCATTACTACTATATTACCAGTACAATATATACAGTATAAACATATATATTAGGGATATTTGATAATAGCAGCCGACCCATATTATCGGCCTGATATTAGCATAACATGAAACATCTGTAAAAATGACTGCAGATGGTTCCAGATGGCAGCATTGTACTCCATTTAATTAATCTCATACTCTGACTACTGGTTTGTACAGATACATAAATAAATATTACCAGGCCTAAGCTGGTTTGGGTTGATATCGGAAACAGAAATTAAGTGTTTGGACAATATCGGCATATCAGCAAAAAGTTAATATCTACATCCCTAATAATATTATATAACTCTGGTCTTGTCTGTGTTCACTAGAGTCTCTTCATGAGCTGAGGAAAGCCTGTTTCCAGTACTTTAAACTAGGGGGAGAGTGCATCGCTGGACCGATCGGACTCCTCTCAGTGTAAGCATTAAACAGTGTTGTCCTAAAAGTGTGGCAGAAAAATACTTGAAAAGGTGCACTACATGTTCCAGGGCAGTGGGGCAGATGTTAGTGGCAGGATTACAAAGGAGGTTTGAAATTTTGCTCTACAATATTCTTGTCTTATTATGTCTATATATAAATATTTAGGTTTATTTTGTTTAGAACGAGGGGAGGCATGAGGTTAAATAAAAATTGTAGTTGTTTTAAACTATTTTTTAAAAACAATTACTGCAAAGATTTTGCAGTTAATTGGATCTGATCATACGATTATTATCAACTAACATCATATATTTATGATATCCAATAATATCAAATCGAATCATTTTTTCAGGTCAAAAATGTTTCATTAATTGCATTCTGTCGACTTGTTTTTCCTAGCATGCTCTGACTGTGGTACCCATTTTTTTTGTTTTTCAGACTGACACCCAAACCCATGACACTCATCGGACACTTCTTTGCCGTGGCACTGTACGCCACCTACGTTAACTTTAAGCGTGAGTCTTGGATCACCAAACCTCGGGCTTTGGTGAAGAGTGGGGCCATCCTGTACCGAGCCTGCACAGTCCTGTTCCCACTCATCTACTCTGAACTCAAGTACCTGGTGTACTGAAGAACACACGTCTCAATTCCACACCTTTATTGGCTACATACGTGTGTTGTATTTGCCTTCCTGCTGTTAAAGGCTCTGCTGCCATGTCAAATTATAATTAGTTGGTACTAAGGATTTTTCTACTGTGTGACACCATCTACCTATGAAAGCTGTTTTAATACAGGGATGTTCCACATTTGATGCACTTATCACAGAATTTTATAGGAAGCAAACGAAAGATTTGATCCTTGTTTTGCTGACCTGAAGGCCTTCAGCACTTTTCTTTGACATTTTTACGTTTGCCTTTTTTTAAGAAGGTGCTCCGCATATTCTGCGATAGCAAATAGTTTGTCACTTTAGTTTGAGCTGTCGGTGTGAAACATGCCAACGCTGCAGCTCTAATCACAGAATCCCACAATGATCCTTGTGTCACCGTGGTCCTGCTGGTGTCAGCACGTCGCCTGTAGCAGCTGTGAGTTTGACGTTGACTCCAGTCTGATGGAATAAAACTTAGGTCAGCAGATGATGCTGCGTTTCTTCACCTCAGCTGACATCTTCATGTGTGTTCCTGTTGTGGGCTTGATTTGGCCATTATATATTAATTCAATAAATGACACTAATTCATTGTCTCTGGATTAGTAAGTAACAAGGGCAATCAAATAAAAATGAACTGTTGTTATAAAATATAGTTATATCTTTACTTTACCACTAGATGGAAGTCTCTCACTGTCGGAACAGGTTTTCCAAGGCCGTCTTTCTGTTGCTTTTTTATGTAAAAGAGAAAATTGGTAAAGTATAAAAATTACCCGGGGGGATTCGATCATTTACATAACAATTTGATCAAATGTTTCAGATATTAGATTCTGCTAGGCTAAAAATATTTTTCAACCAACTTTTTTAGTTAAGAGTTATCAGGCCAACTCTCTTTTCTTTTGGCTATTTTTTTTGTTTTTGCTTTTTCTAGAAATGTAATTTTTCAAAGACAACTTTTATTCAATTGCAAAAACAGTCTAGTGTTACTGTTAGCTATTTTGATTGGTATTGGCTAGTTTTAATAGATCTTTTGGCAAACCTTTAGCCAATCCCCAATATCTTTAGCTTCAAATCTCTGGCCAAAGAAATGTGTCTAACTTTGGCTGCTGTGTACCTACTTTTTTTCCTATGTATATTGTTTTACATATTCTGAACTGACATTAAAAATTTTTTTCGATAAAACATGGTAAAAGTTTTCCATGTCATTTGTTTACACCTCTTTGAAACTATTCTCAGACATTTTGGAATACACCTGACATCACAACTTGTATGGCTACAGTCTTAACTGTTACTGTACTATACACAGTCATCTGTTATAATGTAAATACAAAAGTGCAATGAATAGAATAGAAATACTACTTGAAAAGATCCAGAGCTTCAGTGATGTCCCAGGTTACAACAATTCAGCTTTATTGGTTTTTATACATCTGTGGTACATTGTTTTCTGGCGGAATATTTGGAAGAATTGTCCGTATTCTTCAGTGACTCTCCACAAGTACACAAATACTGGTGTGGAAGACCAGAATGGGTGAAGGGGGGGGATGTAACCCGCTATGGGGGAGGGTTACACCAGTCTTCATGTATCTGTCTTTTATACCTACCTGTACGTACTGAGACTCACCTGAGGAGACCCTATGAGCCCTTCGGAGCCCTCAACCGTCACCTTCCCCCACCTCCCCCTTCCTGCATCAGTGTGATCCTCGTCTTCTGATTTACAGAGCATTGAGGGCAAACCCTTATTGATATAGTAGCAGCAAAGCTCCCTAACAGTTAACATTTTAATCATCTAGACAAAAAAAAAGTACTGTACAGCTACTGCTAAGAGAATCTAAGAACCTGGTTTTAACGCTTTTACACCAGATTAAAGTGCTAGAAGCAACCCACCAATCCACACTTTTATTATTATTATATATATATATAGTATTATGTATTTATATATATATAGGAACAAATCTACTATTTTAACATTAATTTACATGGTAATATACATTATATTGTAACAGCTGAAATATCAGCACAAATAGATCACTGTCACACTTAACAGCAAAATATATATGATTATATAAGTCCATATATAATCATATATACCAATTATATAATTGTCATATATGCATGTAAAACAGTTAACCACGCCTTAGGCTTTTCAAATGATATACCCAGAAAAGCTATTTGTGTATCAAGACGTAAAAGCTTTACAGGATTTAATTTTTTCCCTCTCTGGAAAGAGCGGCAGGCGACGGCGAAAAACAGACGCCGCCTGTGGTGGTTCTGAGGTCACAGGACAGTTATTTGCATATTCCACAAAAAAATCTATTGCAACACGTTTACTGTCTACAAACAGTACAGCAAGACGGCCGGACCCTGTGGGGGGCGCCACTGTGGCCGCCATGAGCTGGACTCACATGTACACACCCACTGAACGAAACATTACGACGATGGGTTATTATTATTATTATCAGCAATGTGCTTTCAGATGGTGTGCTATGACAGTGAACGACAGGAGGACTACAATACACAATACTCTATATGTTTAGCCTCAGGAGACAAAACCCAAAAACTGTACGAGAACTGTGAAAGGACGGACCGCCTCCTTGTAATCTTCCCCCGAGTGAGTGCTCTCTCTTCTCCGAGTCTGACGTGTTTTTGTATCAACGACCGACCATGAGTGAACAACATTATCTCAACGCTGCCATCACCAGAGCAATGGAATGTGATTGATATTGTCTGCCACCCCCTCCCCCCCACCTCCCTCTCCGGGTCTCTCCTCTTCATCATGGTTGCTAATACAGTGGGTCACATCCTATGGGGGTTCAGAGAGGGTGCCTTTAGCGGATTTTCCTTGAGGATCTGTTAGGTTCAGAGACCTGTAGCAGGAGGACAGTTGTCTGTCAGCGGCAGCCGTCCCAAACCTCAGCGGCCATCATCTCCACTGCCTCTCGTTGAAGAGGAGCTCCGATGGTCTCTTCCTCAGGCCTGTGGGCAACTTCCTCGTCCTTCCTCTGTCCTCATTTTTTTCCCCTCATACAACCATCACTCACTGCTTTTACCCCCCTGCTCTGCCAAACGCTGCACACAACGGTAACAAGGTACACAAAGGTAATTCTCCACAAAGAAAAACTAAAGAAAAAGCTCCAGAATAACTGCAGTAGTAATGCACAACAAGCATCCAATAGCTGTCACCCAGCCTGGGGAGCCCTGGTGATGTGCAGTTAGGTTTGGGACATTGCCATTGTTCTGGAGGAGGATAAGACTCCTCCATTTGTCCTTTGAAGGAGTTGTTTTTTGTTTCTTTTTTTTTTCCCCTGTAAAGAAACGTCCTATTATTCAAATGCCCAGATTTCTATGTCCTGAACATAGAAATCCTCTTTTTTAGAGAGCATAGGGTTCCCAAATGTTTTACAGGAGTGACTTCTGCCGTGGTAAAGGTCTCCGTCCAGCCACAGGCCGAACTCACCACTGGAAAAGACAACAACCAAAACAGTTTTAGAATTCAGTCAACACATGGATGTGTACTGATAGAAACTGAGGATATTATTATGATTGAAGTGAAGTGCAGACCAGAGGCTGTAAACAAGTAACCTGAGCATCAAGTCTGAGCTTTCAAAAAGAAAAAAGATGTAAAAAAGTTCTAACATTCCTAAACCTATAAATAAGAATAACTGGTGTATATTAATGCAAAAGTAAGATTTTCATGGGTAAAATTAGTTTTTTTTCTTGGACATGGCCAATGTTACTGGTGCGTTGACTTTTCTCAATGAAACAATAAGATACAGTTAATACAGTAGGTCTTTCTGATTTTTAATGTTTTAAGAAGTGCAAAAAGAGGAAAAAACTATTTTGCAAGTTAAATAAATAAAATGGATAAATGTTTGCATACTTGAGTACATGAGCTTTTTGAGTAATGTCTTCAGAATGATCAAGATTCATTTTAATTTGAATACAAATACTGAAGTACTAGTACAGCTGTACAAGTTAAACTACGTGATACATTTCTCTCCATGAACTCACCTTCCTCCACCAAATGCTAAGGAGTCTGTATCGCCCTTAATGAAGAACATGTTGTCGCCTGTCCATTTGTACACCTTCAACACACACACACACACACACACACAAAAAGACAAAAGACACTAGATCAAAACTAACATCTTCTACCAATCTTCTATCAGAATGACCTTGGAATGTTTGTAGGAGGGTCATACAATGTAATTTCAATGAAAAGTGGAGGTAGCGCTACTTTGGCGATGGAAGTCCCATGTTTTTTTTTTTAGCAAGAATGAGTAAATATGGAAGGCCGCCACTATAAATGGATTAAAACAGAGAACAAACCTAATCAATGCTCTCCCAGTGGACAAAAGAGGTATAACAGCTTTTCATACAAGCTACTAGGGAAAGTTACTTATCAGATTCACTTTTCATTCCATTTTTAGAAGTAGACAGACAGCATTTGATGTTCTTAAGTAGGTACAGAGGATCTGCAGAAGCACTGAGTGGCTGTTGAATTCATTTAACAGATGGGGAAGAGAACAGGGATGGCTGTAGCCTGCCCTTTAGGGACTGTCTGATAATGCTTTTCATAATAAAAATCACACTTTCAAACATTGCATTAATATTACAGTACTCAGGTGATGGACTTTTGGAGAAACTCAATTATAAAACATCCAGACCATATATGAAGCAGCAGAGCTGAGGTTTCTAGGTCTGCAGAAGGACATTTTCTTGTAGATAATAAATGATAAATGAATTACACCATGATCATTCTTGAGTTTGTTGCTCGTTGCAACAGTAAAAACTGTATGAATTTGAAGCAGTACAGTGACGTGTGCCATTTCTGCAGGTGTGTGTGTGTGTGTGAGTGAGTGAGTGAGAGAGGAATGATTGTTACATAATAAAATACAAACAAAATCTCAAATTTAATGTGGAAGAAATTAACATTTTACAAGAATTCTTTTCACACAGCGATGAGCCCCCGCTCATTCTCTCAGACAAAGCCTAAGCTAGATGCTCATTTAAAGGCAAATCCTTGATACACAAAACTTCTTTCATTCAATAACCAATGCACAGTTTCGCATTTTTAAAAGTGACCCACCTCAAATTCAGGATTGAAGGTGAAGAGGAAGGTTTCTCCTGTGCCATAAAAGCCATCACTGACTTTAAAGGGTTCAGATGCCAACGCACCAAATACCTGGAAACAAGCAATTCAATTCTTTTACTTTGTAATTTGCTTTTGCATGAATATTAGAGTTAGTTTTTCTTTTTAGTTGTATAACCATCAAAAAAACATTACTTCTTTAAAGCCACCCTACCGTCCAGATTAGTATTTCAATTTCAAAAGTAAACTTGGTAAAATATGAAGCTCACCTGACCATCGCTGTCTTTGATGACCATAAGAACTGGGGTGTCCTGGCCCTGCATGGCTCTGTACAGCGTCTTAATGCTCATGCCATGCTTTGACGTGCCAAAGGCAAGAGTCCATGGGTAACCAATGGTCCGTGGTGGGAGATTTCTGGCAAGCTGTGGGAGAAGTAATGAAATGAATAAGGAAGGGCGGAGACAAAAAAAAGAAGAAAGAAGAAAAAACCAAAAGGCCACAGCCACCAATGCTCAATTACATCTGCAATGACCTTTCAACACCGTCTGGCTTTTAAAGAAGAGTAACAGGGCTCCAAACACACAGAACAGCCTCCAGAAAAAGGAGAGGTCCAGCACTCCCTGAGAGGCTGCTGCTCCTGCTGCTGACACGCTGAAGGATTAACAGCAGCTGCTGTGGACCGAGAGATAAAGCTGACAAAGGCGCTGGAGGAGCAGTGCAGTGTATGCTTCATTTTAATGGACAGATAAAATAGACGGACTTAAACATGGAATTAAAGCAGCCACTTTTTAGAGTATGCACTGCAGCACCAATTTTCTGCTGGATAAAACAAAAGCTCTTAAATGCTCCTCTCTCCTCTACCAATAATT